TTTGCAGACGGTCACAATAACGATGCATCAATAACAAAACATGCCATAACAAACAACTTGGAGAACATAACAGCATGGTTGCAGGATGATGATATTTGCATTGTAGATAGGGGTTTCAGGGATGCAGTTCAGTACTTGGAAGATCAGGGATATATGGTTAAGATGCCTGTTTGTTTGGTAAAAGGGAAAAAACAGTTAACAACGAACGAAGCTAATCTGACTCGCTTAGTAACTAAATGTCGCTGGGTTGTAGAAAGCACAAATGCCAGATTGAAACAGTTTCATTTTTTTGAAAAGGTGGTTCCAAATACCATGATTTCCAGTATTGGTGATTTAGTAAAGATTACTGGTGGTATACTAAATAAGTACAAACGACCTCTTGTCTGCAACCCTGAAAATGAAGAAGTAGCTAAGAAGATGCTTGACCGCTCTGTCTTAGAAAACAGTCTACAAACTTATGTAGAACAGAACAACTTGATTAGACGGAAAACTGTATACTTACCAATTAATGCTTCTGGCACAGTACTTGAAAATTTTCCTAAGCTGACAGAGGGAATATTAAGGGATATCACTTTAGGTATCTACCAACTTAAACAGGCACCAGGATACACAAGGGAACATCTCTCTGAATCTGGAAATTATGAACTATTACTTTGCAAAGAATCTGAAACTCTTCTGCAAGTCAAAATTCAATCAAGACATTCCAAATCTACCATCCATACATTATGGATTGACTACAATGCTGGGTCAAGTGTGGAAAAGCCTGTTAATGGATGGTACTGCACGTGCAAAGTTGGGGCTAGGATGGTGGGCTGCTGTGCACATGTGGCAAGTGTGCTGTGGTATTTGGGACTAGAGAGGCACATGAAAAGTCTCAAGCCATCACGTTTATCGGGAAATACCTCCATTTCATATGCACATACGGGTACACTGTCAGATAATCCCTCATCATCAGCTGGTATTGAAGAGTAGACAATAGTTTCCTTATCAGTATAACCTAATTAACATTAATTAGTAAATAGATGAAATTAATTTGTATTCATATATTTAATTGCTTGAAGTTCATTAATTATCTGATAATTAATATCTGTTTCTATATATTTACAATTAAGGACATCATAAAATCAAAGTATTTGCCTGTAAATTGTGAAATCTATATATAGCTAGTTACTTTTACAGATGATGAACAATTTGAGCTTGAATAATTAAATAGTAAATGCTATTTCTTATAAAATCCATTTGTAACAGGAAATCTAAAAACTAAATATCGGTAGCTTGACATTTAAATCATAAGAGCTTTAATATGGTTCAAAATATGGAACTCAATCACAAAAGACCTTTGATTTTTTTAATCTAATAACTGCATTAATGGCCTAGTCTATGAATCCATAAATCTTCCACAGACAAATTTTTTCACAATGATCTTTGGAATTTGAACACATTTAGACATTTTTCTAGTCCTTACATGAATACAAATAATTTAATTGTCTGAAATTAATTAAGGAGAATAATGACATTCAAAACAAAGTCTTTGTCACAAAAGATTATGTTTGATTTTGCTTGTTGACCATAGTCATTTTCTGAAAATTATCATATTGCAGTTAATAATTTTGTCTGTGTATATTTGTATGTGTGTGTGAATGATGTTCATTTACTTTGGAGAGGGACTATTTTTTCATGCTTTAATATGATTCAGTTGATCTTGTTAATTTTTAAATTCCGCAATCGAATATTATACAAATAATCGATTTAAAATACTCATGATACATGGAGGAAATTCTATTTGAAAGAGGGAAAGAGCAAAAGAGAGACAGTAAGAGAAAGAGCAAGAGAGAAAGAGAGAGAGAAAATGTGTGTGTGTGTGTTTGCAAGTTACTGCTACTTATGATGCACTTATTTTATTAAACACACCTTGTTTCAATGATAGTATATGGAAAACAGAGATATTTACAGAGAAAGAGAGAGAGAAGTAATGTGTGTGTGTGTGTGTAAGTTCATATCCCTGTTACTTATAATGTACTTATTTTATTAAATACAATGTATTTCAATGAAAGTATGGTACTTAATAGGGAGACAGACAGACAGACAGAGATGTATTTCCCTGTTACTTATAATGTATTTATTTTATTGCATTTCAATGATAGTAAGGGAAATTAAAATGATATTTGTTTTTAAAGGTTTGGTTGTTTTCTTTAGTACCAAATGAAATCTGGTAAACAAAGTTCATAGGTCAACACAAAAACACCCTCTTCTAAAAAAAATGTGTAATGAAACAGAGGTAAACTAGTACATTTTTATATCAACAGAGTGTTGTCACCTGGATACACAGAAAATGTGACACTTTATTTATTTAATATATAGAATTTGTATAAACAAAATGATTCTTTTGTCCATTCGACAGAAAAAAAACTATTTACTAAAAAAAGGTTTGCAGCTTCTTATTGTAAGTTTAATTTAAAAAAAAAAAAAAATAACACCCCCGAATTTTCCAAAAATACTGCAACCACGATTACCCAACCCATCTGAAAAAACTTGACATACAAAGAAAGGCAATGCTGAAATTATGCATTTTTAGTCTTAGATGCATGATTTTTTTTATTAGTTGTTAGTGGCTTTGAACTAGCTGTCAGTAACTGCGAGTACTCTCAGATCTGTACTTAGTGTCTTTTTGTTGTTTGGGTGTACAAGTACCCGGCCACGTCCACTTGTATTTGTAGTTTTTGTATTTTTATCCATCTGATGAGTTAAGCCTCTTTCAACTGATTTTTATAGTTTGTTCTTATGTTGTACTGTTACACTACTGTCCCAGGTTTGGGGAGGGTTGGGATCCCGTTTTATAACATGTTTAACCCCGCCACATTCTGTATGTATGTGCCTGTCCCAAGTCAGGAGCCTGTTATTCAGTGGTTGTCGTTTGTTTATGTGTTACATATTTGTTTTTCGTTCATTTTTTGTACATAAATTAGGCCGTTAGTTTTCTCGTTTGAATTGTTTTACATTGTCATTTCGTGGCCATTTATAGGTGATTGTGCGGAATGGGCTTTGCTCATTGTTGAAGGTCGTACGGTGACCTATAGTTGTTACTTTCTGTGTCATTTGGTCTCTTGTGGAGAGTTGTCTCATTGGCAATCATACCACATCTTCTTTTTTATATATACAATACATCTTCCTTTGCAACCATGCACTTAATGTAAAACCTGTAGTGACTGTTAAAAAAAATACTATACTAGAATGCTGATGAAATCCTTAGATACACACATTGTTATGCAGCTACATTTAGAAAGTTACTGCAGCTTATATATATGAAAAAATCATGGATATGTCGAAATCAATCATATATTTTCTACAAAAATGTAACAATACAAAAACTTGTTGCTATGCAAAATTGAAATTGCTAGGTAGTTTTAGGTGACAGTACGAATCTGAAACTGATGCATAGGCAAATATAGCTTGCATGAAGAAATAGTTTGTTGTTGTCATGCCATGAAAATTGTATATGCAAATACATAATTAATTGCTTGAAATAGTATGGTTGCTATGTAAAATATATGTTGCTAGGTAGTTTCTGAGCAAAATACCAATCTGAAACTGATGCATGGAACAAACTAGCTTGTTTGTATTAATAATATGTTGTTGTCAAACACCCAATGTAACTTATATATGCAATTACATACACTAAATGCCTGAAATAGTATGGTTGCTATGGAAAATACACGTTGCTAGGTAGTTTTTATGGAAAATACTAATCTAAAACTAATGCATTAGAAAATCTAGCCAGTAGATATGAATTATTTATTTGTGGTTTGTGATTTTCGTTGTATGTGCAAATACATACTTTAAATGCCTAAAATAGTATGGTTGCTATGCAAAATCCACGTTGCTAGGTAGTTTCTAAGCAAAATTCAAGTCTTAAACTGATGCATGGAACAAAGTAGCTTGTTTGTATTAATACTATAGTGTTGTCATACACTGAATGTTACTTGTTTGTGCAAATACATACATTAAATGCCTGCAATAGTACGGTTGCTAAGCAAAATATCTGAGTTATGTAGTTGCTAGGCATAAGACATTTATTTTTTTGTTGAAGGAAACAAAAAAAACTTGTACAGATAAACAATATAATATGATTTAACATAATAAACCATCAAAAATCATTGCAAAGTGATTTTTTTAACGAAAAGCAGACTGCAAGTTTGATTTTAGAAATCGGTTGCTAGGCACCCAAAGAGTCACAGGAACGAATAAAAATTGTTATTTTTTGTAGTACCTGCCAGAGGGCTATTGATGGTATGAATATGAACTGGTTCCGAGAGGGGGCCAAAAATGACCCTTATCATGCATTGTCCTTTGTTGTTTTAGGTGGTTTGTTATCACATAACATTGAAACTAAGTACACATGTTAGTTTTGATTTGAATATTGCTGCCATCATAGGATTTTGATCCGAATTGTATGTAGTATTAATCATTGAAATATTATGAAGTAAGCAGTGCATGGTTTGTCATTTTCTAGAACATGTACTATTATTTAAAATGAAGTTCGCCCCCACCCCCTTGCAAAGAGTAGATTGACCCTAATATTGAACTATTGAACATTGATTATTCTGAAGCAGCAAACATTCAGTACACATCCGTATAATCCGAAGGGGCAGAAGCAAACTTGGAAAGTATGATAATATTTCAGGAAAGACTTGTCTTATTACAAAATCACTTTTGGCCATGAAACCAAACAATCTAATCATTTCTTTTTTAATATAAACATGATAAATTAAGCAAAGGTTTTTCTTTATTTGTGTGCCATAGCAGAACATATAATTTTAATATATAGAAAACACCAGTCGATGAAAATTTGAAGAAGAAGACTTACATGCACAAATAATGCAGTATTATTGCAACGGGCATTTGGTGTTCATGGTAAAGTGCTTAAAACATCAATAGAAAATATGGATGATATGAAAAACATTTTAAACAAATACACATGATTTATTGTCTTGTCCTTTTAGTATGGCCGAGATGTTTATCGTTTTACTACCACATGTATGGTGATACGGTAAATGAGCTTCAGGTCAGGGTCGTTAGCAATTACAACCAAAATGGAACAGTTATCTGGTCAGGCAGGAATAACCAGGGAAACATTTGGCATTTTGTTAGTTTGGATATATCACCATTACTTGGATTAGAGGTATCTACTGCTTTTTTCGAATTGAAAAAAAAACAACAACTGTACTTAGGATCTTTTTACAACTCATATTTTCAATAAAGGAGTCCAGTCATGAAATTTCTATAATATACCTTAATCAATTCAGAGCATTTCGAAACGGATGATAGTACACAAAAACGCTTCAATACTAATACATTATGCAAAGCATCGAGACATTATACAATTTATTGGCGCAAAAAATGTGTATGGTGAGAAAAACTTCAAAGAATGTTACAAATCTTTCAAAACAAAATCAAATATTCACTTTAGTTGATTAATAATATTGGACAAACAATAAAAATAATATTTCAAATATTTGTTCAAAAGTGTAACGAGCAAGCTATTAAACTAGCACTTCAAGCAAATCTAGTATCATCTTTTCTTTGTACATTAGACATTTAATGTCAATGCTTGACACAAGCTGAAAATGTCGTACACAGAGAAAAAAAAAAGAATTAAGACAAATGGATAATTAATGTTAACATATCACTTCAAAAACAAAGATTTCAATGATTTAAATGGTAATTACAATTATGATGGTATATACATGTATTTCGTTTCTGCTACAAAAAATGCCTTGTTTGGCTCAACTCCTTCAATAAGAAAGATCTTTCGATTTGTTATGAATTTATCATAACTTGCATAACATAAGAATGCATTGATATTAACTTGATGTTCATACCTTATGTTTGTTCAGGTAAAATTTGTTGGCATGCGTGGCTCATCATATACAGGTGATATTGCATTAGATGAAATGAAACTTACAAGAGGAACATGTGGTAGGTGGTATCATTATCATATATTTGAATGTACAATCCTGATATCCATTCGATTAATGTCTCTTCACTACCACTCGAGACCAACTTATTTTCTACTCCCAGTACGTTGAAGATATGATTTAATCAAAAAGTATTAAAAGTAACGAGTGACTTATACAATATGTTGTGATAAGATGGGATGGCGACTGCTAAAAAGTTATTAAAGATATCAGATTAATAAGTTAGTATGCTTGACGCGCGTTTCGTGAACAGAAAACGTATCAGTGGCGCCCGAAACCTAGACAAATCAAAACCAAACCATTGACGAAGTTGAAAAGCACTGAAAACCAGATATTTTTAAAACTAAGTAGGACATTGTTGGCTTTGACTTTATTTTTCTTATATTTGAGTGAGTATCTACACAAATTCCGATAAGGTCACATCTGTAGTACTCATATCAATAATTTTTGATTTATTAAACTTAAAAGCAAAGCTTGACTATAAATCTGAACTTTTTTCTTGATGACATTTGCATATAACGTCTTATAAAGTCTTTGCTTTTTGTGTGCATATACTGTTTTTTGTGTGATGGACGGATACCCCATATCCTCTCGTTTCTATCAAAATCAACTATTTGAATTTAGGAAAGAGCCTAGTGTATCTTATTAAAGATTTTCCAATTTTTCTTTCTGAGACGCAATTTATAGCTAAACATTAATCACTTCTTTGTTTAAGTAAACTAAAAGGCGTAGATATCACGTTAATTATTACCAGTACAACTTATCAACCAAATATTGTCAATAATTGAGTGCAAACATTTCATCTCACCATTTCTTCCTTTTTGTTATTTGTTTAAGATTCAGGTTCCACTACATTTGTTTGTCCGATCGATAAAGAAGAAGCTGGGGTCAATTGCACATTTAGTACAAGTGCGGCCTGTAACTATACTATAGATATTGAACAAGGGACGAATGTATGGAGATATAAAAGTCAATTAACACACGGAAAGAATTTACCTATTGTTGATGTTTCTGGAACTCCTTACGGTAAACACGTTAATTAAACTAAAAAAAAAGTTATTTGCGCTTTTTTATATGTCAAATGCAGGTGAACCAATTTTAAAATTAAACGGATGTCATGTTCTGTTATTCTGTCCATTTCAGACCTATCTGCTGTGAGATATGTATTCTTGTTCAGAAAATTTCCTTGCAGTCAATTAAGATCAGTACAGTCATGTTCAGATTGCTCAATACTTCTAAAAAAAAAAAAACATATTAAAAACTACTGAACTGAAGTGATTACGGGACTGAATCTATCAAAAAAATCCGAAAAAACTTTATCAATATAGAGTTCCAATATTCTAAATTCTAAGCTAAGGTGATGTTAAAAAAAAAGAAAACATCGTAAACTAATTTTGTTACGTGTGAGAACAATTCAAGAAAATACTATATATTTTACATGTATAACTTCAACATTATTGTTATACTAATGCAAGCTCACAGTTATTGACAGACAGTCTTAAACTTCCGTTTGGAATACATTGCTTTCATATCCTTTCATGTATTAGTTAAATTATAAACTCTTCTTAGGATATTTCTTCTACCAGAACAGTAACGGGACAGAAGAAAATTCAGCAAGTTTGTTTTCCCCATTTTTTTTGCCATCACCAATATCAACGTTACATTTTTACTCCTACTTCGGTGGAATAAATTTCGGATCTCTAAGAGTCTCCACTATAATGAGCAGTGGTCAGAAGACCTCTTTATGGTTTAAACAGGTAGAACAGGATCCGGGATGGCTTTTGTCATGTGTTCCTTTTAAAGAGCATACAGAAGTGTCACTTGAATTTATAGCAACAGGAAGCAGTGATGGGGATAGTGTTATTGCAATAGACAATGTAACAGTTTCTGATAATCCCTGCCGATGTAAGTACGATAAAGTTTTTTTTAAGTCTGTATATTATGCATTTGCTTATATGTTTGCATTAATGATGAGTTGGATATTGTGTTGAAGTCAAATAAAAACAGAACTAAACCCTTAAATTAAACAAAATACACCTAAATGTCAGCATAGACCCCAAAAAGATTTTTTTTTCATTATAATAATCTCCCCTAGTATAGTAACACTAACATTATTATAAAGAGCCTATGGAAAATTTGCCTGAATGAGACGGTACTTGCTAAATGTCCAAAATGAAAATATATACACTTAGACAACAACTGACAAGGTGCCGGATTCAATACAGGCACAACCAGGTGTGGCAGGCTAAATTTTTCTTTATTCTTTATATATCTGAACACCCCTCCTGTTTTAAAAAAAGTAACTTAAGGCAAATTCGATGTCTTGAAACTGCAAATTTGAGGTCCTGACGTCATTCACTGTGATGCTAGTGGTTGTACATTTGACAAAGAGAGGCGGAAGATACAAATTTGATATTCTTACTCGTAAGACAAAAAAAAAAACGTACAACAGAAAACACAACATAGAAAACTAAAGACCAAGATACACACACCCCATAAAAAACCAGGGATTATTTCGGGTGTTTGTAAGGGTAACAAGATCCTGCTTCACACGTAAAACCCATTAAGTTGCTTTTATAAGCATACATTTGATGTTGAGTCTAATTTAAAAAGTCACATTTTATGAATTTAGGACGGACATGTAGTTACGGCAATAGGAAAAGTTTCTCTATTGTAACAGCAGAAAAAAAAACAAAAGACACATTTGGTTTTGATGTAATGTTCAATATCACATTCGTGTTTATCGCGTTGACAATAATTTAAAATAATAACAGAATAGTTGCATATTTAGTATATGAAGCCAAAACATTTATAGGATTATTACTAAAGTTTCTTGAGTTTGTTAATAACATTAACGTAAGAAGATGTGTGAAATACATTTATTTTTATTCTGCTCGAAGAGCCATTCTTCCTTAAATAATCTTTTTATTTGTGCAGTAATTTTTTTTATAGTTTTAAACATTCTGTGACGTCTGTTTCATTTGGCACATAACATATACTTACTAAATTATAGATGAGAAAGTCTGAACATTAAAACTAACTGAAAAGTTAACCATAAGCGAAACAGAAATGCGTTTGTGCTATATTTAGAAAGTCGGACAAAATCAAATGACTGTATCCGTTTGAAATTAACTAGGGTACCCTTATTTGCTGATTGCGTAATATACGTACGTATTATTATAGTTGTTTACCTTTTGTTCTCACACATTAAACATTGTAAGTATTTTTCAAATTTATTAACAGATGGGATATTAGAAAAACTGTGTGACTTTAGTCAGCCATTTATGTGTGGGTATGATGTGACAAATCAATCACAGATGTATAGATGGATAAGGCATTCTGGATCAACACCTACAGAACAAACCGGACCAAAAACTGACACGTCCAATGGCGGTAAAAAATATTACTTTATTTATCATGTGCTTTAAGTTAACCAAAAAGATATATGGAGATACCAAACGGACAATGGAAAAGTATTAGTCGAAAAGAAACCGACAAAATGAAGAAAAAAAACCGAAAATCGACCCAAATACAAAAAAACAGACCATAAAACATAAAAAAAAGACTGAACAACAAGAATCATAAAAATCAGGGTATGATTTCTGGTGCGCTGGAAGGGCAAGTAGATCATTTTTAACAAGTTGCACCAATACTGTTACTCATATAGACTGAAAATTATATGATAAGTCTCACTCAGTGATGTCACAATTTCGAAAAAGGGGACATGGTTGTGGCTAGGACAATTTGAATATTTCCATGGTCACCTTTAAAACATATTTCCAGAATGGTCATCCAAACAACAAGAATTCCCATAAAAATGTCGATTGTCTTTTTTTGAAATTTTTTTGCTTTTTTAAAAATCCCTTCCTAAAAAAGAGACCAAAGATACAATGGGGACATAAAAAACTAACCAACCTAAGAGGAAATGAAAAAAAACCAATGGCATAAAACTGAAGATGACAAAAAAATAAACCATTCCACACAACCATACATAGAACAGTAAAAACTGAACAACCCGAAGCCCACCTTAAAAGTAAGATGATACGGAAGGGTAAGCAGATTCTGCTCGACCAGAGTTACTCGTGATGTCTGTCGTGTTGCTAATAACAAACACAAATTCGAATATGTTGCACTCAAACAAAAAAGAATGGAATCATTATAATAACAACATTGCTGACAAATATCGTAGTCATCTGAGACACAGACATTAAATTATGGTCAATCAGCTCTTTATGGCGTCCATAAAACTTACGAAGTGATGATTTCAATTTTAGCACTTGACACTCTTGGTCAAAAAGGTTTCTGTAAGCAGCAGGGAAATAATGATAAGACACGTTTGCTGTGAACGAAGATATTTGTATCCACGTGAACAATTGTTTTATGATAAATTGACCTTATTCTTTCAAACGACATATGTGTCAATAATAAGGAGTACTAGCATATGAAATATCATAGCAAACATTTTGACAATTTCTTAAATAAATATTCTGAGGGAGAGATTTTGTGCAAACGTTATATTGGTTGAACTAAATCATGTGTTGTGTCTGTCCAAAGTTAGGCTATCTTAACCATATGCTGTCCGTTGTTTGTCGTCCATGGAAATATGATAAGATGAGATATGTCTAATAAGTCTATTCCGTAACTCACCGAGTACATATATCATGCAAAAGTCCGAGCTAAGGTATAACGACAGAAGTAATAAATGTAAATAGCGAAACGTTCCCCAGTTTCCCCAAATGGTCATAAATGTGCTTCCCAACCATCCTGTTACGTTTGTTAAACGGTATGTGGAATAATATGTAAATTAACATTAAAATTTGACTGCAATCAACGATAGATTGAATAAGAAGTAATTACTAGTCTTATAATCAAATAAACATAGTTAATTGTCTTTAAGGATACTACATGTATGCTGATGCTTGTTTTGGAAACCTTGGTGATGCTTCAATGTTAAATTTTCCGCAATTCAACTCTACTGGAAGTCAAAATATACTGTTTAAATATCATATGTTTGGAAAGGACATAGGTACATTGCTTGTGAAAGCCAAAAACGAAGACGATAAGTCCGTTATTACACTTTTGAGTTTGACTGGTAGCCAGAATAGCGACTGGGTGCAAGTCTGTGTTCCTCTGACAATAACAGCTGGGACGAAAACAGAAATTACTTTCATAGCAATTAGAGGTAATGGGATGCTGGGGGATATTGCTATTGACGACCTTCTTGTAACAGAACATGATTGCCCACGTAAGTTTAATACTTTTTATGTTTTGTAGGCAATGTAGGATGTGCGAGCTTTTTTGTCATCTGGATATATGAATACTGTCATGAGGTATTGAGACTTGACTTTGCACTAGGTGCCTCAATTGTTGAAGACATTCAACTTAAAAAATATCTTTTTGCTAGATATCGTTTTACGGCTTTTGGAAGATTTTAAACGGTATAAAGGGAATGATGAGAAAAGTCAAAGTGAAAAAGTTCTAAAGGACAAAATATTCAAAACAATGATGTATGTTAAAATGTGTCTCTTCAGGTGAAGGAGAAGGAGTTTTTTAAACACTAATCTAAGTGACACACTCACAGTTTTTGAACTAATTTTGTACAACTGAAAGTAGTATAGAAAGGTTTACACGTCAAATGATTTGTTGATGATACACAATAAATAAAGACTAAATATATTGTTATGACACATTAAGATAGCTCGGGTGTATTCCGCCATCTTTGATTGCAATATATCTGAAAAAACAATCGGTCCATATCTATAATAAAATATGCAGATTTTGAGAGAAGAATGTGATTCATTTGTTAGACTTTTCGTTTGAATGAAGAAAATAATGTGTTTTATCATATTTTTGCGATAGTTTTTTTTACAATTACAGAATATCTTTTGTTTGATTCAATATTTTCAACTTTGCCATATAAGAGGAGATAACTCAGATAATGTAACTTTTATACTGGAATGTGTTATGAATTTACATATTTGGTTCTGAGCAAGAAAACGAGTCCCGTTACCCTACATTTTCTTTTTATATCACGAAAGCTCATTATATGAGCTATCCATTCATATCTATTTTAAAATTTTATCGTTTAGTTTTCTTTCTATCTCCCAAAATTGTGTTTTCCATTAACAATCTATAGAATATCTGACAATTTGCACAAACTGTAGCTTGGAAAAAAGTCCCGTGAAAGATACGTTTTCTTTTTTTCTTTTGGCAAATTATTAAAGAAATCTATTGATTTTAATATAGACCTTCCCTTCCCATCTACCTTAAGCGAACGCAAAAGATTAGTATGACAATAAATATACTGAGAATAGGGAACATAGTATTTCTGTCTGAATACTTACTACCAATACTCTAGGTTTGTCTTATTTCAGATAATGTATCATGTGACTTTTCCTACGGAACATGTGACTATGAAACTATTCAAAGTACTAATGGAGTGAAATGGGTCAAGGGTCAACGTACTGACGTCTCAAGTGACAATACCATGGGTAATACATTCTGTTTGAAATCATTTGTATCAGAAAAAACTGAATCGACAAACAAACAATTTAAAATGCACTATTCCTCACACCAAAATATATCGCACAATAATTGGTTAATGACACTGTCATTGTTTATGCTTGTTTATATTACGTACATCAATTTGAAAATCAAGTTATGGTTGATACAACGAAAAAACTAAACTTTTGATGTTCTTGCTATATACAAATAATTTTAAAACGTTTGAAATCTATATTAAAATGAACCAACAAATATATAACAAAGTAGATTTTTCTTTTGTAGGAAATTATTTTTATGTTATGAGTGATAATTCAGCAGGAGGTACACAAACGTACCTGTTCTCAAAATATTTTCAAGCACTTGGTGGCGAGAGTGTTTCATTTCATTACTTAAATACTCAGTACACCATGTTTGAGATTGGTTATATCAATACCCTGTCTGGAAATGCTACTACGTATGATATACAATACAGTGATATTAATATCCTATATACAACAACAAGCCGAGCTGATCGTTGGACTAGAAAATGTATAAATTTAGGTGCTGTAACTGGGACTATAGCTATCACCTTTGTACATACAAGTAGGGACTTGAACAGTCGGTTAACTGCGGTTGATGAAATTGATGTTTCAATGTTTGGTTGTCAGGGTGAGTTTTTGACATTAACGTACAAGTCACTGTGGTGCTATTCCCGTTATCGTAAACATTAAAAAAAAACACCCTTTTAATTAGCTAGTTCTGCATTTTTCGTTATTACCTTGCAAAATGTAATAGACATAATAAAACTGTAAACAGTAAAACATAATCAGCAATATAAGAACAACAGGAAGGTCAACTAGCCACAACTGCCGATCGACTTCTAATAGGGAGTTTTTACCACAAAACGACGATTTTAGCGTTTAATTATGAAATCTACCTACTTAGAAAATGTTCAGCAAAAATGATGAGTAAGGCAATTTCTACATATAAGTCGACCTGCTCTCATCCAAAACCAAAATATTATTCTAAATTGAAATTCTTTGCTATAACTTTATCTTTGGAAACCAAATAAAGTAATAAAAAAAGTAATTTTGGCATTTCAGAGGAGAAAAGCTGCCGTGAAAAATATTTGCCTTAATCATTTTACTGATGCTGTGTGTTTGAATTAATGTGTGTTTTCAACATTTTGTTTTACATAACATATCTATATAGATTTTGAGTACAATGTAAATGTTACATATTTATAACTATATCCTGAGTGATATCCATTTTCATTTATTTAAATAATTTAATTAGCGAAGATGTTTTTCATAGAAAAGCAAATAAATTTTCTTATTTGATCTGATATATTCAGTTTATCTTTCCTTATGACAAGCTTATCTTTACAGAAGGTATTTATGAATCTATTTGTGGATTTGAGCCATCTGATTTATGCGGATATAATATTATTACACCAGACAATTGTCCTACCGAAAATACCTACAGTTGGACTAAGCATAGACTTACAGGAAGTAAGAGTTTAAGACAAAACAATGCAAGACAAGACATGTTATATAAACAAGATAAACAGACAAATGTGCAATTATCTGAGTAGGAAAAAACACAACTATATATCATGTTTTTGAATAAAAAGATTGGTACATTAATCTGTAAGAAATGGTTAACATATGAAATAAAGTGTTACAGTGTCATGTTATACTTTGACTAACTGTGATCTGGACAAATGCATAGGGAAATAACACTCATCTTGTTTCATATTTTTAAATTACATGTAGTGTACAGGTAAAATGAATTATTAGACGGTTTGTTATAGAATAGGTTCTCATGAGACTGTATTTTGTAGATTTATTTCAATCCAAAACACAATAAAACAAGAAATTAAAAACACATATCAATGATATAAAAATATTCCGAATGCACACACACCTGAAACATTGTAAAACAAATTATGATGAGTTTTGTAAAAGAAAACAATCTCCAACGTCAATAAAAGATATTTTTCAAATATTTCTACGTCATAGAGAATGTATGATAATAATCTAAGACTATAAAGTTGGATTGATTTGTCCGTTTTAGCTATAGTCTGTATTTGATATTCAAAATTGTTCAATCTTTTTTCTGTACTTTATTGCTCCTGTGCTATATATAAACACGGATATATCGCCACCACAAACGTCCTCTTGTCCTCGACTGTTAAGTATTCTTCAATTGAACAAATTACGTAATGCGACTTATCACTATTTTAAATCTTACAATTAGTAACACAACGGTTGCCACCACTGTATGACGAATTGCTAACCACATCTGAGCAAATGAGTTCAACCCAGGTTTATGGTGGTATACGTTGATTTTTACGTCTTTTGTTATAAGTAATTGTGTCTTTTTGCTGATTTTGGCCTTGGTTTTTTTTTAATTTCTTGTTGGTTTTTGAATTCCACATTGGAAACTTATTTCTTTTATTTCTATAGATAACGTTTTGTTAGCCAATGGTTCGTTAGGAAGGACAGGCGATACAGCATTAGTAGAGTTTCCAAGCAAATCTTTATCATCTATGAAGTACCTTCATTTCAATTATCTAATTGAAAATTGGAAAAGTGAAAGAAATTTGATGTTTTCAATCAGTGAGGATAATTTTACATCAGTTATGCCAACAAGTCCGTACATATCTGCCTGGCAGAATTATTGCCTAGCTATATCATCTCCCAAGACAGTCAGCTTTATGATCAAGGCTGAACGTACATCAACAAACGATGATGCTGATGTATACATTGATGATGTTGTTTTGTCATCTGATGCTTGTCCAGGTAATTATCTATGTTTATGATTTGGAAGTTAAGTGTTTTATTTGTAATACCCCACCCACGGTAATAGTGATTATTATCTTAACCGTGAAGTTAAATTGTCCCGTTAAAACCTCAACATTAAGGCAAGGGAAGATAACCAGGATTTCTATTGATTGTATGGAGGTTTATTAAAACAGATACACGTTGAAAAAATGAAAGGAATTAACTTAAAATTTATAAATTTCTTCTTCCTTGACACTGAATTTCAGCCACCAAATTATATTTTTTTTTAAATGAGCTAACGCTATTATTTTCTGGATATTTTAGTACAAAGTGCTGTGCAATTAAGTGTCTGAGCAGAAAGTTGTTGAACCAGGGTTATGTCAAAGAACGTCTCATCCTTTTCTAAAAAAGTTCATCGGAAAATACCAAGACCTTGTTGATAAACATTCCGTATCAACTTCAAAAATAATACACGATGGTCTTGATGTATAGATTCTAAGTGCCGACGTTGTTTATCATCTTAATTACTCGTTATAGTGTTCTTTTATTTGTCTTTGTATATTATTACTTTTACTGTTTAGTCTACTTTTGGTATTTTCCATTTTGCTAATGTGCTTTGTCTATATGCCTTTTTGTTTTTCTTTGTTGACATATTTGTTTGTTTTTATAGTGATTAAGATTATAACACAATGTTGACTGCTTTACCCCTATTTTTAACATTTTTACCTATTAAGTCTGTTTGTTTTGTTCACACATTGTTGTCAATATAATGGAATGTTATGCGACTGTCATACAAGTGAGAGGTTTAGCTAGCTATACAACCAGGATTAATCCACCATTTTCTGCATAAACAATACCTGTACCAAGTTAGGAATATGACAGTTATTTTCCATTTCTTTGTTGTTTGTAAGTTTTTGATTTTGCCATTGGATAAGGGACTTTCCGTTTTGAAATTTCCTCGGATTTTTTTTTTTGTTATTTTATTTTTTATCACATTTTAGCTAAGTCAGTAACATGTGATTTTAATGATGCATTCTTGTGCGGATACTATTCGTCTGGTGCCTGGGAAAGTGCTGAACATGATTCAAGGACTGGTGGTATGTTAAAATGAAATTAAAAACGATATAAATTGACAAATGATTTTTGTCCTTATTAATATCACGCTACACGTAATAGTTTAAGTTGTAATCAAATGACAAATTTCTATGAAAGTAACACGAAACTTCTTCATCAACATGATCAAACTAAGATACTACGTTTAAACTACCTATAAAATTAAACCACTAAAGCGATTTTGAATTCGAGAAATATAAAATGAAAATTACACATTATCAAAGAGATAAACACCGTATTTTGATCTGTCTAGCTACTTTACATATGTGTTTTATTTATTATTAATCATTTATTTATTTATCATCATGTTTTAATTGTTATTAAATTATTCTGTTTGAATTGGACAATCATGACCTTCATTCTGGAGTTATTATCAATCCAGGTATCATTTAAAGATATTCATTGAAATCAGGAAAAGATGTCTTAGAATAAAAATTCAGTTGTCAACAAGTTAATCAATGCTACTGAAATAATTTTTTTAGATTGTATGACAAAATTTGTCATTTATTTTTGTTGTATTAAAATCGTCTTTCATAACTGTTTACCTGTCCACGAAACTGATTTCTGTTAAAACAAAACCATACATTAACCAGTGGGATATATTCATCATGTTCATTTAGTTGTTTGTTAAATCTATTCTTTCTTGTTTTATAGATTATTACATGAAGAGTATTCCCGTTAGATTACTCAACTCTTCTTTAGTATCTCCAAGCAATGATGTTACCGATGATATCCAGTGTGTTCAATTCAATTATATATTTACCGCAAGTTCAAATGCACATTTAAGACTTATACTTTACCGCGGAAACTCCGAGTCGACGAAAATCAGTTTACAAAAGGCAGATGATTGGAAACATTTTCTTTACGAGACAAGGGAAACATTTACTTTCCTTGTATTTCTCCTGGAACCATTTAATACGAACATAGGAGGGAGTGTGGAAGCAGGGATCGACAATGTATCTCTTTCAAAAGGAGATTGTTCTCATGTTGGTAGGTGTGCTTCTAAATCAAAAACTGGTTACAGATTTCATAAACCAATGATACATGGGTTTTTATTTTTTCTCATGTCCGACATCTCCTATATGTCGCTTTTCACATTATTTTCGGTTTAATCTCGTTTCGAGCTTAGACACGTACTACTGGTGTCATATTCCTCACTTTGTCATTAACTAGCATTGTCATTTTCATGGCTCCTTAAACTTATTTTTCATGTCATGTTCATACCTTTCACACCTCGTCTACATTCATGTCCCCGACTTATGACTGATGTCATGTTCATGGTTTTAAAACTTTTTGATTGTATCATGTCCTTTTTTTTAAACTTACCGTTGTTGTCATATTCCTAGCTTAAACATCTTCTATTAACATAGTGTCCCCGTCTTCGATTCTTTTTTATGCTATTAATTTCATGGCTTTGACACTTACTTATGGTGCTATGTCTCTGGATTTGACACTTACTAATGGGGTCATGGGGTCCTAGCTTTGACATCTTCTACTGCTTTAATGTCTCTTGCTTTAACATTTGCTACTGGCGTTAAGTTCTTGGTTATGACACTTATACTGGGTATAAACCAAACTTTAATCCAACAAACATTTACAATGAATTAAACAGTCACAAACAATAATTCTGGAATAGCTAAAGTAGTGATGCATGCAAGCAAAGGGATGCTTTCATTGTCCCGACTTGTCGAAATACACAGTTTCAATTTGTGAGACTGTGAGTTATCTTTTCACTCCTTTATTAGTGTTGTTTTTGTACCCTGAAGTTTGTTTAATGATGAATAAACGGATAAAGTAATTTCATTTAAACTTACTTATACTTTACCGCAGAAACTCTGAGTCGACAAAAATCAGTTAACAAAAGGCAGATGATTGGAAACATTTTCTGTACGAGACAAGGGAAACATTTACTTTCCTTGTATTTAATTTATTGTTGTATTTGCATCAAAAGATTAATTATAATGTCTCATCAATTATATGGTCAAGAAAAAATAAAAACGAGCGCATTAAACTTATTCATTCAAATTTACACATACACTGTATTGCGACCTATAGTCAAGCATAATCTGTTTATCCTTTCGGTGCGCAAGCGATGCGTCATCATTTTTTGGTCAATTCAAGTTGCTCAGTTTTTAGTTTTCGATATAATGTTTATGAAACTGTTTTTCTTTTCTACCTCTACCGTGTTTTGCCATGGCCTGTCAACTTGTCACTTTTAAAGTGCCTCTAATTATGTAAAAGTGTATTTGCCGCCTTTCTTCTGTCTTTTGTGATGTTTTAGTTATATGCTGTTTGATTGACATATATTTCTTATTATTTTTACCTTATACATATACACTATACAAGGATCAAATTTTGCAGATTGTGAGACTGGTGAATATAGATGCGCATCTGGACTGCAATGCATTTCACAATCCTATGTATGTGATGGATTGATCAATTGTTATGATGGCAGCGACGAAAAGTCGTGTGGTAAGTTTTAAACTTAAATAACCAATTTGTTATGAATTATTGACCGTTATCTATTTGTATCCCACAAACTCAGTTTGTGATAGTTGGAATGCCTCAATGAACATGATGAAAGTGAAGGTAAGTTTCATGGTCAGTTATTCATTGTATTTCAGAATTGTCTGTTTATAATAATCAGACAATGTTAAGATGAATATGCAAGTAGTTACATAAATACTACAAATGTTACTGCACCAGATGCGCGTTTTGAGTATCAATGTCAATGTAATGATTGAGGCAAACAGATTTGAAAGTCAAAACCTGTTACAAATGTTGAAGAGGTTATAAAACTAAAAAGGACCAAAAGTAAAGCCAAACCCGGACAAAGAATCATGTATACGATGAGAGAGATACATTTTGGAGTTTAGTGTGACGTCCATTTTCATCGAACTAGTACACATTTTGTTGAGGAGCCAGCTGAAGCTCGCCTCCGGGTCCGGGATTTTCTCGCTGTTTTGAAGACCCATTGGTGGCCTTCGGCTGTTTATGCCCTTTGGTCGGGTTGTTGTTTCTTTGACACATTCCCATTCTCAATTGTATACCTTGATTTAAAATAAATTTCAAAGTTTACAGCAACAAATTTAAATAAAACGATAACCGTATTGTCACATGATATGAAAGTAGTTTTAATTCAAGGACAAAATCTGAACAGCATTTTACATGTTTTATTATGATAAGTGATATCCTGTAGTCATCTTGTAATTATCTTGCGTTAAAAGTAAACTTTTTGTAAGCAGTAAAGTCTTGCACTACTTTCATCTGATTCAATTGCTTTATTTCAGCTGGTTCCATCTCGTGCGACTTTGAGTCTCCAAGGATTTGCGATTATAGACTTACAGGCAGTAATATCATCAGAGTAAATGACACAGGTCAGTCTCTAGTTAAGACTCGTATTCATTAACTTAACATTTATATAAATATATTCTTATGAGTTTTGAATATCTCCTTGGTATCTCCCGCCTATTTTGTACTTACTTAACATACAATAGGGTCTATAATGTCATTTCTGTTATTTATATTTGATGTTGCTGTATTGTTTTACCCTGCATCATTTTGTTTTAATTTGTAATATAAATGAATGTTTTTGTGTTTTCCATTTCTAATCGCATGCTTTGTCTCAACTTTAGATGGAGATCATCATATATCAATCTTCTTAAACGGTTTTCATTTGCTGCAGTCTTCTATAGAATTTATACCAACAGTGTCATGTTTGTCCTTTTTGGCAAAATCAACGGATTATCTATCCAACGGTAACTTAAGAATAGCTTTAGAAGATAGTGATGGACTACTGCATCCATTATACACAATAAACAGTATGAAAGTTACATCGTTTTGGAACCAGTATAGGATCACAGTTCCCTTTGGAAATTACAGTATTGCCTTTGAGATGCTGTTTCCCACGTCCTACTACTATTATGGGTATCTACATATAGATAATATCAATATACAGTCTGGAGAATGTGGTGACGGTAAGATGCTATTACCTGGTAAATGAAGTAAATAACACTTAATTGTCTGAATAGCTTACTACATTAACTTTAATAAAGCTAACAGATGTTACATGTGCCGCATGTGGAGCAGGATCTGCTTACCCTTCACATGAGATCACTACCAGTTTATGGTGGGATTCGTGTTGCTCAGTCTTTAGTTTTCTATGATATTGTGTAATATTGTTTGTCTGTTGGTCTTTTTCTTTTGCAGCCATGGCGTTTTCAGTTTATTTTCGACTTATGAGTTTGAATGACCCTTTAGTATCTTTCGCCTCTCTTTAACTGATGATTTGTGAACATTTCCATTCAATTTCACTTGTTTAGAGGTTTTCTTTCCTTTCAAAATATAGACAATGATTTTAATCAACGGCCAAAAGGAATGATGTATTGGAATTTCAATCTCAAACCCTTAACAGATTATAAGCAACGAAAATGTGAATAACTTTTTCATTTCTAAAGAGCCAACAAGGTTTAACATTTTGTCATGATGGGATATTTTAAAGCTGGCTGTATGGTTTAGGCTATGCTTATTGTAGATGAAAGTACGCTGACTTGGTGTTGTGTACACCCAAGTCATGTCAACGATGTTGAATAGTAGTCTCGTTAGCAATTTTATTTACCATAACTCCTTTTCAATAAGGACATTCTGCTGTGTATTAACAAGTGTCAGAGATATTGTATCTGTGACTTTCAACAAACGACTTACTAAATTAAATGAACTTTAACAATTTTCAAAACGTCAATGCCATTAATCGTAAAAGGAGCTTGATTTTCATTTTGACTTAACAGATATTTTTGGCTTTCGTTATAAACATTATAATTTATCATAACTATATTGATGCGAGTGGGTTATGAATTTTTAAGCTTTTCCTGCCATTTTTCTGATTCATTGTATGTTTTTATGAAATTTAAAAGGATTTACATGTAATACACATTCTGTATATATGATAAACAAGAAATGACATACGTTAAAAATTTCAAGACAGAAGAGTTAAATATCCGTCATAATTCAAACGTATCATACCTTTTACCAATACAAGGTAAAATTGAGAATGGAAATGGGAAATGTGTCAAAGAAACAACAACCCGACCATAGGGCAGAAAACAGCCGAAGGCCACCAATGGAAACGTTTACAGTACACCTGATTAAATCAGTAAACTACTTCTTTAATTTTCATATTTGTTTTGAAAGATCACGATCAGATAAACAGAATACAATTGCATACCTTTTCATGCCTTAATTTGATATTATAAATTGTATACTGCATAGGCTGTGGAGACGGTTACTTCAATTGTGCAGCTGATGATATTTGCATACCTGAGCAGAATGTTTGTGATAGACAATGGACATGCTCAGATGGAAAGGATGAATTATCATGTGGTAATTTTACACTAACATACTTGTTACTTTTGTCTTGTTGTTTTCCAACAAATCATATGTATAGAAAGTCAATTTCATAATTCACAGTGTTAATGGAAATACATGGAATAAAATAGTGGACATTTATACGAGAAATATTAATGCACTGGTCAAAATTTGTATAAAATTCGTGTTGACATATACAAATTAAAAGACAGTAGTGCAGATATCAAAATGATAAAAACTAATAAGTGTACAACAACAATAAACAAAGCCGGATGATTACAGCTATTATAAAAGGTTAGCAATAATCTTTTTGCACAGTTTAATCAAGAATATTAATTAACCAATGTCGTTCCCTTTAACTATCCCTTATAACACATGCTCTGCTCAAAAACTTCGATGTTTTCAATATGTTTGTCTTTTTCCCTTTTTTTTGTATGTTTGGCTTCAATGTTATTTGAGTTGACCTGCATACCATGGATTTGTTGACAGCTACATTCTAATTATTGTCTAGTTGATTAAAGATGTGCGTGGTACGTTACTTCATCCCTGTTTCAATACCTTATGAAAAAAAAAATTATGCTTTAATTAAAAACAATTTTATATTTAGGTTGAACTATAATTCTCATTTTTTAATCCGGTTTTTGTTGTTGCTGAATTTTTATGGGAAAACATTCGATTGGCCTACTGTTTAAGCAATTCACAGCAATACAGTTAAGGAACATGATTGTCGACTTAGTATTGACAGTTAAAGAACAAGAGGCGTATAGCTTTTTCTGTGTTCTTTAAATCTACTGCTGTATATTTCAACTTTAAATCAGCTTATAACTGTATTTACATCTACAGGCTGAAGAAGCAGACCATTTTTTTTCAACATAAAGACCAAATAAACATACAAGTTTTGCCACAAGGAATAAATAACTAACAGTGTTGAAAAATTACACAGTACACGCAATAAAGTAACCTCTCGCGTTTGAATCACTATTGCAATGGTCAGATAGCAAACCTTCGCATTTCTAAAGATATATATAACATCTTTATACTATGATTTTTGTAAAACTGAAAAGCTAACTTTTCAAAAAATTGCAATAGGTTTTTTGAAGCGAAAACATTATTATTACAATTTTTCGCTCTTACACTCTGTCTATACATTTCAAGTGTAAATTCGACTTTTTCAGATTACAGTATTAGCTGTACATTTGATGAGGATCACCTATGTGAATATGACGTTGGATCCTGGATGTCTAGTGCAACCGACTCCGTTTCTGAGTTCTACCTGCCGGACCACACTTTTAATAATTCGTCTGGTAAGTATTAACCTTACAGATAATAAAGATCAAAACAAGTTATTTAGTTGAAAATTTAAAGATAATGGTGACAGATGAATATAATTATGTGCGCTCACAGTAGTGTTTTCCCCAAGTATGTAAATTGATAAAAAAATTTCACTTATGAGGGTTTGCTCGATCATCGGTGATATCGGCAAAAAACGACATTTTCTTCTTTAAATTCTTTAAACTACATATATTTATCAAATAAAATAATATTCAACCAGAAAAAAAGGGCCGAGAAATTGTCAATTGAAGAAGTTGTTTCTTTTAAGGTAGCAAAATACAAAGAATTTTTCGTCCCCAATCAGACAACTTTAAACTGATGTAATTTCTTTCATCCAGCTTTAAATTTTATAAATGAGGTATCAAAAGAAAGAAGAAAGATTCATCTTTCAAATAGTGATACTTTCATTATGACATAATTAATTATTATGTAATAAGTTGCTATAATGTAATGTCCACACGAATAAAATTAGCTTCTTTGTTTTCATAGTATTCCAAAATATTTTATAGATTCTTGTACAAGACAGTTCGACCTCAAAAACCGTGTCTCAGATTTTTCTTATTGTATTTCATTCTCTTATTAACCTTCAATGAAGTTTGTAACATCAATTCATAAGAGATCACTAAATTCAATTGGGTATAAAATTTGTTCTATTGATGTTAATGGAAATCTGAAACACGGTTTTGAAGATAAATGGTCAAGGAACAACATGTGTGAAAATCAGGCATATAGGGGCACCCATCCAGGAGCTAATTTCATTTAAAACTACATTTTCATGACAAAAAACGAATGTGTCACAATTGAATAAATAAGGATTTTCCTACTTTCACCCCATTAACTTCAATATAATTCACACATGTACCATGGGGATACTTCAGGATTGGTCTTTAATCATAAATCAATTAGGTTTTGACCCGTAAGAAAGCTTTCCATTTCAGCAATTCTAAATATATAACACATGAAATGCACACCCTATGCATCAATAATCAGAACTGGCGGGAGATGTTATATCATTATTGACCTTGCTGTAAGTCAGTTGCTACTGATATGGTCAAAACTCCGCCCACCATGATAAACCTTTACTATCAATGATCTCAGAAGTTTAATTTCACATTACATTTACTTTTTTCAATATGGATTTTATTCATTGCGTACATAAAACAATATATTTTGTTTTAGCATTGTCACAAAAACGAAGTTATGCATGTGTACACAAAATGATCAGTTGGTCAGTCTAAAGGATCCTTATGGTTGATTTCTAGAAATATAATTGTATACAATGAAAATATGGTGTTTTGCAACAAGAAGATTTATTTTTCAGTTTTGCAGTTTGAAAATGAATATTTAATTTTGTATTTTCTTTTTAAAAAAAATCATAATTAAACATTCTCGTCAAGAAATTCTAATATAACCACTAGCATTTACGTCAGCAACATTATCCTGATTAACTGTTGTACAATTATATTTGTTTAATATCTGTACATTTATATATTGATTCCCTCTATATCTGTAAATAGTTGATTTGTTTTTTTCTCCTGGTAGCTTCAATAAAGAAGTGCATTTTATTTTGAATTCATTGTTTGCTTTTTTCAATGAATCCCTAATCCACCTTTTTTTCATAACTGTTATTTGTAATGCTGGTCAGTGGTCATGAAGCTATCAAATTATTCTATTAATTAACCACAAAGTACTGCGCACATGTTCTTATCTTGTATCAGTCAGACACCTGCATTTGTTTATAAAACTAATTATCATCAAATCATTAACAGTGCAAGATATGTAAATAAAATTTTCTTCTGTGGTTTTGGAATATCAAGAAGTAACAAAAACAGCTAAAAATGAAATTTTGATAAAATTTAGTTGCTTTTGTATTGTGCTACCTTAATACGGTGATTTCAACAAACAAACATGTGTCCTATTTATTACTATTCAAATGAGAACATGATAATTATAAAGAATAAAACAAACAAAAATCTATATCAATGAACTTCTACTGTTCATGTTAAAAACCATCAACTTAAATACTTGATTTTTCGCATAATAAGATTAACAAAAGCATATCGCTTTGTATTTTCCGAAATGGTGATAACGATTTCGTGTAACTGAAGATAACAAGTAATAGAATAACTGTTTTTCTTTTGGTACTAATTAGAACAGTTATAATGCTTCATGATAAATTAATTGTACGCACACATTAGAGCAAGGCCATGTCCAGTTTTAGATGAGTCTTAAATGGCCTTCAGTCCAAACTGAAGGTATTTTCTTGAATATTTTCCTATCATCAGTCTGAACAAAAAAAATTTTTTGATTCTGTCCTGATTTTCCTTAAAATTTCATGAACATTTAATTTTCGATTTCATTAAAACTCTCAAAACTTATCGTCTTGTACATAGCCGATATTACTATAATTTAACACTGGACATATTACAACAAACAGTTTATGAATATAAAAATAAAAACATGTAGTTTGATTGTCCACCAGAGACCAATTGTCATAGAAGTAAACAAATATAGGTGGCCATACGGCCTTCAACAATGAGCAAACTCGTACCGCAAAGTCAGCTATAAAAGACCCCGAAATAATAAATGATAAACAATTCAAACGAGAAAACTAACGGCCTGATTTATCAACGATACAATGAAAGAAACACGAATATGATAAACAGCAACAAATGCAATCACTGAATTAAATGATCCTGACTTGGGACAGGCACATACAGAATTATTCGGGGTTAAACATGTTTGCGGGCGCCCAACCTTCCTCCTCATGAAGTTTATTATACAGAATACAACATCAACTCCGCCGAACATTAAACTTTCCTTTAGTTTTAATTTACTGCAGCATCCCACAAATCTAGTCTCTACTACATTTTTATATTTATAAAAATTCAAACATTAAAGTCAGACCTAATACGCCATTTCGAGTTTCCTGAAATATTTGTTCTAGAAACTAGTACTAGTAATTAGCACTTAAAAATGACAACGATAGCGTTGTCTCATCTCACGAATATCTTTTCATTTCTATTGTATTTAAATGCAATAAACGTATAACATCACCGTTACAATTTTAATGAGATGATTCATCAACGGTCCAATTATCAAAATATCTTCAATTTGGAAATAAAGCACCAATCAATCAATCAATGAATTTGGAAATGTTCTACTTATTTTCATTGTTGGAAGAAATATCATATTACTTCATACAGATTATATTCAGAAGATGACCAAAAATGGAATGGCACGAAATAAATAGTATTCGTTTTTTACCCGCTTGGCTATTATCTGTGATAAATATTCAGCCCATACAATAACCAAGCATAAAGCATAAGGGAATTAGGAGATTATATTTTAATTACATTGAAATGGAGGCATGACGTGCCTTGGCAAATACTTTTTATTTATTGTGAAACTGTCTTAATAATTACTCTAAGAGAAAATGAGACGTACTGTGAATAATCAAATGTAGATAGTTTTGATGAAGAAGAAAATACAATCCTCTATTGTATACAATGAAATAGGTTTCGCAAAAAAAAACCCGATTCATAATAATGATGTAACTGGCGCCCATTGTATTGCCACTTTGTTATTTCTATTCCATATATGTTGTGCATCATTGCTCCATCCTGCAGCTTTAGCCGTTTAAGCAAGTTTAGATTTCTATTTGTTAAAAAGTTACTAGAACGTCCTTTCGAAATATTTTCATGATTTTAACATGTTTAATGGGTAAACATTATTTTAGAAAGTGCCGAGATAAATGTCTTATGGGCAAAATTCGGTCGATTAAAGATGAAGAAACGAAAATGACTGCATTCAATTTAGGTTGGAATTCAATTTGATAATGAGTAATACTGTGTACCAATTGTAATTGTTTTCTGTTTCTCCTTTTCTACATCATCACAGTTTCAATAAATTTACGCAAACACTTTTAAACATGTGTCAATTTGTGCAGCGTTCGAGTTGTATCCTTTCAAGTTTGTTAATATAAAGGTTACCAAAAAGGGGTCTTTGGTTTTCGTCTCATTAAATTATTCATAGTATTTTTAATCATAAGAGATCATGGTTCAATGCATAATATTTCAGTCGTAATAACAGTAGACATATATTAAAACAATAAACCCTCATTCTATAAAAATAAAATATATTGATTTTAATTATATTATTTGGCACATTAATTTTATAATAACATTATCGGTTTTTTGTATTTGATAGCTTTATCATTTTTGTTAGGATCATTCATGTATACAGGGGACTTAAATGGAATATACAAGAACAAAGAAATGAATTCTCCCTCACTTCAAACAAATAGACAGTCATGTGTGGAATTTTATTACGCTTTTGTCAGATCTCATCAGTATTCGTCATCATTTTTAAAAATTATTACGAACACCAGCTTCCAACTGACGGAAGTGTTTGCATTGGTTGAATATCAGGAAGTTGATAATCTGCAGTGGAAAAAAGGTGAATTTGATTTAAGAGCTGGATCATATTCGCTGAAATTTATTGCTGGAGGCCATATGTCAGCTGTAGCCATTGATGATATATTCGTGTATGAAGGAAATTGTGCAGGTTAGTAAAAACCTTTGTAATTTTTGCTGGGTTTAAAAGCGTTTACCGAAGCACGTTTAGTAAAAATGTGTGTACGATCACCGCTTTTATAACCTTTTGTAATAGAAAAAGAAACACTCAATTTTTATAATTGGGTAATTATGTGCAGTTTATTTCTTCCATTCCTCTGACCATATCGTAAAAGGTTATGTGTATGAAGGCTCGTTTAGAAGCTGATTAGTTTTGACATAGACGGTGTACTTAATGGTGTACAAAGAGTAATTACATTTTTCGCAAATGTAGAAACACCGTAAGGCGTCATGTGATGCTGTTTCTGCTAATAACAAAGTTAAATTCTCTGGAAATTCAGTTTATTACAATCATTTGCTAACTTCAAAATTTTGACATCTTAATGGCATGGTCTTCTGCTCTATGAAAAACACAAATTGCTTATATCAGTCAATTATCAAAAGTAGCACCATAATATATAAATAAGACATAGCTGAGAGGGTGATAGAGCAGATTGTTGCCCCGAGAAAACATTGTCAACTGAGGCGAATCAATAACATGTTGAACGTCATTCTTTTAGAATTGAATGAGACTGTATTTGACCCAGAGCTTACATCCAGTGCAATTGTCCAAGAAACAACAGCTTCTCCTTTGGAATCAACAACACATATGTTAAGTTCAAGTAAGTTCTATAACTAAACATATTGATTGTTTTATAAAAGAGAAGCGAAAGGTACCAAAAAGGAAATTCAATCACATTAGTTGAAAACGAACTGATAATGCGATGTTTATCATTTTCACAATTGCTCTTATAAATAAGCATGAATAACACATTGTAAACACTGGTAATAAGTATAAACTCGAACTGTAATTTCTAGACCACGAATAACGTTTCTGAAAGATTCATTTTTTCAGTAATTTTTAGCATTTTTAGAACTTATCAAATACATGTAAAACATTTAAACTACTGTGGATTCATTTATTTTCGTGGGTTCCAATTTTTGATTGGTGAAAACTTGCATTTTCGTGGATATTTAATTTCATGGTTTTGCCAAAGTCTGCATATAGCCTTATAGAAAAATTGTAATTCGTTGAACACTTAATTTTGTGCTTCACCTGTACCCACAAAATCCACGAAAATTGGAATCCAACGAATAGTAATGAATCCACAGTATAATATTGTCATTTAATCGATCTGTAATCTGTCGGGAACATTGGCATCAATAGTTTAAAAGAAAATTGTCAACATATCAAAGTGTACTTTTCTACTAGTAGATACGACCGAAGATATTTTGTTCCAATCAACGGAAAAAAAAATATCCGTATCTTATAGGCGTATTAATTGAATTAAGAGGTTAATTTTTTCAAATGTTTAACACATATTTAAAAAAAATCGATAAAGTTTGAAAAAAAAATCACGAACCATACCTAAAAGTATTTATCTTGATTGATAACAAGATTAAACACAATATGTAGGAACATGATAAAACTATGAATATAATAAAACAACGAGCATGTGCTTAAATAAAACATATGATCATATATAAAAAGCTTAATGCCATCAATCGTTATTCTAATTTAACAGATACTTGTTACCAACATTACACGGCGGTGTGTTCTAGCTATTTTGGATTAACTTTTACAAGGTTTCCGAATGTGTTTGGTCATCAGGATTATAATGAAGCATTTACAATGTGGAACTACATGTATAGTCAGTCTAGAAACTCTATTAGTGCATGTGAAATGTTATTTACCAATTTGATGTGTTCTGCTTTATTCCCTGTATGTCTGGGTGGTGACACCAAGCAAGTTTGTCAAAAGAGTTGTCTCGGTAAGTCTGTGATCTTTTCAACGTCAACAAATAATGCGGTTCATTTTTTTGATAGTAAAATATTCACAGAACTTTTGTAAGAACTCATAAAAGATACCAGTCGTATAACTTTGTACACCAGACTTGGGTTTTAAAAACATACGACTCGTCAGTAGCACTCCATTCAACGAATTAGGAAACCACACCAAAAACGAAGATGCAGAAGTGCAGTCATAACCGAAAATTTGAAAACGTTTGCCAAATATGACCATGGCCGTATATGTCTATCTTGGTTATTCCTGCGTCAATGAGTAACTCATTTTATCATAATGGTATGTTGTCATGTACGATAAGTCTTATTAACAACAAAATATATAATCATATAATAGTTATATAAAATATATTATAAAAGTATTAATTTCAAACAATTTTTTTTAAACATTTACTCAGAAATACATAACTCGCATTCAAAATGAAATACTTCTCAATGTCAGAAGAAATCACAAGATCAAAATAACATTGCATCACAAAACCAGAACTTAGCACCATTTTTTATGATAACATTGACGACAATACATACCATTATTAATCGAGAGAGTCAATGAAACGCTCATTTTGTTTCTTTGTTGACAATTTTTTTTATATTGATTAAGAATATAACATATTTTTGACTGCTTCACCCTAATTTTTAATATTTGTACCTATAATGTCGTAATATTTTGCTCACACAATATAATGGAACTATATGCGACTGTCATAGTGATAGGTTTATATAGCTATAAAACCAAAGTTAATTCACCATTTTCTACATAAGGAAAAACCTGTACCAAGTCAGGAATATGACAGTTTTTTTCCATTCCTTTAGTGTGTTTGAGCTTTTGATTTTGCCATTTGGTAAAGGACTTTCCGTTGTGAATTTTTGTTGGAGTTCGATATTTTTGTTATTTTACTTTTTTCTCTCATTTACTTACAGAATTTCTATATAATTCCGTTTGAAGTTTAGAATGTCAGTTTCAGTATATCGTACCATCTTTAACGCAATATACCGTATTCCTGAACCATGCAGCATAATGTTTTAGAATTTTCAGATCATATTTTTTCTTTGTCTGACGATCTTCAGTTCTGTTCTATTACCATTTAATATATGACCATTCAAAGCAAATATTTAAGATGTAATCTCAAAACTTGTCAAAGTAAAAGGACATAAATTGATGCCCTTTTTCAATGTACTTTTAGATACATTTGAAACATTATTTTCCGGAACTTGTGATTACAACGCCACAATGCCAGACCAATATGATTTAATTTACTACTGTGGAATACTACGAGACGATGATGACTGTATTACATTACCAGGTATGTGTATGAATATTTGATGATCCAAGTGAGTGAAAATCAAATTTACTTTTCCTTTAACAAGTCAAATGACAGATTGACGATGATTATAAAGAAAATTTAAAATTGATGAAAATCATTTTTGAAATAAATAATTATACGATGAACCATATATCTTCCATATTTGAGGGACCTCGGGGGATGAGTAGTCTAAGTAGTCGAACAACTGTATAACTGGTCTGTCAACACTGATGTTTTGAGTTCGATTTCCTCACGTGGCAGGTGCACATGATTCCAATCTTAATTGAGTAGGATTGTCAGTTTTCCTGCCGTAGGTCGGTTTTCCTCCACCGATTAAAACTGACCGCCACGATAGTGCTGATAGTGGCGATGAACACCAATCATTCAATCAATCAATATTCCAGTTTGGAAACGAGATTGTGTTGCCAATAGAATACTAGTAAGCTTTAGTATTTCAAAAAATCCTGGTACAAGATATTTCGAAAAAAATATGACTGTTTTCAAATTTTTTTCTGAATAAAAAACAACAATATTTTTACACAATATCCCCCATTTTCAACAAAAAAGGAATTAGTGACACTGGGATCCAATTCTAACTAGCATATTATATCAATACTTATTAACGTTTTGTTGAAATTGTTACGGCCAGAAATCGCCTTTAAATTGAGGCCAACAAAAGACACAAATCAATAATAAAATTTAACAAGATTTATTATACACAAGTTTGCAAGAAATATTACACAAAAAGAAATGTCAATTTAACTGTCAAAATATATGTCCTATCTTTTGTCTTTTCTTTATCCGGATATCTTATCGGGAATCCAAACAGAATATTACGTCCAATAGGTCACAATCTAGTATGATATTGTTCGTAAATAAAAGTGTCAATCCAATTGAGAAAATTTCTGAGAATCCAATGTCTATGTCTATATCTGAAAGTTTAACTTTAGTGTCTGTATATATAAAGGTGTCACGGAAACTTCTAGAACACTGTAGAAAGGAAACTCCTAGAAAACTTTAGAACGGAAACTTCTAGAACAATTTAAGAAGTTTAAATTACGAATCTTGTATTATGATCATTCTGGAATCGTTATGTAAGTCAAATAGAAAGATCTAATCATTCCATCAGTCTCTATGATTGTTCTAGTGATTTCTAAACTGCACAGTTACAATATCATTTTGCAAACAAGTACAAATATGTACACATATCATAAGGCCACACAAAACAAATTAGGCCAACTAAATAAATATGATAGTTACAATATCATAACAACATGAATATCTCCAAAATTGACATCGTTTTTGTTAAACGAAGTTTCCACTACTATGTTGTTGTATTTTAATTTCTTCACAAAAATCAAAAGGAACATTATCTTTAAAGCTTTGATAAACACTTTGCTAACAAAAATTAGATATTGGTTAAGGCAATCATTTTGACTTAAAATCATACAAGTGCTGGCAGATGGACACTGAGAGTGCTTATTCATTTCTCCGTTGTTTTTGTAAAGATTATACGATATTTTCACTTATTATTTCGTGTATTTTATCAGAATGTTTAGTTTTTCATTGATACTTATCGCTAGATCATGGAAAATACATGATACTCAAATATATAAAGCAATTACGTCATGTAACAATGCAGCACCGTCACGTTTTATGTCAATCGGCGTCGAGTTGTCACTGACGTCATACATTAGAAACAACAATATAAAAATAAGGAGATGTGGTAAGATTGCCAATGAGACAACTATCCCTCAAAATTCAAATAAAGTGGATGCAAGAAATTATAGGCAACCGTACGGCCTTCAACAATGAGAAAACCAATACCGTATGGTCGGCTATAAAAGGCCCTGAAATTGAAAATATGAAACAATTCAATTGAGAAATCTAACGGCCTTATTTATAACAAAACTATTTACGAAAATAAATATGACAGACACGAACCAACGACAACCACAGACACATACAGAATGTGGCGGGGTTAAACATGTTTGTGAGCGCTCATCCCTCCTCTAACCAGGAACAGTTGTGTAACAGCACAACATAAGAATCAAATATAAAAGTCAGTTGAAAGAAATCGAACTCATCAGATGGATACAAATAGAAATACATCTAACAAAAACACAGAGTGGACGTAGACGGGTACTTCTCCATCCAAAAAACAAAAAGACACAAAGTACAAATCTGAGAGTACTCGCAGTTACTGACAGCTAGGTCAAAGCCAATAACAACTAATGAAAAAAATCATGTATCTAAGACTAAAATGTCTTTTATTACACATCCAACATCCAATTGATTTAGTGTAAAGCCGTCATTAACAGTCAGAGAAAAACATGACCTTGTGCAAGGCCAAACAAGTACATTTTGACTTCAAATACAAAAATAGTCGATAAAAAGAGTAATATAATTTTTGCTTTGGTTACTGTCTTCCTCGCTTTACATTCTTGCTGATAAAGTTACGTCATAAGATTTTAAGCTTTCTTTTTGCAACGCTGTAATTTTCTAATAGGACAAACGGTGGTTATAATTGATATTCTCTTTATCTACACGGATATTGTTATCCAGATATCATCTCCCCTCCAAATCACTTAGACCCGAAGAAGGTATACATTATACAAGACACAAAAATGAGGGTTACAAGACACCCGCAAGAAGCATCTGTTGGTGTGCCGGGTTTTGTAATTACCCTAACTTTGTGAGACAAGTGCAATATACCTAGCACAAACAACAAACCTACATTGCTATTAGCTCCCTTATCATATTTGATGTTTTATTTCATATAAGAAAAAGTTGTCAGATAACTTTTCAAAATTGTAAAAGGTCCAAAATTTTCATGAAGAATTAAATTTGCATTGAAATTTGTAATAAACACGAGAGTGTGTAATTCAAATTATGAAGTCAAAATACAAGAGTTTTGAGAAAGACGCTTCTTCAAGTTGAGATAGGATATACCTTTACTGAAATGATAAAAATATAAAAGGAATACATAGGAATATATAAAATTACACCATGTCAAACTAACGAAATACACGATAATTTTCAGATTACGTTGCAAATTACAGTGCAGGAGCAACCACAACAGGTAAGAAAACTTTTATTAATTGGAGAGGCAGTCAATAGCTATCAACCGTGATATAGTACACATTTTTATTATGCCATAAGGATATGGTTTAGATAAATATCGAATATAGAGTCCATAACGACGTGAATGTAATAATTCATCATAAATACAAGACTTTACATAAAACTCAACAATAGCACCAGAATTAACATTTATGAAACCGAAAGCTAACACGAATTTAAAGAGCATTGCAAGCCAAAGATTCCCCAAAACTTGTGCCAAATACGGCTAAACAAATAAAGGTCGTAGCACGGCCTTCAACACTCATTTTTGTACGACAAAGTACTTTCTATTAAAAAGTTCGCGTAAAGAATGCCGCTGTTAAATGCGCTACGTAAGATAGTAAAAAATTCCCGATATACGTGTACGGTATCGCGTTTACGTCATTAGAAGTCAATAGGCTATAAAACTGAGTACCATAGTCTTTCCTTCAGAATATACTCTTGAACAAAAAACTAAAACATTGAAATAGTTTTTGAAAGTATAACTGAGGCATAAAAAAATAAATTGACTAGTTAGCAAGTGCAACATGTGCAATGATATTTATATTTCAAATAATGCATGAATGTTACACAGGAATGACAGAAATGCTGCAGTTTTCACAGTACAAAAGGACTTCTGATTTTAAAAAGTGAAACACAGCCTTTGTCAACAAAAAAAGTAAGCGAGGTTCGCATCGTATCTTTTCAATATGTTCAATGCCACAAAGATATTAAAATCCATAAAATTTTAGATAGTCAGATAACAAATGATATACAAGTACGATTGGTTGATGGTGGCAGTGACCATGAAGGTCGTGTAGAAATATTCTATATTAACGAGTGGGGAACAATTTGTGATGACAGTTGGGACAACAGAGATGCTCAAGTTATCTGCCGTATGCTCAACAAGAAAAGGTAATTAATATTTAAGTACATACGTGCTAATTCTTTGTGTCAGGAGGAGGGGGGCATGCAATGATTAATAATGATTTTAAGATAGTACGTAATCAGAATTTAATATACATACACAATACAGAGATACAATACTATATAAATAACGCATAGTTGAGAGGGTGATAGAGCAGATTGTTAACTCAAGGAAACATAGTCAACCGCGGCTAAGCCAAGGTTGACAATGCCTTTTTGAGGGGTAACAATCTGCTCTATCACCCTCTCAGCTATGTGTTATCTACTTTATTATACTGAATGTTCTGTTATTACTGTTTATTAAATTTCAATGAAATACACTATGACGTCTTGTACATAACAACCACCCAGTAAAGCGCACAATTGATCAAGCGTCTCCGTGAAGGGTTATAGAGTCTTTGCCATGGGATAGAGTAAATTTTCTCCCTCGTATTAACCAATCAGAATCCTGCATTTTCACATGAAGTATAATAAAAGTGATTGAATTGAATGTAAAAACTTCTGAAACAACATTTGAACTGTGTTCTGCTATCACAAAAACCTATCTTTGAAAGCACTGTATGTCATTTCATCAAGTATCTAGTAAGAATTTTTAAAGGTATGTTCATTGTTTCATAGCCTGTTTGTATATTGATATATTATACATGTTTGCTACAGATTAGTTTTCCTTTTAATGAATATTAGTTGTGTTTTGACATATGTTATATGTCTTTCTTGCTGCAACTTAAAAATTCAATTATGAAAACATTTATGCTAATACACTAGGTCGATTAAATAGAAATTTGCCAAATCCTATTAAACAAAAAAAAAAAAAAAAAAACACCAAAAAACATGTTACACGTTTACATGTCATACACAGTAAATACAGAAAAAATTCGAAAATAAATTTAATTTGACATTTGATTTTATATTTTATTAATATGTAGTAAGTTTTGTTCTTGGTACTATCGGCACTAATAAGACACACCATTATATGACCAAACTTCCGTTTATATTACACTTAATTGATACAAAAAACCCCACTTACCATTACCTTGGTTATATTCTTTATTTGAATTATCAAGAATTTTCTAATTTTACTGCGAAAAATTTGCCTAAGCAAACTTACTTTAATCTAATCTAATACAGAATATAATAATTCTCCATTTCTAGATTAAATTATTTCAGTTTCACGCGGAAAAAAATTTACGACAAAAGAGATGATTTTTCGTTCCCTATTGTTAATTTTCCCTTTTTGAACGTAATAATTCCTTTTGCCCTTTTTACGGTGTTTATATTTCACAACTTGAATACGCGTTTAAGTGTTAAATTATCAAATCAAGGAATTTGTTACCACAAACTAATCTAAACGTATACTAAATGTTTCGATAAATACAAAGATTTGGGAAAGAAGTTTGGGTAATTAAAACGGGATGTCACAAAATAAATTTTTACGTTGACGGTTTATTGTCCCCGAACAAACAGATTCGATCTGTATAAATTCATTGATCCTTTGAGTTTAATTCATAAATGCCAACTATTTAACATCACAGTTACATCTTTAAATATTGTTTTTATTGGAACAAACATTGATTTCATTTTGAAAAAATTACGACAGAACTAAATATGGATAGTTTAACACTATATATGTACAATATATGATGCTTCTATCGATACTGTTTACTCTTATATTTTGTAATTGTCCAAAGGCGAACGTTTCTCATACTGTTTATGACGTCTTTACAATAAATCCGTTAGATGTGTACTGATTTATAATTTAGTCTGGGAGAACATGATTTATTTGTTAGTTGTCCTTCCTTTTGAACTACATAATTTAAGTAACTGCCAGTACTCTTATATCGGTGCTTTGAGATTATTGTTTTATGTTTTTTTTATGTTTTTTTACTTTTACACATATAAACCTTTTATTCTAAAATATTTCCTGTATACAATTACCTTAGTCGTCCAGGTAACAGACTAAGGGTCCCTGTTTACAAAATGAACCATCTATCCAGGGGTAATAGAAGGCTAAAAAATGTAGTCCACCTTTTTCCTTGGATTTACAATTAGTTTCAAAAATATATTCACATGATGTTAGAAGCATCTAACTCTTTACCTTAACTTCAGCATAGTAAGTAATCAATAAAAAACCCACACAAAAGATGTGCATTTACTACAACACACATAATAGGGTAACATTTTTGTATTATTTTTATATGTATGTATATATTGATAAAATCTATAGTCTTATACAATAAACCATAAAAATAACTTTGTCTAAAGTTAATATTATATTCATTGTCTAATTTTTCAGTATCAACGACTTCGATTTTGTCTTATCGATGATGTCAATGTCTTTTAATTGAAGAACAAATTTTAGATTATTTTTCAAGTTATGTTTCCAGATATTATAAATATCTTGAGGTGCTTTTGTTGTATTTTATTGAATTCTTAATTTTCCATAGAGTCCATTTAGAATATATGATAATTGTGTTTATAAAATTATCATATTTGATTGTTCCTGTGTTTATACCTAACAGCATGTCCTTTTCATCAATAGGATTATTTATTCCTATGTTTGATTTGATAAGTATTTCTTGGAGCTTGTTTAAAATTAACTTTGATGTACTACAACTAAAAAATAAGTGTTGCAGGGTTTCTATGTTGTTGTCATTTTGACAAATGTGGCATTTTCCATTTGATATTTTCATTTTTTCTAATCTTCTTTCAGTATATAAAATTTGTGCATAGATCTCAATTGAAATTCTTTTATCTTATTTTCAATTATCAACTGTGTTAATCCCGACCACATATTTTCCCAAAAAAATTGTTTTCAAATATTTCCTCCCACATAATTTGACATTTTGGGGATACATCTTTATTTAATAACGTAGGAATGAATTTGAGTTTTAGCTTTGATGGTTTTATTTTTTGGTTGTTTATGTTCATCTCAAGGTCATTTGATATCTTTAATTTTATTTTATTATGCAAATTCTGGTTTCTGCAAGATTTCAAAATTTGCACGAAATCTTTAAGAACTGCCGGTTTAATTTTAGAATATTCGGAAATACAATTTCTCCGATCAATAAGCTTCCTATAAATTTCATTGCACCTAATAAAATCAGTAGTTTCTGAATTGCAAATGTCCTTGATAGTTGTGATATCGCTTTTAAAAAAGAAGGGTACAACGATGGTTTATTTTTGAACAAAATAAAAGAGTTTCAAAATATTCTCTTATTTAAAACATCTCTTTTATTTAACATGTTTAATGGTGTATCAATATTTTGAATGAAACCTGACCAAGTATTTATAATTTTCTGATAAAATTGTGGTAATTGGTTCATATCTAAACCATTTAGACTTGAACATTTACATACAAAAAAGGAATCATTATATTTTTCATCAAATTTCCATAGCCAATACCTACTAATCGCATTCCAGCTTTCCAATGGTTCCTGCATTAAGCGATATAAAAGTTTTATTAGTTTACTTTTTGTGAACATATCTATACGAACCATACCCATCCCCCTTTTATTTCATGCAAACAGTAGACATTTCTGTCTACCCGATTCCGTCCCATATAAAATTCCAAATGATATTATTTAGCTCTTTAGTATATTTATCCGGAATTCCTCGTATTTCAATCTCGTAAGAACAGAGAGAAAGTATCATATTTGTAACTATAAGGGTTTTACCTGTAAATGTAAGCTTCCTACTTCTCTATACGTGTATACAATTTTTAACCTATCTATTATTTTTCTCCATATATCATTGTCATCTATTTCATAACCATCGCACACCCCTGATGTTTTAACATTACTTGTGATCCATTTGATTTTATCATATTTAAATCGTTTTCTTTAAGAAGCCCCTAAAAGTAAGCCTTTTGTTTTATCGTTATTTGTTCTAGAACCCGAAGCTTTTTCGTATAAGGACAGAATCTTAAAAGTATTTTCTATAGATTTGTCGTTTTTATTAAAAACATGGGTGTCATCTGGAATCATACATAATTTAGTTTCTCTGAAGTTACCCCCTCTCCTGGTAATTGCAGTACTTCTGTTTCAATGTTACCCCTAATCGCACATGCCATAAGTTCAGCCTGTATGGTACACAAAAGAGGCGCTATTGGACACCCTTGCCTAGCTGGGCGAGTAATCAAAAAATATCTTGATACAAATCCATTGGAATTAATACACGAAGTAGCATTATATAATAGCATTTTGATCCACGCTCTAAGTTTCCCACCAAATTCAAATTTCTCCAATACAAAGTCTATCCATTCCCATTCAACCCTATCAAACGCTTTTTGTCGATCCAAAAATACCATAACTGCCTCTTCATCTTCGTTGTCAATATATTCTATAATGTCTAGAATCATTTGGTTAGCCTGGTTTATATTTCACTTTTAAAAACCCTTTCTGATCTGTATGAATAATTTTAGGTAATACTATCTTTAGTCTTTCAGATAGAAACTTTGTAATAGTTTTAAAATCACAATTTAGTAGAGTAAGTGGTCTCCAATTGTTTATATTTTCCCTTTCTCCTCCTTTATGAAGTAAGGTTAACCTCCTTAGGTTGAGGATTACTCAATATGGTATCATTAAAAATTTCTTGTAGTAAACTAAAGAAATCGTCTTTTATTATGTCCCAGTATAAAATATAAAATAATGTTATACCATCTTCGCCAGGTGATTTGTTTTGTTTAAGTAATTTAAGTACCTTTTTCTACTTCACAGATATTTATATATTTTTTAACATTTCTTTGTCTTCTTTACTTACCTTATTTATTATGACCTGTTTTGTCCCATCCTTCCGTGGCAAAAAGTTTAGTATAAAATATTACTTGATCATTCAAGAGAGAATCAATTTCACATTTATACTCACTGTTTTCTGTTTTTACACGTTGCCATAATTTGTTCTGCCGTTTTTCTTTTCTAAATTGAAAAAGTATTTGGTCGACTTTTCCCCATCTTCGACCCATTTAGTCCGTGATCTAATTTTTGCAGATTCAGTCTAATTTGTATAATATTCCTTAATTTCATTTTATTTTTCTAAAATTTTGTCAGATGGTTTATTTGATTCATTCGATTAAAGTTTTAATTTTTCAAGCTGTTTTTCTAAAGCAATGACATATTTTTGCTTTGATAAACAGTTTAGTTTTTGACTAATTTCCATAGTCAAAAATTTAATCTTTGTTTTATGTTAGTTTGTTTTTTTTTAGTTCGTGCCGATCTATTGAGTTATAACATTTGCAACTGAATTTTATAGTTTGTTCATCTGTTTAGGTGTCAAACAACTGACATTTGTTAGAGGGATTGTGGAGTGCTCATCAAAATGTCTACCCCAGCCACATTCAAGAGCCTGTTATTCAGTGGTTGTCGGAGATTACGTGTCTTTCACATTTATTTTGTCGATGATTGTATTGTTATAAATTGGGCCATTAGTGTTCTTGTTTAAATTGCTTCACATTTTTTATGTCGGTACCTTTTAAAACTATGCCATTTCGGTGTTCGTCAATTATATTTTACTTAATGACAGTAATGGTGCCATTGCTAAACAACGTGCATATTATGGAGTTGGAAGTGGTCGAATTTGGCTAGACGATGTAAACTGTACTGGGAGTGAAATAACTATAACGCAATGTAGCAACAGGGGATGGGGTTCCCATAACTGTGGACATAGTGAAGATGCATCTGTCATATGTGGAGGTAAATATATAAGTTATAATTTACACATGCATACACGCGTTTAAATATTGTTCATCTCAACTGTTTTTTACAGGTACAAATTAAGCATTACTATGATCGCGAAAACCGAATTATTTCAACAAATTGTCCGTAATTCAACATAGTTCAACAACTGCTGATACAATAACTATGATATTTGAATTTTTGATTTTCTTCTTTCATATTGATTACAGTTGAAGTGAACATTTCACATTTGGCAATTATACCAACAATATCAGAGAGAGATGGGATAGTAGAAATGGTGGCCAATGGGCATTTTGGTTATCTTTACTGTAATGAGCAAACATACTGTCCTACATTGGTCTGTCAGTATTTGGGATACAGGTATGTGCAAGTACCTTCTACAATATTTATTTCAACAAACTTATTTTTGATAAAATAATTGCAAAATATCATTGAGGACATCATTTTGATTTTGTTGCTATTGTGAGATGTCATGGGCCGGTACCAGCTGTGATAACAAACATGTAAATTGAAGCATTAATCTGTAGATTCCTACATATACAACTCTTTCTTGTTACAAATGCAAATATCAACGTAATAAGTCAATATGTTCCTTATGTCGTAGCTACAATACCCTTTCCTTTTCACGAATGTGACCTACCGAATTAGACCATTTACCGGATTTGTAATAACATAAGCAACACGACGGGTGCCACATGTGAAGCAGTATCTGCTTACCCTTCCGGAGCACATGAGATCACCCCCAGTTTTTGGTGGGGTTCGTGTTGCTTAGTCTTTAGTTTTCTATGTTGTGTCATCTGTACTATTATTTGTCTGTTTGTCTTTTTATTTTTGGCCATGGCGTTGTCAGTTTGTTTTCGATCTATGAGTTTGACTGTCCCTCTGGTATCTTTCGTACCTCTTTTTCAATACATGGAGGACCTACCATTTTTATGTTTCATATGTAGACTGCGATGTTAAATTCTGCTTGTCCACACCACGCCACAGTGAAGGATATGTGAATGTCTTAAGACATAACCTTCTGATAGCAATCTTATTATTGTTATACGAGAAAAGTAACACAGACTAACATTTTTATGTTCCACGGAATTGGATATATCGTATCAGAAATATATATTCCTTCAGATCTACGTTTGAATTACTTATCTCCCAGTTGAATCAAAGTTCCAAATCTTGTATTCCCTATCATGATTTCTGTGATAGAAGGTTGTTACTTTAAAGAAAGCTATTAAACCAAAGGTTACAAGTCGTAAATTTGAACTCATCTTTTCGAAAATTAAAAATACGACAGCACGGGTTCTTGACCGGTATGGAGTATCAATTCCTTAGATACGACGGATATGTTCCAATACTCCAACAATTCCATTCTTTTTTCAGACCGTACAACTAAGGTCATCCCCAGTTTTCGGTGGGGTTCGTGTTGCTCGGATTTTAGATGTTTTTGTTGTGTTTTATGTAAACCGTCCTTTGTCTTTCCGTTGTTGCTCGTTTTATCAGTGTGTGATCAGTTATTTTTCTTCGATTTGAGCGCAATATCATTGTGTATCTTTACATTAAATTCGTATGAAGAACGTGCTCACAAAGCAGTAACGATCATTGAAATACAAATAAATGACAGTCATTTAACCAAAATGTAATCCTTTCATAGTTAGATTTTTTTGTTTAGAATTGTAAAGAGAATACGTAAAAAATTACTGTTATGTTTGTTTATCACTGCATAACATTCTATTTACCTTTTAAATATCTTTATTTCATTTAATAGACCACTTTCGAGTTCGTTGCATTTCCGTCAAAAACTTTGGTTTTAATGAACCTCATTCGTGCATTAAGGGGCATCGTCACTTCCTTCCCGTGTTGCGCGAGCGGTGAAAAAAATATGATGCTATATTGCACGAATAATTTGGCAAATTAAATGCTTATTATTGATAATCAGCACTGCTGTCATTAGGGAATTATGATTAAGTACTGTGGATTCATTATGATCCGTTGGATACCAATTTTCGTGGATTTTGTGGATACCCAGGAACCACGAATTCCAATGTCCAAACGAATTACAAATTTTGTATAGGAATATATGCAGATTTTTGCAAAACCACGAAATCAAATATCCACGAAAATGTAAATTTTCCTCAATCCACGAAAATTGGTACATACGGAACAACATTATTTCTAGATTAGCTTGCATAAAGACGATCACGAATACGCTTTATGAACTTTATTAGTGTAGGGATACAGGCGGTCCCCTCTATCTGGTAAATGACGTCATAAAGGCGCTTATAATAACAGAACTTTTCCGGTGAAGGATATAACTCAAAATTGGTCTATTAGATGAGTAATGTTTAAATCAATAGAAAAACTCAAATAAATATATTCAAAGTGCATGTACTTTTTCGATATAGATACATTGAAAAAAAAACGTATTTAAAGTATCTTATTTTCAATCATTTTGCTTTTAAGATTAATAGAACTAAAACCGACTACTGTTAAAACCATTATTTATATTCTAGATCTGGGTCTATTAAGAACAGTTATTATGAATCGGGTTTACCTTATCTTGAAGTAGTTTGTAATTCAGCAACAACACAACTAACCGACTGTGGGATTTCGTCTATAACTTCTAATTATTATTTATCTGCAGTAGAGTGTGGTAGGTATAACATTTAACATACTATTTTGAAAAACAAATATGACAGAATTGATTTGATTGTTAGTAGATAAAAGAAGATGTGGTATGAGTGCCAATGAGACAACCCTCCATCCAAATACAATTTGTAAAAAGTAAACCATTATAGGTTAAAGTAATATCTTCGAAGACATTTTCAATTCTCACTGCATTTAAAATAATACGAAATATATAGATAAAAACACTAAAATGTATCAAATGATGGAAATATAAGCTGTATTTGAAAAGAAAATTTTTGATACAATCATTCGTATGCTTGTTTTCTGGAAGTTGTGTAATTTTCAGTATTTTTTCATTTCAAGTTGATGATAATGAAGGGATTGACTGCAAGTTTGGATATAACTACCAAGAAGCATGCTCTTATAGAGTCAATAACTATGGGAATGGATGGTCCTTTGTCAATAATGGTAAGTCGGGGTTATTTATAAAAGAAATATTACGAGAATAACATGAAAAGTTAATCATTAGGACGCAACTGATCTAACTCACGTTTGGGAAAATGTTGCAAAGATATCAAAGGGACGTTCAAATACAATACGTCAAAAAAAAAAAAAAAACATTGGACAAATAACAAAGAACAAAATACAAAAAAGACAAATCAAGATCAAATAGCACATACTGAACCAAATGTAGAAATGTAGGCGGGATCTTAAAACTGTTCCGGTAACAGAACCGCTAACGAATCCGTTGTCAAACAGTGTCAATCAAGATTAAAGGCAATTTCGTCTCTTTTTTGCGCCTATGTTTATCTTTGTGTACACAAGTTGATAAAATATATGTTATACCACAATCTACCTAACTATTGATACTGCAAATGCAGTCCGTAACACATATCTGACGACTGCTTTTTCAACATGACAGGTTGTTAGGGTATTCGCATGTTTTACATTACTTCATTGGTACTGTTTTTTGTTCCACGCATTGATAAAGTAATAGGCTACGTGTCTATTTGTAACGAAGTAAGTTCTTTGGATTTTCAAGTGGCCAATGTTATACAAAACTAAATATAAATATAAATTTAATAAACAAAACTAAAGTAAAGTAAATTCAACATTAATGAAGTAATGAAATGAATAAACACAAACGTAACAAGATAAACACACACGAAACAGAATTAATATAATGTTATGAAATAAACAAAATGAAATCAAACGATTTCAGTCTGCACACCACCATCAACTCTGCACACTTCCCGGTAATGTTGAACGTTGCACGTACTGTAATATAAATTTTGTGTTGTTCCCCTTGGAACTCTTTTAATATTAAACGGGCGGAAAATAACTATTTGCACACATTTTTGGTTGATTCTAAATTGACGAAAAGAACACTAGATTATATAATTTTACTGCAATGAATAACTTCAATGAGCCACGATGACTTGAAACTGTATAATACTGCACGGACTGCTTGATTCCTTTGACATATTTTAACGACTTTTTATATATTTCTCACTGATATAATTCACCGACTCCAAAAGTTGTAATTTTTATCAAGTTGATACTATATAACCAATGACACAATTTGTATCTCTATCACCATTATCACCGACCAGTCGTCGGTGTTTAATACGTGCTATACGCACACCAAAACTGGGCCTAAAAATCCCTGCAAAATAAATATTGAACCCAAAAATTACTTACTTTATCTATACATTTGCATAGTATAACAACTATTCGGACATTCTGGACCGCGAGGAAGAAATATCATCTCGACAGCAAAATAGCTTTAATGTACTATATAAATAAGTATACATGTCTTACCTGAGTGTTGTAATAATAAACCTTGGGATATCCATGTCCTGAATTGACAATTCTAATACCCAACTGCAAATTTTACTAACTCTCAACTCAGCACAAGCGTGTGCTTTACTCAATGGCCATGTGTCGACTGATTTGAAACTCACCTGTGAAATTTCAATAGGTGCCTAATCACGTGATACACATGAAAGGTCTGCTTGATTATATAGTCCGGTGTTAGTGAAAATCAGCCCTAACATAAAATATAGTCCTATGTGAAATAAATATATAGAAATAAATAACTGAAGTTTGTTACACTATTGCTTGGACTAACACCTATTAACAAAAATATCCCCTTGAAAGATACAAAGCTTGTGTTTATGTCCAAGACGCACGTTTCGTCTGCAAGGAATTCGCTCGAATTGAATAAGTTAAAATGTCAAAAAAACAACTTTCTACAAAGTACTATTGAATCACAGCCGGTACTAGGTGGTGTATACATCAATGTAAAGGTTTCCTGCCTTGATTAAGTTAGAAAAATACTCAATATACATTTTATAACTTCATTATTTCATAACGTCATATAGCTCTTCAGCTGTTCTGGTTTTTATGTATTCTTGGCTTTGATCATTCCTGATAAATGTAAATTCAGAAAACGGTTCAGATATATAAAGTATTGTTTTAATATTTTGAACTGATCTGCCAATTTGCTGCAAATGTATTGCAATCAGGGTAATTTGTAATTTGACAAAAAATTTTGCCTTAAATTAAGCCCAACAAGGTGAGATTTACAAATCTGTTGTTGCAATGTTTTTGTCCCTCCCACAGAGGGATTCGAACCCTGGCATCAGATATGATGGATATTATGAATCTAAACACGTGTCTGGAGTACCAAACTATTAGCCTGTTATCTATAAATAATATATATTGATAATCTAAATACTAGAAGAAAAGTAAAAGAAAACTCACTTTTCAGTTCAATTTCAATATTATGTCAGAAAAATAACAAAATTTGATTTCATAAATTAAAAATAGTCTTCAGATCTAATTATCACACTTAATTATCTTATTCTCGGGCACGTTAACAATGTACAAAAGAGTGTTCAAAAACATAATGTTCGATCAAACAACTGCAAAAAAGATAAATATAAGGGAAAATCATAAGAAGATTGATATAATAGCCTCAAAAAAGAAACCGCTGAAAGAGCATTTATAAAATTTAGAATTTATCAATGTACTCTAGTACAATTATAGATCAGTAAGACTTTGTTCAAATGGTAACTTTTCTCCTGAATCATGAATTTAGGAATATAGATTAAAATGTAACAAAATGTTATTCTAATACTTTATTTTTCAGGGTATGCCTTGTACTCATACAACGGTAATACATCATCAGAATTGATATCAAATCCATTTACAACAATTTCTGGTAGCAGTATACGAGTCAATTTAACAATTTTGTCATCAACCCAAAGATTACACTTTCGGCTACATGCAGGAGATACAATTGTTGATCTTGGATATGCTGTTTCTGGTGAAACAAGTGCGTGTCTAGACTTACCACCCTCACTAGTTGGACGTTTGATCGTAACAGGATATTCTTTAATACCTATTTCTAGTAACAGTCTTGTGGCATATGTTTATGATATAAAAATATATCAAGCTGAAACATGTCCAAGTAAGTTCGTCACATAAGCTATATATGCATGTACGTTCAAAAAAGGTTTGCTTATAATGGCTCACTCATTAATGGCAATCTTATCACAATAACTGAATTGATAGTTTATCTTACGAATTATTTTTTGCGATGCATAGACGTGTGTAATGTTATTGATTTGATTTGATTATATTCTAATTTTTTGGTAGCTAGCACTACTAACGGGCTATCAATTTTCAGTTACGAAATATAGACTATTGGTAAAAGTGATCATATAATGGTTTTGCCTGATTTATTTCCAAGATTTTTGTTTTGTTTTAGTTACATGTATTGGGTCCAAATCATTAGATCCTGCATATACATGAAGGTTCAGACTTCACCTATTACACAAATTTAAACAGATTGAAACAGCGCCTACAAGAGAGGATACAATTGTGTGATATGTGTGATGTATTTATGTATAAATCGTACATTCATTTAGAATACTTTTATTTTATCAGAGCCTTTCCCCTACGGCGCATGTCAGTTTGATTGGAATTGTCATGTGAATATCGAATGTTCAACATCAATTGCTGATCCTATACCATTTCAGTGGGTACAAACTTATCAAAATACGCCTGGTAATATTTTTTTATTTGAGTTGTTATTTATGTATACATGTATTTGTACTTCATCAACCGGTTCTTTATTATTTACTTTATGTTGGAAAGTGTAAAAGATACATTCATTATTTCCAATATTCATTTGCAGTTCTAAATGTCTAGTTGCATCTATATTTCTTTAAACATTCTGTGAGACCTTTTAACGAACAGGCTACCATAAGCCTGCACACTAAATACCATGAAATGTGTTCTATTAAACCTAATAGTGGTAACTCAAAATTCGGAAAAAAAATTAAATGACCAATTATCAATATATATATTAAAATACGGATGACACTACATGAGGAAGGATAAGGTTTACATTTTGGCAATGTTATGGTGGTTTGTGGTTAGATAAGTGAATTCAGAAGATAACTGTAGCTACTTATATTGAACCTCTAGCATGCGATTCAAGACCAATACCACTAAAGAGGCACATAATCATAAATCTGTGATTAGAATATACTTTATATAATACAGAACACAAATATATGAGAGCTGATGCGTCATTTGGAAGACTGGGCGAAAAGGCGAGATTTTCCATACCACTGAATGTAACAACCAATCAGAACTTAAAATTGAAATACAGAAACACGGCAACACGAACTGATAGTTCAGGGTTAAATTCTTTACAGGTATAATGATTAATCTGTCATTTTTTCATCATGTGAATGTTACATTGTATGCGTAACAAAAGAAAACTGCAAAATGGTAGCAACTGAAATAGACAAAATTATATTATATCAATAAAGTTAAACTTTTGCACCCTTATATCTATTAACGACACCCTTCAGTTTTAACTGTTCTTAATGCAATGAAACTGGACAACATTTGAAGCTGAAATTCACGTTACTAAAAAAAAACTGTTTATCAACATTTCAAAAAGTTGTAAAAACGAATGACATAAATCAAATATAATAAGGCGTTAAAAATTTGTTAAACTGTAGGAACAAATACAAATACAAATTGGATTAGTATCGGTTATCAAAATATCTAATTAAACATGTATATTGTATCTTTGGTAAAGTGGTGAAGTTGAAGTCATCCCTTCGTAAATTGTATGGGCTCCATCACGAGTTGGTTGACCGTTATGGAATATTCGTTTCACAGATGATAATGGATATGTTCCAATTGTCGTAACTACAATCCCGTCCCCATTTCCCTGAATGTGACCTACCGAATTGGACTTATTGCCGGGTTTGTATTAACATGAGCGATCCGACGGACGCAACATGTGGAGCAGGATCTGCTTACCCTTCCAGATAACCTAAGATCACCCCCATTGTTTGGTGGAGTTCTTGTTGCTCGGTCTTTAGTTTTCTATGTTGTGTTTTGTGTACTGTTGTTTATCTGTTTGTCTTTTTTCTTTTTAGCCATGGCGTTGTCATTTTAATTTTGACTTATGATTTTGATTTTCCCTTTTGTTTATTGTGCCTCTCTTTGGTAGTCTCTGTATTTGGTCAACACTTGTTTTTACTCTAGGCGTATTTTGTGATACGTTTTCTCATTGATGTATACCCACAGTTCAATTTCTTTACGCGCAAAATCTCTATTAAAAAAAATCGAATTACCACGAATACAATGGCAAAAGATAGTTTTCTCGAATATGTAGATATTACCAAATAAAAATCAAAACGCGAGCAATGAATTTGGATATAAACAATTGTTTAACATATAGATCAGTTTAAGCATGCACTTTTCCTGTCTATTAAACTTGTTGTTGACAATTGAATCTCAAACAATCTTAAACTCTGATAAATTAAATCAGAAGAAGGAAAAAGTCTGTTTGTCGAATTCACTTTTACTTGTTTGATATAAATACCTTGTGATTTGACTTTTTAACTCAAATTTTATAGATCAATCTTAATCACAATGAAGAAAAAGAGCAGATTTTCGAGAGTTTAAACTTTAACACATATGGATCATGGGAACCAGTCTGCGTATCAATGTTATATAGAAACACAGGAAATATAACAGATGGTGATATTGAATTTATTGCAACAAGAGGCTCCTCATATTTAGATGATATAGAGGTTGATGGTGTTGAATTGATTGAAAGAGAATGTCCACGTATGTATAAAAAAAATATACAAAGTTAATATTTACCTTCTTCGTATGGGTTGAATGATATATGTTGCTAATGCTCACAAACCCTACCTTCTTGCAATGATACTCTATACTGTTACATAATGGTGGCACCGAGTCAATTGATAAAAAAAATGCGTTGTTTGAAAACATAAAGCGATTGTACATGATTTGTAATGATAAATATGTAAGTCATATTGATATTGTTCAATTTGCAAAATTATTTTATTACAAAGTGGTGAATTTTAAAGATAGACAATTATTGCTACAAACTAATGGCGAACGTGCGTAAACATCAACGACGTCATAGGTAAAATAGCGATAAACAGATTATCAAAAGTCTTTAACAAAAATATAACACAAATACCAAACTCTTAGACAAATTCGAAAGGGGGAAATCCATAAAAACTGTTAACATCAAACAATATGAATCAACAGAACAAATAAAAAAAACAACTGCCATATTTCTGGCTTCGTACAGTCATTTTCGAAGAGAAACACCCTCTCGTTTAAAACCATCGATGGTTTCTAAACTAGAGGGTGTTTCTCAACTATAATCTCATTAACGGGTAACATCCCTGAGATGAGATGTGGCCGAGAAACATCCTGAGATTTAACCCGCCATTTTCTTCGAAAAATATATATAATTGCTTGTTTAGTAACATAATGCAAAACTTCACATATCAACGACGATGAATATGGGAAGCAAAATAATAGGACACGTTACCGCAGGTTATCTGTTAAACAAATCAATCATGTGTCCGATTCGCACTTTGTTTGTAGTGATCATGTATTTTTAACCGATGTACTCTCTTGAAATTAAATGAACGTAGATGTTAGATTTAACATATATATAATATTTTACTATATATAACATCAAAATACGATTTACATGTGTTTCTTTCCAATGTACTTTCCAAACAGTTCAGACACTTCACTTTAGTTTAGATCTCAGAGGTAAAATTGATTGACTGCAATAATTATACATTAAGCACAGAAACAAAGATATGTACACCTACAATGATCTGGTTTTTTTTTTTAAAAGAAAGCGTTATTTGCAAAGGGAAATCAAGACACTTTTTAATTATTTTTATTGTTTCATCGTCTTTATCAATTTTAAGACACCAAACGCATGTGAAGGTATTCACAGAAAATGAGTAGTCCTAGCGCACGCAAAAAACATGATACACATACACGGTGTCTTCATGTACATTTAGCAATACATGTTGTTTACCTTCAACTGTACTTTATATTTGTCTATTGTTTAAGTTGAGATACTGCTTAAAGGGCCAACATGTAAGATAATGTAAATAAAGTTTATTCACAAAACAATTTACACACTTGATGAAAATAAATCTTTACAAAAGTATTTTTTGCTTTTTTCACCTTTTTTGACAAGTTAGACAATGTTTTAAGTAAGATATAAGCCTCTAAGAGTCCATTCTGTAAAATATTGGACAGGTCTTTAGCCTCCAGCCTCAGACCTGCCCTATATTTTACAGAATGGGTTGTTATTGGCCTATATCCTTTACCAATAGTATAGGTTATACATTTATTAACTGTGAGTTATGTCTGATGCAGTATTTAAAGCAATAAAAATTCTACAAATCTAGAGGCCAACAAACTAAATGTACTTTTGGGACTGCGTTATTATATTTGCATGCCAATACTATTTAATTTTTCTATTTGTTCATTGTTGCATGTGGTATGGTGACCTATACATGAAAGTCTATTTTGGTTATTTTCTCTTGATTTATAACCTATTGACATTTTACCCGAATCCTCTTATTTCAGATTTCGCTTCTTGTGATTTCCAATTTGCAACATATTGTCATTATACAAAAGTTTCGGATTCTAGTTTTTCTTGGCATTGGGGAACATATACCTTGGCTCATAATTATACACAGAATATACCAAAAACTGATGATACAGAGAAAACACGCATTGGTAAGTTCTCGTTTGATTGTTTTCTATAATTGAAAGGCGTATACAGATGTTTATTAACCTAAAGTAATTACGGATTGTGAAAATGCAATCCGACCCTAAACTTAGTGATAACAGGTGTGTCGACAGGGAAAACATCACTTGCTATGCATGTATCGTCGAATACACAATAATGAAATTATCCAGTAACACGAGCCAACACAGAAAAATAAAAATAAAAATTAGTCAATGTTTTGTAAATTTCATCTTAATTTTATAGGAGGATACATGTACACATCAAGTTGTCAACCCCTTGGAAATGAAAGTGAAGGGGACATAACTAGTCTAACGACACCCTTGTTTGAAATTAGATCATCAAGATCAATGACAGCATCATTTAACTACTACATGAACGGCTTGACTACTGGGGCATTTAAAGTCTACGTAAACAAACATCATGATCCTGTCGTGTCCACTGAGGTACGATATATAGAAAAATCGTGTTGTCTTAAAACACTTGAGCTTTGATCACTTGGTATTTCATAAATTTTGTAGAGTCCTCTTCAAAATCAGTAAGTTTTCTGGTATATTCCTTTAAAAGTATATAATAACGGTAGGGAAAATATATAACATTCAATATTCCAAAAATGATGGAAGAAGTTAATATGATAATAACGAGGTCTGGATCATAACTGATTGCCAATAAAACAAATATCAATCAAAAAGACTAACTATTTAGAATATGAACAATAACAACGTACGGACCAAAATAATGTGCAAAACTAATATCGATTAAAACAATGTAATAAGCTTCAAGACGTCGCGGAATGGCTTAAGTGAAGCAACTTAACGGTATGATTCATACTTGCATGTAACCCATAACCAACAACAACTATGGTTGACGGACACCAACAAAAACACTAGAAAAAAGCCCCTTTGATGAAACAGGCACATAAAGAATGTGACGGGGTTAAACATGAAAGTTTTTGTATTTCGTGTTCTGTAGAAAGTATGAAGCAATAAGAATAAAGGACGAATCACGATTAGTAAAAGTGTAACGGTAAAAATGAAATTCGTACTTGTAATAAAGTGATCCCCAAATTATTTTCTTGCCAAGTAAATTGGAACCTACACATGAATAAATATAACTTACGGATGTTCATTTTTTATGGTTTGTTGGCAATAAGAGATATACGGAGTTTGTTTAAATAGTCCAATGTGTACTTTATTTGTTTCGTTCAAGTCAATCTGTACAGTCACTTGTCATGCTTATAATTTTGACAATCTACAGCTTATAACTTTTTATAGATGTTGTCCCTAAATTCCACACAAAGAAGTGAGTGGTCATATTCCTGTATTAACCTTCCAAGAGAAAATGTTACATTGTCAATCACGTTTTCTGCTATATTGGGCGAGGGATGTGACTCAGTGTATGCTATTGATGACGTTTTGATTTCAGATGGTATATGCGCAGGTGAGTTCTTGATAAAAGTAAGCTTTTATTTCCAATACTGAAATTTGTCATTTGACCAAACAAAAATATTTAGTAAACGAATATTAATCGTTCATAACAAATTGTTCATGAAAATATATGTAGTAAAAGGATCTTGGTTTAAAAAAGACTTAGGTAACATGTGATACAGTTCTATTATTAAAAGTGAAAACAAAAAATTAAAAATTTAATGATAAAACTGTTTCAGACCACTTAAATGAAGTAACATGCAGCTTTGAGGGGATGAACTCCTGCAAGTATTTTACAAATAGTACCAAAGGATCCAACTATCAGTGGACCAGGCGAAGAGGGAGGACACCTTCGGAAATGACTGGCCCCTATGGCGATGCAGACGGGGACTTTAATGGTAAGTTGAAATATAAAGTGTTTAGTTTTTGCACTTGACGACATAAATGCTTGTTCCTAAAACCATATGTTTATGTCAATATCAGTCAGTGTTAATTTGGTAGCTGCTTACACTATATTATGTCGATGTGCAGCTCAATTTATAATTCATAACAACAATGGACGAACAACTGCATAACTAATGATAAGCATTCCTTTTTCTTTTAAAAGCAATTGATCATTGAGGATATTATACAAGTGTACCATAATTTCTTCCGAAATACATTAAGGTACAAAATAATTGGACATATTATAAGACTGATAGACGGACAGACGGACAGACGGACAGACGGACATACAATATCATTATTGCTATTTTCATTTTTTTTCATATACAAATACCTACAAAGCTATCAACTCAATATACTTTGCTGAAACAGTTGAATTGTTTGTTTAAGCATTAAAAAAACTTACAGACATTACAGCATAGATGCAACTGTAAAAGCATATTAGATTAATTATTTTTATCTTTTTTGTTCAATTTTGTTGAATGCTGAACAGTAATATGTTGTTAACAATTTTGCACATTTGTCTAAAGTAGATAGTAATATCATTTGTATATCTAATCGTTTAATAATTCCTTATTTTCATTATTATATTATTATTATTTCAGGTCATTTTATGTATGCAGCGAGCTCCAATGGACAACCGGGGGACATGACATACTTATTATTTCCATCATTCATTAGTTATAATCCAAGCAGTTTGCATTTCTCTTACAATATGTGGGGTACCGACATTGGTACTTTGGATATCCAGTCACAAAACATTGCATCGTCTACTGTTACCCAACTTTGGACCAGAACAGGAGAACAGGGTCAATACTGGATCAAAGACTGTGTTCCGATTACAACAAATATGGTACAGAAAATTCAGTTTGTAGCAACCAAAGTTGCGGGACTTTATGGTGATATCGCAGTGGATAACATATACGTTGTTGAAGGAAGTTGCTCAGGTATTGAATTAACCATATTAACCATATCAGTTAAACATTTCAGTGTTAGACAGACATATATGCGACATATTCAAAATTTCATGGTAATTGTTGACTGGATTTTAAAAAAAATCATTGGCTTCTTACATTCGTTTATATTACAAAATTGATAATTCTTTAACTACGTTACGTTTTACTTATTAATAAGAAATTTACTACTCGGTATAATAACGGATTGAACTTTTGTTTGTCTACGTCCAGTGAAAGTATCAGAAAAGAAAAAGAGTCACTGTTCACTGCAATTACCTTCTGCATAACCTAAATTTTGGAATCGATGTTTTGCTTTCAACTTTATGCTATTTCAAAAAAAAAAAATCAGTTTTTAAGAATTAAAAACACACAACAGAACAAAATGATTTAAGACATTGTATTTAGAAAAAAATGCAAATTTTGCACGGCTTTACACAGTAAGATTTTACGAGTTTTTGTTATCTGAATAATATATTACATGATATTACATACTATGAAATAAGCAAAACAAATAATACAAAAAAACTTCTCTGCAATATTCCGAATTGTTTTCTCCACTGGTTATGTTGGACATAAATGAAAACAACACTTTATAAATAGCATGCGTCTGAAGCACTTTTCTGGATTTACCTAAACTGACACTCAAAATTGCATAAATATAAAAAAAAACCTATCATGCGATTTTCGTTTTCCCTTTTACAGATAAAAGCTTGGTATGTGATTTTGAAGACGGTACTTTTCTATGTGGATACATTAATGGGACATCTTTTACAAATGTAGGCAATTGGATATCGGTATTACATAACTCTGACAATGTTGCTGCAAAGGCTAGTTCTGAAAACGGTAAATGCTTTGTGATAACTTGAGTTAGAATCATTGGCAAAAGGCATTTTTTTATGGCGAATTCTTATACTAAATGTATAATCTTAAGGTTTAATGCACCTGTGAGATAAGCAGTCAGGTACATTTGTACTTAAGTCTATCCTTCTTTATATCCATTCACCTCTGAAAGGGGTTTAGGCTTGAACACGTGATGTTCCGTACAGATTTCAATGAAGTGGGTTTTTATTTGGAAGAATATATGTGCACATCCTAATTGTGTGCATACTGTTATTTCGATTTAAACTATTGTTGCTAACAAAATTAAGGGTTGTCGAATTTTAATCCTTTTAATTCAAATAATAATAAATATTCGTTTTTTTCCATCTCAATAATGCAGTATACAAGCTAGAATATTTTTGTTGTTTTTGCAGAGCATGTGCAAATTCTTATTGTTGTCATTATTATATCCTAAATAAACCATCTCGTCAGTGTATATCACGGAATATGCCACGTCATGTATGATCTGGAGAAAAAAAAACCATCAAAGATACTCGTCGTTTAATTGTGTACATCAGACGTGCGTTTTGTCTAAAACTAGAACGACTCAACAGTGACGCTCGAATAGAAAAATTTAAAGGACAAAAAAGTACGAAGTTGAAGAGGACCCACTATTCCGAGTGGTTTTGCTAAATACATAAGAAAGGAAAGAGAAAAACAAATACCTTTCATTCTTAAACCCTCGATTCCAAGTGATATAGGGACACGCATTTGTTACCTTATCTAGCGAATACTTAGTTGCACTCATCATTATATTCCGTAATTTAAAAATAGAATGTAAGTCAGGACGATTGTATATGAAAAATTATGTTTAGTGTTTCTTGGTCTTAACAGAAAATACATTGTTTTGTTTTTGTTTTGATATTATATAAAGCTTAAAGACTTTTTTATATTACACAAAATGTATGGGAAGCATGAAGCATCAGACAAAAAATTGTCATTACATACTTATGTTAGAAACATTGAAATTTCAAGAAAAAATAAGGACACTTTGGAAAATGGGAGCTACATACAGATATATGCTCAGTGATTTTTATGACATAACCGAAAAGACATTCTGACTAATCATATCCCATTTGTTGCTTCAGCGTGTGTTTTTAATGCAGTGTTTTAAGTAGAAATAGTGTTAATTTTTGATGAATTTTGAACCTTAAAATCTTTTAATTGAATGTTGCTTTTTTCAAATTCAATAGAACAAATTTGTCTTCCAAATTTTATGCAGACATTTTGTGCATTCAGTCAATTTTAGAAGCATAATATATTGGTTAAAATATCCGGTATCCATTCTGTTCAAATCACCATATATGTTCTTGTCTGGTTGATTTGACTTTATATAAAATCAGAAATGTGCTTCAAATAAGGGCGAGTGATACCAAAGGGACATTTACAACTAATTTTTTGAAGAGAAATTGACAATTCAAGGTAAAACAACAAAAAACTCCTACATATAGAACATAAGACCGAGCAAAGTGAACCCCACAGAAATTTGAGGGTTCAGGTGTTCGTTTTAATCTTTTCCTACCAGAATCAAAAACGCGCATAAAGAATAAAATACTAGTGATAGAATACTACTTAACAGATATAACTTGCTTGAAAACACTCTGACTATCTTTAACCAAACCTGATGTTTGTCAGTTTGTCACATTTCAAAGTATTTACGGTTGCAGGAAGATTTATATGGTCTGCATCTAACACAAATGAATCAATCCTATTATCACCCGAATCAGCAGTATCGTCACCAATGTGCATAACTTTCCAATATTATACCAAGTTTCAACAACGATTTGGTGGATCACTGTCTATATCTGTAACACAAATATCATCTAGTAGAAATGAGAGTTTTTTTAACGTTTGGAGCACAAATATGGACACTGGAAATACCTGGAAAACCGGTCACTTTAAATTGCCTTTTAACGACACAAATAACCATTACCGTATGATGGTATACAAGTCAAACGGAGAGGTTGGGTTGGATAACATCAATGTTTCGTCTACAGGATGCATTACATTATGTAAGTATGCAAGTTTTCATTATCTGTTTGAGTAATGTGTTATGCTTTACATGTATCTAGAATTATATATATATATATATATATATATATATAACCAGTCTAAAAGGGTACAACATAACCAAAAAACGAACAAATGTCACTATAAATATTTCGGATAACAGATATCCTCCATCAGTATGAGCACGATGTAAAATGAATCAAATATGACATATTTTACCAGCTTATATCGATCAGTGCTGTTTTTTTTTTTTGGAATGTATTTACACGCAGTTGTTGTAACATCTTAACTGACGTCATTTTGGAATTTTAGAGTTGTGCCAGTTCATATCTCTAATTACTATTTTTCATTTAGGCATGTCTTTGAGTCGTTTTTTGGAAATTTAAAAAATTTATTAGCGTCTCTACATATGATGTTCGGGTGAAACTGTTTCACTTTTTTCATTGTATAGAATTCAAGATTGCTATAGTTTAATAATCAGAATAGATTGATCTGATTCATTTCACATCGTGCTCATACTGATGAAGGATATCTGTTATCCGAAATATTTATAGTTACATTTGTTCGTTTATTGTCATTTTTTGGTGATGTTCTACCCTTTTAGACTGGTTATATATTATATTTTGTAGTGTATTGTATCATATTTATATGATCCATCGCCCCGTAAGATTTATCGTTGGCTATTATTCAGTCATTTTATATATATACATATATATATATGTATAGATAGTATATTAAATTATTCTAAATATCAGCACAACAATGTTAAATCTGCAAATTTGTGGAAGCAAATTTTTGTTCTTCCCTCGCAGGGATTCGAACTCATGCTAATGGGATATCGAGACAACATAGATAGTATATTATATATATATATAAATATATAATAATAGAGGTCAACCAAAATCGGGACACAAAAAGTAGAAAACAGAGAGAGAGATTTTGGTGCATCTGCTGCGTACTCTTGAACCTGATGGACTTAATGAGAGAGATGAAAAACAGTTTTATCAAAAACCAAAGGACTATCCTGAATTTCATAATATTTAACTAACACAAATATTTGTTTTGAATCTATCAATCGCAATGTACAATAAGTTGCAAAAATATATTTAAAGGACATGTACAATAAGCTACATAAATGTCTTAACAGCATCCGATTTGACCTGGATGACTGCAATCGCCTGATGAAGCTGTTAACACAAACAACGATCGCCCAAGCAAGATCAACAAAAACAAAAAGGATTTTTGTCATGAATTTTATTCTAGTCCACAATGTGTAAATATGCACATATTGCTTGTGAGAGATTTGTTATTTCGGGACTTTTTATAGCTGACTATATGATATGGGTTTTGCTCATTGTTGAAGGCCGTACGGTGACCTATTGTTGTTAATTTCTGTTTCATTTGGTCTCTTGTGGAGAGATGTCTCCGTGGCAATCATACCACATCTTCTTATTTTTATATATAAACCTATGTGAGCGACACAGGTTCTTTAGAGCCTCTAGTTTTTTCTCCTTGTATGTTCTGACGTTACAGTATTTATTACACTAAGACACATTGTTTTATTTTAATTCTTTTTTTCTGTAGCAAGCAGTCTTAGTTGTGATTTTGAAGATTCATATATGTGTGGATATAAAAGTGCTACTATGAATGCCAAACAAGTGATATACCAAGACTGGATTTATGATCACACATATCAAAATATATCAGGTAAGAGGCCTTGTTGATAATGAAGTTTTTTAAAGCTATTTCTGCTGTCTTCAAATAAAGTGTGAAAAGCCAGAGATACCCGTGTTTTAATTAGGTCAAATCCATTAATTCATCGTTAATAGACTCAGGACGATATTTAGCTTGATATTTGTAAACACGCTTGTATATTGTTAAAGACTATAAGTTGCATCTAAATACCTTTGTGTTATTTTTGTCACTTGATTGCCGTCTCATTGGCGTATTCTGTGGATTCATTATATTTGTTGAGTTCTGATTTTCCGTGAACCACGAATTCAACTATTCGTGACATTCAAATTATGTAAAATACAAAGAAGAAATATTCAGCAAATTATTTCAAATAAATTGACATTTAAATTGTTCGTCTATTTTAACATTATTTTGCATGTTGATTTCAGGTCATTATGAGTTTACAAAACATGTATTTGAGTCGACACCACGTAAATAGCCAAACTTTATTCTAAACGACGGAAAACTTCTTGTTCGACAATTTATCAAATACTGTTATTTTATTTTTGTATTGTTAGCTAAATGATTAATTAGATATAAGAAGATGTGGTATGAGTGCCAATAAATCAACTCTCAATCCAAGTCAAAATTTATTAAAGTAAACCATTATAGGTCAAAGTACGGTCTTGAACACGGAGCCTTGGCTCACAACGAACAGCAAGCTATAAAGGGCCCCAAAAATTACTAGTGTAAAACCATTCAAACGGGAAAACCAACGGTCTAATCTATATAAAAAACGAGAAACGAGAAACACTTATGAACCACATCAACAAACGACAACTACTAAAACTTAAATAATCTCAAATTATATTTTCCAGGAACATTTTATGGAATGGTTAGTTATTTGGGATACAGTTTTAGTTTCACCTCACCAGTACAGAAGGTACCGACCATTTCCTGTCTGTCAATGTATTATATAGGTCACGTTAACCTTTTTGAATTTGAGATTGAATACACCTCCAGGAACAGTTTCACAAATACCAGAACAAACTTTTCAGATGCAACGATGACAGACTTGTCTAATGTTTGGAAACCAGCTCAGGTAATAAATACAGCAATATATCTCACGATTTTAATGTATAATGAAATGTTTTTTTCAAAATAAGATTTGCCATAAAATGTTAAGACAGTATAGTTTTGATTGAATTGATATCTGCAGTTCTAATGCAGTTTGCCTTTTTTATGGAGAATTTTTAAATGAAAAGTCAAAACTTATGCAAATATGATATAATTTGAACCAACCTCATAAGAAAACCCATAATGCAAAATATACACTTATATTGCCTAGAGATACAATTTGAAGTCAACTTTAAAGAAACACACTTTTAACTAAATTGGCTGCATTCTACATTGTTTCGTTTTATCTGTAACACGTTTTTATTTGTGTTAATCACGTATTAGCGCACGTGTGCTTTTCTAAATTTCAATAGCTGGATAGAACAACATTGAAAAGTTGTCATCTCCTATCCTAATTATTCTTTTTACATATAGATATAAGAAGATGTGGCATGAGTGCCAATGAGACAACTCTCCATCCAAGTCAAAATTTATAAAAGTAAACCATTATAGGTCAAAGTACGGTCTTCAACACGGAGCCTTGGCTCACACCGAACAGCAAGCTATAAAGGGCCCCAAAAATTACTACTGTAAAACCATTCAAACGGGAAAACCAACGGTCTAATCTATATAAAAAACGAGAAACGAGAACCACTTATGAAACACATCAACAAACGACAACTACTGAACATCAGATTCCTGACTTAAGACAGGTGCAAACAAATGCAGCGGGTTCGAACGTTTTAATGGTACCAAACTTTCACCCTTTTTCTGAAACAATAGTGTAACATCACAATATAGAAAGACACACCATAAAATATCCTGAAATAGCTTAACTCAATCAAAGGACATATTAACACCAATGAACATACAATGAACAAATAAATTTGACCTATGATACAATGCAAATACAAAATAAATTACCTAAGGGAAGAATAATTAAAGTAACATGTTATATCGGTATGAAATGTTAAACAATTTAAGAAAAACAATATGCTCGAACAAAAATATCAGCCATTTGCAATTATTTTAAACACAGGTAAATGAAAATAATTTTGTAATTAGGTATACGTGTACAGTTCCAATAGAGAAAGGAAATAAAAAATCATGCATCAGAGACTAAAATCAACTAAAACACATCCCAGGGATTTAGTATTTCAACGTCGTGGACAGTCAAAGAAGACATGACTTGTGCAATGCCAAAAATAAATGTAAAAATATACCTGTTTGTTGTTATTGTTAAGAGGTGATTATTTTGATATTATAAAGGCAAGTTTCAAGTATGTTTTTTTTTATTAATCTGTTTGTAAATGCAAATAGACTGATCGTCTTAAATTTGATTCAACATATAAAGTAATTTATAACAGTATTGCAATCAAAGACTTCTTCTAGGCTTTATGTTTTAGTGGACAGTTGACCAAGGAGAAATTAAAATCAACTTTTTGATTAGCGATAACAATTATGATGTAAAATACTTTGGACTAGATGACGTCAAATTAACCCCTGGAGAATGTCCTTCTTTAGGTAAGATATTACATCATTTTTTTCACAAGTATTTAATGTATAGTTTATGAACAGAAACAATCCTAAAAATAATTACACTGTATAAAGCATGGTCCGACTCTGCCCGTACAACATTACCGGGTTCAAAAGGAAGCGGTGTTAAAATTTGTGACAATCACAATTCTGGTCAATGATTGTATGTATTTTAGGTAAATTTGTATCCATGCTGGCTGTCGAAAATATGTTAGTTAAAATGTGTAAGGTCTTTATATTCATGCCATAACTACTTGGACCTGATCAATGTATCTCTATGAAAACAATAACTTCGACAGGACTTGACATAATCCATGTCCTTCATCTGTGTTTTGAAAATATAAGTTTTCAAAGATCTCTGCAACATTCTTTGTCAAGATTTCCTGAACTAGAGACATAAGTATTCAAAACCCATTTTGTACGAATTATAATTGAAATATGTTTATGAATCAGTTAAATTTTAAGATGTCAAAATACAACAATAATGAGATAAGAATGCACAAAGGAGACAAACACATGTTGAACAAACTGATGAAAATATTATTTCCCCACTATAAGAGTTGGGGAAACATTGCAATTGCAATGTCTGTTCATCCGTCCGTCCAATGTTTTCGTTGCACATTTCACGGGAACTTTCTACCACAATGACTTCAAATTTGATCAGCAGCTTGCTATGATCAATTGCAGCGTGTCTTCTAACTTCAGTTTGTTAAGTTTAAACAAACAGTTTTGTCCGATGGTTGATTTAGAATCTATAAGACACCTACTTCCTGTCTGTTTCTCTTTGATTAAGGAGGGGGCATGTTCTTAATACAACACCGCGTGTATCGTTTATTTTTGCAATTTGGTTTAAAATAATTAAAGTTATAACTATGACAGTTCATTAATATTTCAGTTGAAAAACAAAACCGATGAGTTCTTGACGTTTTATAGATCGACTTACAAACATTTTACATTATCAAGTTAATCACAGTTTACAGAAATGTATTTTGTCTATTAGTGTGTCCTGTTGATCTTGTTCCTTGCCAAGATGATGGTATATGTATACAGGAAAAAGTGGAATGCGATCACATATTGCAGTGTCCCTCTGGTGAAGATGAAGCTGATTGTCGTAAGTAGTCTTTACAACTTTCTTAAAATAGTGATACTACATTATTGGTTATTTGTAATGAAAAATACATAAAAGAGTTTTGATCATTGGTGAAGGCAATATTTCACTCTGTTGGATAGTTGTCTCCTTTACAATCCTGCCACATGTCATTTTCTTCATATTCTTATCTTCAAATGATGTAAATGATGTAAATATAGTATCCACTCAAGGATAATGAGAATACCACGGGAAATAAAATCATACGTCGTAAGAGACAGACAGACACGAGAAGCGGTAATTATAAAGATAATATGATATACAACCTTTATGTTTCGTTCTCTGTTTGGTTTGAAAAGGCATTATTTATGAAAGGACTTTCTTACGTAATATCCGGTATGGTCTCATATTATTAACTTGCTTGGGATCTGTAATATAGTCCGTTTGGATGCTGAATAGACATATGATTAGTCAACCATCTTATCAATACGGTGGCGGAAACTTATTCAATAGAAAGAAAGTAACCAGGTTTGACATATGTGGAATATATAAAACAGTATTGTGTGTTAAGCTTAGCGACGCCACACACATATACATATTTCTATTTTCTTTTAATCGAACATTAATTACAAAATGACGAAGGTAAGGCCGGCATAGATTCACAGTGTGTGTAATTTCGTGCATCATATACTATCTCGAATATTTGAAGTCGACATTTTGATCATATGCATATCACATGAGTCTTTCTTGAACAATTATTTCAAATGAAACAAGTATTAAACAGATGGGTAATTGTTTTTCAACATCGAGTGGATATATTCTATGCATATTCAGGACTTGAACATTATAGCAATTAGTCCAATATGTAGGTTCTACATCTGAGTCAACGTAGATGGAGGGTGGAAATCTATTGACCTGTGAACAAGTCGTTAATTTCATGTTTTTTTTTATCGTACTGACACCTGGCACTCTCCATGTACCCATCAACGTAGATAAAGGCAACAGTAGTATACTGCTGTTCAATAGTCATGAATCGATTTAACTGAGACAAATCCGGGTCACAAACCAAAACCGAAGGAATCACATCAACTATAAGAGGAAAACAACGGAACAACAGAAACACTGAACTGCTACAAAAATAAACGCCAACATACATAGAAACGGTTATTTGATAACAACTGTCATATTCCTGACTTGGTACAGGACATATTTACAAAACCTATATGCTGATTGAATGAAGTTGTGCATTTGTAAACCAGCTAAGCCGGACTAAAAGTTTTAAGCAAGAATTTGAATTTACAAAAACTTATGCATCGATATAGACAATATTTCAAGATCTTCTTACAATGCTATATTGATAGACTACTGAAAAGCAACTAAGTATGGCTTTCGATTTGCTAAAAATATTGAAGACTTCAAACATCAAAATGAAAACTGTTTGACATATTATTTGTTTACGAAATCTTTCTCACGGTGACAATTATCATTCTTTACAATGTTGCCAATTGAGTATTTGTAAACTAAGTTTACATAAACCTTTAATGTTGTGGAATATTTCTGCACCGTAGAACCTTGCAATGTACTAATATCTGATGACTTTATACTTTAGCTGTGGCTATTAATTGCGACTTTGAAATGCAGTATGCTTGTGGATACTTATTGGGAAGCAATTTTGTCTGGAGAGATGCCTTTGTTCATCATTTGCCAGCTGTTGATCACACTTTTGGTCAAAATGGTACAGGTAAAAAAAGATTAATTGAAGAACATTGAAAACCAAAACATTCCAAAAAGGTCCTTCCTAATACGGCCTGGGGTAAATAAGTCTAAGTATTTGAAAATGAATTGTAAAAATAATAATTTACAAAAGTTGACCGTATCAATGATATTCTTGTCAACATAGGAGTGCTGACTATATGGCTTGTGAAACCCGCGTGGTAGAAACGTCCAAACGTATTGACATCGACCATTAGTTGATTAAAGCACATAATAATGCAGGCATATTTAGACAGTGTTATAGCTACTTGGATACAAGTGTGGGTTTAGCATATGTAACTGTAAAAAGAGGGTCAAACAATATGTAGCAATCAATGATTCAGATGTGTTCTCAAGATTTTTATGATTTAGATATAACGCATATTCAGAAAATGGTTACACTCAATATTAAACGTTTGGGAGCAAAAATATTGCAATTCAAAGTTGAGAATATATTATACACCAAGCAGCGAACTATCTTAACAAAATCTTGTATCAGATCCCCCTTCCGCTTATCATTAATGAAGAGTTGCACATATGAAACTATAAAAAAAATATAAGTACTTTTCCGAAAACAGGATAAGCAAATCCAAATTGTTTTTACTTCAGGCCACTTCATGTTTTTCACTTCTGACTCAAGACAGACAGGAACTTTGTACTCCCCTCCTTTTGTAACAACACCTAGTGGTTGTGTCAAATTTTACTACAATATGGAAGGTGGCGTGTCAGCAGAGCTGAAAGTTTATGTACAGAAAAGTGGAACCCGGTCAATGGTGTTTTACGCAAATGGAATTTATATTGATAGAGATGAATGGCAGGAAGGACATTTTGAGTTACCCGCAGGGGAGACAAGGATCGAGTTTGTTGCATATGGAGACGTCTCATTTTTAAGTCCTGGCATCGTCGCTATTGATGATGTTTCTTTCACAGAGGGAGTAAATTGTCCAAATCTTGGCAAGTATATACATTTAGATACGTATAGGCTTATATCATTAACAAATTCATCATAATTTTTACGTTGTATTATAATATTGTTAGAATCGGAGACAAAAGTGGGCAAACATTATCATAACAGATCATACTTCGAACAGCAGATCCCCTTAAAACAATAGATAGACAAAAGGCAGTCAACAAATGGAAAAAAATTATTCAGCGTTTGACAAACAAAAACGCCAACAATAAACATCATGTTTTGACCTTAGAGATAGTGTCTCTATAGATGATGTGCAATGAAATGAACTAGAATATTTAGATTGATATTTAAATTGTCTTTTCTTTGGACTAGATGAGCTTTAAGATGTGTCCAAATAATTTATGCAATTGTTTCCCTAATGACATTTAAATTATCACACAAGACATCACTAAGGTAGAAAAGATTATTACCACATGTGTGTTCTGTGTTTATTTGCCCTCATCAGGAACATTGAAAATCATGCACAGCATGAACACCAAGAACGGATGAGTATTTGGATACGTTAGGAGTTATATGGCCAAAAGGGACCTACAAAGAATAGCCATATTTAACAATGGCCATCTTTTCCAAAGTTTTGAAAATCTAGTTTTTTTATGATTTCAAAATTTATCAACGGAAGAATGGCATAAATAACTTCTGTTAGAATTTTTCTAATTAAAAACACATTCCACATAAAGCTCGATATAAGCACTATAAAGCAAAATTGATCATTCAGTTCAAAATATTTTGCAGAGAACCTCAATGTCATTCAGGTAGAGTGAAGTATGACTAATTACGAACATTTCTTTTATCTTTGATGATTTTTTAAGACCTGAAACTGTCCCAAATGTTAGCGTTAGAAAAAAACTTGCCAACGTATTTTTGCAACTGTAATAAAAAGAACCCTGTTGGATATGTAAATTTAAGGGTGTTTATGTAAATCCATTCGCATATAACCATTTATTCTAAGGACGAAGTTTGTCAACAAAGTATCAAGAATTGTGTATTTAAAAAATTTCAATGGTTTTATAAAAATTAAAAAAATTTCAATAATTTATAACCGAGAAAGTACACTCTTGTATGTGCTGTTTCTTAAACCATTATAATAATTGGCTTTATGCATTTGTTTTATTGTAGATTGTTATAATACTAGAAATAAATTTGAATGTGCATATTCTGGAGTATGTATTCCAGAATTCCTAACTAGAGATGGCTACAAAGATTGTTTGGATGGATCAGATGAAGGTTTGTATCATAGATTTTCGCTGTAAGATGGCTTTGGTACTAAACTAAATGTATTCCTTCGCACAAATTTTAAAGCTGACAATCTTGAAATGTTAAAAATATCAATACAACCGAGCTATGCAAATTCCAGGGACAATAACTAAACGTGTGTCGGGTTTAATCTAGTTTATTTGAGGTCTCGAAACCAACATTGTATATCGATCACAGGAAAATAAAAAAAATAAGAATTTGCCCAATTCTAATCATGTCCAAAAATACGTTTATTACAGTGTATGTGTTATCAAAGGTCACCTTCTGTGATGTCATAAGAAGACGCATCATTACTTAAACACATATTTAGGAGAATATTCTTGGTGTTTCATTTTATCTTGAATTCTAATTTCAAAATACTTTTATTTTTCGAATAAGTTTATAGTATTTATTTCTTTAACTTAAATTTTGAAGCAAACGAATAAACATAATTCACTAATTGATATGAAAGGAAATTTGAGGTTTCGTATTGAGTTGTTTGTAGTTGAATGGACTGTTTTAATTTCTTACAGCTCTTATTACAAATACAGATGACGTTGAAAGCATTGACAGCTCCACCGGTAAGTTCATATTAATTGCTTTTAAATCATCGTTAGAGAGAATCATTAATTCTGTAAATATTGAAACTATAAAAATCGTACATAAATGGACGTTACTATAAGTCAATGTTTCATTCCTTTTGAAATATAAAATCAATGTTTAGTATTAGTTCTAAACACATTACTCTCAAATACACTGACGACATAACTAACGGTCTGGCAATGCGGAGTTGTTAAAATTACAACTGGTGTTGCAAATTCAATTGTGACATCAAGCACATGTAAAGTTTGTTCAGATAAGAATTTTATTTTCAAAGCGAACAATGCACGTTAAATTAGAATAATTATTTTGATATGTACGTACATGTTATATCTTTATTTGATCCAAATATAGAATCCAAAATGCCTGAAAGATATTTTACAGCAAATCTTCATACTAACATACTGGTAAAAACGTAGTTTGCAGTTTGTCCAAACGTATCTGTTATTTATAAATTCTTTATAATAGCAAGATAGTTTTGGATAATCATTTTAATTTTTCTGTTAATTTTTTAAAGTTAGAATATGTTTTTTCATGATTACATATGAGACAACCATCTTTCAGAGACAAAATGACGTAGAATTTAACAGCTCTAAATAACCTTAAGGTTATATTTTTCTAAAAATGTTACATTTGACTGTTTACTATAACAATATATATAAAAAAGAAGATGTGGTATGATCGCCAATGAGACAACTCTCCACAAGAGACCACATGACACAGAAATTAACAGCTATAGGTCACCGTACGGCTTTCAACAATGTGCAAAGCCCATACCGCATAGTCAGCTAGAAAATGCCCCGAAATCACAAATGTAAAACAATTTAATTTAGAAAACTAATGGCCTAATTAATGTACAAAAAAATGAACGAAAAACAAATATGTAACATAGCAACAAACGACAACCACTAAAATTACAGGCTCCTGACTTGGAACAGGCACATACATACAGAATGTGGGGGGGGGGGGGGGGTTTAACATGTTAGAGGGATCCCAACCCTCCCCCTAACCTGGGGAACGAACTATAAAAATCGGTTGAAAAAGGCTGAGAGTTGTCTCATTGGCACTCATACCACATCTTCTTATATCTATTTACTCATCAGATGGATACAAATAGAAATACATATAACAATAATAATAATATGCTTATTTCTTTATGTACAAAAGTAAACATGCTGTCGTCCCAATATTTTCAATTAAAGTATTATTGAGATAGAATGTCAGAAAAGTTTTTTTTACAGAACAACATCGTAACATAAAAATAAGACCTGAAAAGACTTTAGAACAAGAAAAAAGGTATTCCTTCATTTATATTGTAACCTAAGTTTTGTTTTCTTTTTTGTAGATAATGTGATAAGTGCCTGTTCTTTTGAATCATTGACAGAGGCCGGTTGTTTGTTTTTTAACGATCAGTCGGGTGCAGACGATGCCGACTGGAGAAGACATACTGTAAGTGCTTTCGTCGTAGGACTTACATTGTAACTGGTTATAGTACACCCATTTTGTTATACAATGTATTTATGTGAGTTAAAATGCCTTATAACTGAAAACAAAACTGTTATTGTAATCGACTTAGTTTAGATTGAGACTGAGTTTGTATTTAGAGGGGATTTCGATATTGTTTCCGTATGTTTTAACATTTTAAGGGTAAACTATAAGTTGTGTCTTTGCATTTTTTCGTTGTTTGTTTGTTTGGTTCATTTCTGATTTTTTGAAGTTTCATATTTTATTTACTGGAAAGTACACAGGTGTTAAAAGTATTTCAAATTTTCTGTGTATGATGTTATGGATATTTGTTTGTTTTTTCGTCTTTTCATTAAGACATGGTGTTGTGTGGCCTTGTCGAACGATTTTTTCTGCGGCATTTATGTTTTTTTCGAAACAATCTTTTGGTCAAAAATTGTGTTCTTTTAATATTGTTAAAATTGCAGTAAAAATAAAAAACTTTTATTTTTAATGTAAAACTTTTATTTCATTAAAATTTCACAACATTAAAACATATATCGTCCAATTTGCTTTCTTTCTATTCATGAATATGTTGCTAATACATAACTTTGTAGGGTGCAACAGGTTCAACAAATACAGGTCCAGATGAAGCTGTTGGTGGTGATTATTATCTGTACATAGAGACCTCATCGGGAACTATGGCATTGGGAGAACATGCTCGATATGTATCAACTATTCTGAATCCAGGTATTCTACAAAATATAAGTCGTGATTGGAATGAAATCTCCCTAAGTTTTAGTGGTTAATGATAAACGAAGCTTAAGTTACCATTACAAATACGACGATGGAGAATGCAATTTAGTGTTTGAATATTCAAAAAGATATTTATACATAAAAATGTATAAACAAAAATACCGACCTCCAAGGTAATTTCAAAAAGGTTAATCAAACGTAAAACTATATCAAACAACGGAAATGTAAAGCAACTGTCATATTTCTATCTTGGTACAGGTATTTTCCGAACATTTGTCCTCACACACTGTAAATTTATTTAGGACACTTAATCAGCTACAGATTTTGATTCCAATTACAATACATAACAATACATATCAGATCATGATTAATAAGAAGCAAGGTAAAGGCGGACCACAGAACACTAGATAGATATATCCAATTGCATTTGTCTAGCTATGACTCTTTTTATTATCAGCAATATTATCATTTGTTTTTGCCATGGATCATACAGCAATATGCGTTCGAGGGGTTTATGTTGACTTTGCCATAATTATACTCTTGATAAATTATGTATTACAGATACAGAGATTTGTTTATCGTTTTATTATCATATGTATGGCGACACCATGGGAACATTAGAAGTTATTTTGGACACACCGGAGTTCAATCAAACCATCTTCAACAAATCATCTGACCAGGGTAACCAATGGTATTTTCAGAAACTCTATATTCAGCCTAGAAATAATCTGCAGGTATATTGAAGAAAAATCATGTTAATGTTTATTACAAATGGTATTGTTTATCTTTAGAAATACAAAATATTATATAGATACAGTGAAAGTAAAATAACTCTACGTCATTCACATATGCAGTTATCCTTAACTGAATTTGATATCTTCATTTTCTGTAAAATTAATGTGTACAGTAAACACTTAAGGATTTTACTGCACGAGACATTGATTGTCTTAACCGTATTTGGCACATTTTTTTGTAAGTTTGGGTCATCAATAATCTTTCATCTTCGTGTTTGATTTTTCCTTCTAACTGTTTTTATTACAAGCGCAACGAACGAATCTTATTAGACGAAACGCGTGCCTGGTGTGCTAAATTATAAGCCTAGTATATTCGATCAGTTGTTTTGTTTAACCTTGAGATATTTGAAAAATCGTCGGGTCTGTATATTTCCAGAATGTTTACCGGGTCATTGTGATTGAATCTGAGTTCCATTGACAGGTGATGCATGCATGCATATTAGCTCATCATAGACACTAGGCTTTAAATTTTTACGCCAGACGCGCGTTTCGTTTACAAAAGACTCACCAGTTACGCTCGAATCAAAAATGTTTAAAAAGGCCAAATAAAATACGAAGTTGAAAACAATGACTTAAAATTCCGAAAGGTTTTGCCAAATACAGCCAAGGTAATATATTACTACAAGCACTAACTGAAATGTGGATTATTAATTGACAAGATATGAACAATATATGTGAAGGTGAAATTAAAGAACTTTGCAAGATGCTTTTCCTTTTCGCCTTTGAGAAGGTTTTTTGTAAGTTCTGCTTAGTGTCAGTACATACAAAAATCGATCAGTAGTGGTTTAAAATCAGATCCCGTTGGATATCAGCTTCTGTTCAAATATCAACCCTCAAATTATATCAACCGTTAATAAGTGTCAATGACTAAAATGTGGACCTATAACGTTAAATACTTCTTAAAAAAAATGAATGTAATACGTTTTTAATTTCATACGTCTATAGCACCTTTTTGGATTGATCTTCATCAGGAACGCTCAAAGCCGAATATTTTAAAGCCAAGGATGTATTAGAACCGAAACAGATGAAGAGCAAGATGAAGATGATAAAAAAAGGGCATACAAATTTGACAAAATGCACAAAGGATTATAACTGAATAAAGTAATTGTATTATGTCATTTTAGATTGTGTTTAATGCAATTGACGGAAATGGTTACCAGGGAGACATAGCATTGGATCATATCATGCTGTTCTTAGGGGAATGTGGTATGTTTATTACATTTTCTCATGTTGTTCTCTTTGCGAACGTAATTTGTGAACGGCACACCATATACTGTCAATCAGCTCCTTTAACATTGATGGTGTTCTTTGATAAATGTAGTAAATTTGTTGGACAATATCATTTTTTTCCCGGTTAATATGGTAAGTCAATTCAGTGATAAATTTTCTAGTATTGTAAGCAAAATTAAATTAAACTCATTGTACTGATTCGAAAATATCATATGACCATACTACTGTTAGATGTTAGAACTACGGAGCGCATAATACCACACCAGAAACATTAGTTTTCTCGATATATTCCTGTTTAATGAATGTTGATGGTTCCCTGAAACATAGTATATCCAACTTATATTTTGTTTTGCTAATATGTCATAAACTTTGGAAATAGTTTTTTAATTGTGTTTCACCAGGGTATGTCTTTTCATTTGTTTTAGTTGAAAGTCTCAAGATTAGGAGAAGATATACTTATGAAAACCAAAAATAGCATCCCCGCGTATCATTATCAACCTATAGCTTTAACTCCTTCAACTCAGTCCTATATTACACCCTTTTTAAATCATATTCACAAAGCAGCACACAGATAAGACAAGTCTTAATTGTCCTGTTAATAACAATACGCGTCAAATACAATTTGATTATTGGGATGAAATATTAAGATTGTTCTGATTAAATGTGCTGTATAAATCTTTTCAGGTAACTACACTCTTTCTAATGTAAACAAGGAATTGATGGTTTCTATTCGTTTGGTGGGTGGACAAACTAATGCAACAGGACGATTAGAAATACAAGATGCGAAAGGAGGTTTCTTTTTACCTGTCTGTTCGGGTTATCAATATTGGGACAACGATGACTCCATGGTGGCTTGTCGACAGCTTGGATACAAGTAGGTTTGCAAGTCAATCGATGTAATTTAAACAATACTGAAACCACTTTCAGCACCATTAGCTATCTCGGGGTGGTAAGGTTTTATTGGCAGAGGAAGTAGGAGTTCCCAGAGAGAACCACCAACCTTGTATATTGTAAATTTAAGACGGATTCATAAGGTTTCCCTCTCACTTCTAATGAATTTAAGTAAAACTTACTACTTGGAGGGGAAACGTTAATCAACAATACAGACCAAATACGAAAAGGTTTGAAATGACGCACACACACAGTAATACACATCCCATTTTGAATTGGTTATTAGCATACTTTTTTTTATTGAAGGCTTGTGCCATAATCTAATTATTGATAGTTGATTGTTGATTGTATGTCAAATAAATATAGAAAGGTCATAAGAATTTAAAGCACCATCCATTACATTTTGAAATAAAGAAAAGTAAAGTAACAAAAATAACGAAACGGAAAGTCCCGTATCAGATGGCAAAATCAAAAGCTTCAAATATATCAAACGAATCGAAAACAACACGATCTTTCTCATGTTAGAATCTAATTCCCTGTCAGAGTTTGGCTTTTCAGTGGGTCTTTTGTCTTTTTTAGCTCCTCAATGTTTGTATCAGGTTTTAGATTTTCAAATAATTTAACTAAAACAAAGTCATTATAATAAACAGCAACAAAAAAGAACCATACTATGTTATCCAATGAGGAATTTTGCAAGTGTTGATATAAAAAACTATAGGTAAAAAACGGAAATTGCAATGGAAACGGGTGTTTTCATTTGCATAGCTTTCTCATAAAACATTATCAAAATTATTTGGTGTCTTTAATTACTCTAATAGTGCACCAAACATTTACAATAGAAATAAATCCGTAAATTACTTATACATGTTAATTTATCGAGAGAAATAAAACTAAACGATTATTGGTTTGAAGTGATTACTCATTAAAAACAATCCCTTAAAACAATATTTCTCAAGCTTGTTACAGAAAAAAAGTATTAACAAATATACCGAAAGTTATATACAGAAAGGCGTAAGTCAATTAAACCCGACACAATTCCACATTAGAGTATATCAACAAACAGAAAGAATGGAAAACAACTGTCATATTCCAGACTCAGTACATGTATTTTAAAGCATTGTAAAATGTGCATATCTCGTAAATAGCTGTAAGATTTAAATACGGAACATGATTCTCATGCTAAATGTCTTTTAAATTCTGTTCATCTGTTTAAGCTAACTATCCAATACTTTATTACAGTAATTCGAGAATGCATACATTGTCAGAGTACGGTAAAGGTCGACCCCAGAGGTCTAGATTTGGTTATACCTTCTACTGCGACGGTACTGAGGATAACCTTAGAGGTTGTGCTAAAGCCACAGTTTCATGTTCCACCTATACTGATGTAGTTGCTTTAGATTGTTCAAATACAGGTAAGTTTTCTTTTCTTTTTAAACAATGACCAATAAGAGTATTTTACTAGGCTATTGGTTTACGTGTTTGCCACTTTAGTTTCTGGGGGAAACTTGTTACAGAACTGGACTATTTGCAATCTGAAATGTTTTCAGATGGAATATTCTTAAGAAAAGGAATGGCAGCAACGGTTTGTTACATGTACATGAAACAATACAAACTTGTAGGCTGACAATTGCAGGTGTTCAAAGTGAAACAAAAACAAAAATCACTTCGTCTAGTGGAGTTTAGTACCAGACGATTTGGCGTTTTAATAATGAAAAATCTGGTTGAGAACGATTATAAAGAGGTATATAAATGACAAGGAAAACATTCACTATTGTGTAATATAATTGTACGACACCAACTCTAGTCTTTGACTATGTATTTCTTGAATAACCTAACCCAATTACGCTCCACGCTAAAAGTTTACAATACACAGACAAATTTAGGCAATAGTAGTTACCCGTCGTTCGAAGCTCACGAATCGGGTACAAATCAAGATACAAGTCAAGGTAACAAATAAAAAAAAACTAATTGGATCGAATGAACTCCAAAGGGATCTTACTGGGTGGGCCATCACAGAAAGCATTTTGGTTCTAACTTTGCGTATATCATCCATTCAAGAGTATCGACACCAAAAGGGCTTAGACAGAATAGTCAAATTGTCTAAGGTCAGTTTTAGATTTATATAAATTTGAAAAAAAATTATAATTCTTGGCGGTAAGAGGAATATATACTAATTAAATCGCGAGAAATTAACACCTTTAATAGTATTATTACACTATTTTATCTATTTTTTCAATAGAATTGATAATAAAACTTATAGTATTCATTTATCTTTTGTGGCTTTTTACGCTATAGTAATCAAACACCATTAACACATGCACACTATTATACACGTGTAATTGTTGTGATTTGACAACTGACAAAAACTCTTGTTTAAATTTCTATGCATGGAAGTCAATGCAATATGTTTACATTTTGTATTGATTAACACGAGGACACATACAAATGCAGATTGCAAATATTGCACTTTTTTTATCTCTCATTCTTTTGTACCATGCAACACACTTCAAATACTTTTTTCAGTTAACAGAAATTTAATGCATATATCTTTTAGAATGTTTTGAGAACGAGTACAGTTGTGGTGACTCAGATAAGACGTGTATTTCCATGGGTTTGGTATGTGATGGGAATGTAGACTGCCCTAATTTAGCAGATGAACAGAATTGCGGTGAGAAAAAATCGTCTTATAATCAAGCTTAGTATGTCAGATTTACTCGTGATAGTGTTTAAACAGAGTGTTTTGATGTGCAAGACGAATGTATTTTTAGAAACTATTCATTTTCTTTAGACCATGATGTCATACAGACTACATCACTAATAGGTTTGTGTTCTAATTATCTATAACAACAACACATACAATATATATAGATTTATAAAGAGCATTAAAATTAAAATACATAAAAAAAAAAAACATAAAACATAATTGCAAAGCAACCAATTAACAGTAGTTAAACAAACATCTTAACAAAAATGCAAGTACATGTTCCCTAACATATACAAAACTAAAATGAATAGCGTCAGTTAAAAGTACATGTATTAAAAAAATTCCTAAAATATAAGTTTTTAAGCAGACTTTGATTAATTATCACAATATACGTTTGTCTTACCTTATTTATGGTATATTACTTAACGTTTAACTGGGAGCCTCAAGCCGTATAAGCAATTTATCTTCAATTAGAAATTCTGGCAATTCTGATGTAATAAGTAAAGAACCTCGATTTTGCCATTGTCTCCAATGTTAATAAACCATTGACGTCAGTTGTCCTTTCCAAAACCGTGGTTCTTTCAATGCACTAAGGTATCATCCACCGATACAAACCGCCATATAACCAAGGTCGCTGAAAGTTGCGTTAAATACCAACAAAGAAGCAATCAAATATTTTTGTGTTTGTGTCAAATCTTTAGAAAATTTGTTTTCTATTTTAGCATCATGTGGTAACGATCAGTTTGAATGCAGTAACCATGAATGTGTTCCATTGATTAACCGCTGTGATGGAATGCCAAACTGCATTGACAAATCGGATGAATTCAGATGTGGTATGTTACTTTCATAGCATATGTGAGGTGATGTATTTTATTCTGGGTGAAATAGGTTTATATATTTTGTTTAATTACCTCAATCATACAACAATCGATTTAGCCAAAATACAGGAAATGGTAATCAATTTCCTTCCTAAAATGTTTTTTTGATGTAGTTGACATTCGTTCAAAAAGAATCTTGGAAAAGCACAACGTAACGTTACGGTTACCATGGTTACACACAATCCTGCATTAAACTTCTCGACTGTATCATTTTGCTAATGTTTTTTTTCTTCAAATACTACCCAATTTAGATTATCTTTGATGATTGTTTTAAATTTCAGGAAATTGATGGTAAATTAATATTTCCTGTTCCTTTGCATTCAAATGTCAATTTTCCTTACATTTTGTTACTTTACAGACGTCTAATGAACAAGTCAGTCATATATAAAGCTGTTTTATTTTGGAAATGTTATTGAAGCTATTAAACCAAGAGTTCCAAACGGGGAAGTTGAAATCATCCCTTCGTAAATTTTACGGACGCCATCACGAGTTGCTTGACCGTTATGCAATAACCGTTTCACAGATGATATCGGATATGTTCCTTATGTCGTAACTACAATACCCTCCCTTTTCACGAATGTGACTTACCGAATTAGACTATTTACCGGATTTGTCATAACATAAGCAACACGACGGGTGGCACATGTGGAGCAGGATCTGCTTACCCTTCCGGAGCACCTGAAATCACCCCCAGTGTTTTGTGGGGTTCGAGTTGCTTAGTCTTTGGTTTTCTATGTTGTGTCATCTGTACTATTATTTGTCTGTTTGTCTTTTTGTTTTTGGCCATGGCGTTGTCAGTTTGTTTTCGATCTATGAGTTTGACTGTCCCTCTGGTATCTTTCGTCCCTCTTTTATTGAGTTAGAATTGTTAAGATGCGATTTCTGATTTTGGTAATAGTAATCAACGTATATGATGGAGGCAAAATTATAATTTTTAATTGAGCTTTTGTTTAAATTTAGTTCAGTTTTTGGGTTTTTAGGTTAACAAAAGGTCATGCAAAGAAATTCAAATTAGGATGAAGCTTTTAACTTTTAAATACTTTGGATGAGATTGACAATCAGATTAATCTAAAATGGGTTAGCAAATTTGTGGATTGGGACTTGTGAATACACCCATTTGAATTCTTAGTTCACCAGTAAAACGTCTTAATTTGTAGTAAGTAGTAGAGCAAAATTAAGTAAGCTGGTAGTCGAAGTATTATTTCCAGGTAAGATGAAATGTTTAACAGTTTTACTGTTTACATGTAAACTAGGAAGTTAAAAACTCGGCAAAGCTTGCCGATCTCTTACAAAGCAAGAATCATTTTCATATCACATTTACCTGTATTTGTCCCGCTGATGTTTAAACACCAATTTATTATCATCATCTAATCATCTTACAAGTCGAAGATCGGTAAGCTGTGTTACTTAACAATACTACCGTACGTGTTGCGTTTTTATTACAGTGCAAAGAGACAGTAATGGCCAAATCTCCATATATAGAGATGGAACATGGATTTTGTTATGTTATACCACTGACATCACTTTAGCAGAATACCTGTGTAGCATAACAGGATACGGGTATGCAAATATTTAATTTATATAAACGCTTAATGTAAGGCAATTTAGTTTTGTATATAAACTGAACACGTTTTTGTAATATTGGTTTTAATTTTACACAAAAGTCATGATGTAGGACAAACTTTTTTTCTTCACATAATTAACTTAATTTGCATGTATTACCATTTTCGAGATCTATTTAGATATATGCAAATGTTGTAAGACTTTTTACATACTAAAAAAGATAATACAGAAATTTGATCGTCATAAGCCATATGGATCTTAACGATACATTTGTAAATATACAAAGTGAAGGAATAGCATACACAATTCTGCAACTGTTGTAGTTATTAATTTAACAATAACAAATCTTGAACATGTTTTATCTTTTGCTAGCTCTTACAACAGTCTCTCTGCTGGAGTAACAATAAATGACGGGTTCCTCGCTCAACCTGGCTCGAATCCCAATGGCGTTATTGCAAACTATATATTATATTCACAAACGTAGGTATATATATATTCTCGTATCAATAATACAAAAAAAAATAGACGACATCTATATATATACAAATGATAAATCACACTGTAAAAAGAAGTCTACATTTTGTATTACAATAAGGTATTCCATAAGATTTTGACCTCTAAAATATTTTACCTATTTACTCATTTTCATATCATGGACTATCCGCAATGTTTATATCAACATAAAAAATGAAAACAACACGTTATTAATTTAATGCGTCCGAAGCGCTTTTCTGGATTTACCTTCATCAGGAACGCTCAGAGCCGAATATTTGAAAGCCAAGGATGTATAAGAACTGAAATACTAGAAGAGCTATATTACAAAAAGTACCTAAAAAATATCCAAAATTCATAAGGATCAATTCTGTTTATAATGACATAATACTGTCCAAATTGGGTCAGAAAGTAATTCCGAAGTAATAACATATTGTGAAAAAAAGTGTTGGCAATCATCCGGATTATTATGGTACATTGTACTGATATTATAAATGACTTCAAATATACATTCTGAAAATCTTCCACATGCTGTTTAATTCTCAGTCATCAGTTGAACACATACAAGTTGATTCGCCATGTAAAAGAAATACTCAAATTGCCTGCAGTTATGAAAGTATGATTTTGAGTAGGATAAGTTTATCTCATAAATTAAAATAACACTTTATAAATTTCGGGCATCCAAGGAACTTTTCTGGATATACATGATAGAGCATCAGCGCTAACACAGTTGTATATACAGTATAACAGAACACATCTTGACGTCATATATACATTTTTAATATGACCGTGTAATTGCACCTGTGGTGTACATCTGATTCTTTTCAAGAGCAGGGTCAATATTTATTGTCTGTAAGAATATAAATGAAAGATAATTTTCTTGGTTGTTCCGATGTTTCAAAGATCGATCTGTATATCAAAATAAATCATCCATGTTTCATTATATCAATACAGAAAATGACACTTACGTTTTGTCTTCTGATAAATTCATGAAAATAGTTCAATCGTCTAAAATCAATGTGAGTTTATCTATCATTATAAAATGGCGCAAACAAAATTCTAATTTTCAAAATATTCTGAAAATTAAGCTGGAGATCTTGTAATAAACATATTCAAATCTCAGAATTTACCGTTTTTGTACTTTCATGATAGTTTTGTTTCATATCGAGTGAGAGACGACGTTTGTGCCATCCAAGGTTCGGGTAAAACCAATGATCATAGTTTGGTATTTTTTAATTACCGTTCTTGCACGAGACACATGAGAGAAATTATAAATGTATTTACTTTCAGGTCCTGTAATACATTAACTCTCCAGTGTGGGGACATAGGTTAGTACTTATAAAATAATCAGTGCATGCACTTAGTATATTATAATTTTTTTACACTAAGAAACCTTTGATTTGTTATGGGTTGAAGATCTCATTTACACATGGATAAAAGTGTATGTACCGATATATATTTTTTTTAATGAATATGGTACTGTAAATATATATGTTTATATATTAAGCTAAATATCGCTGTTTACAAATGGATTTTATTTGGTTTATTTGTTATATTCTCATCAATTTCATTTATGTTTTACCAGTTGGTGGAAAGGGTTGAACCTTTCCTATCAATAGCGTAGCGTATTATGGCTGGTAAGTTACTGTATATGATTATGTTTAAACAACGGTATTGTATAATGCAAAATATACAAACATACGTCATTTGTAAAAGTCAGAAAATGAGCTCATAATTAAAACTTCGGGACGCATAACATGATCATATACCCAAAAAAGAATAACTGTCTTAATGTGAATACGAAATAAAATGTGTTGACGCAAAAATACACAAAACACCAAAACAGCTTGAACAGGTCGTCAAATGTAACAATATGTAACAAAATTTACACATACATGTTACTCGTATCCCTTTTGACATAAAATCTCTTTTTCTATCCAGACTAACTATTTTTATTCTGACATTTGTTCTATTATAGAGTGCGGAGTTCCTTCTGTTTCGTCAACATCTGTTGGCTCGTATGTACTGTATGGTAATGATGCCGTCCAAGGAGAGTGGCCATGGCAAAGCTTGTTCTTTATGGATGGAAGTTCTGGATGTGGTGCCACGTTAGTTGACCCTTACTATGCAATCACAGCAGCACATTGTGTCGAGTAAGGTTTTTTGCAATGTTTTTAACTACAAACATGTTAAAACGAAATATCTTTGCAATTAAATAAATCTCTAAAGCTGACAAACTTTAAGGTTCAAACTTTTCCAATTGTACTTTCAGTTAGACTTTGTAGTTTTCTCTCATTTATTGGTTTTGTTCATTCTAATATAATACGAATCCATATCTGATATTTAAGAACAACTTCAGTACACATCAAGTAAGGTGATAAAATTCAATCTTCCGTTTGTGTAAGAATAAAAGTCGTAATGTGGAATGAGATCTTTATGCGATGGGTCAGTGTCTTAACCTGCAAGCTAAATGTTGTCAAGGTCTTAAATTGTTAAATATAAGTTTCAAGTTAATGTCACATTAACCAATTATGCTTGTTTGGGTTGCTTAAACAATTTTGTCAATATAACGTAACTGTAAACAACTGTTATATATGTGGAAGGTTTAGCTTGCTATTAAGCCCAGTTTAACCTACAATTTTCTTCAGCAATCTCTGCACCAAGTCATGAATATGAAAATTGTTATGTGGTTGTTCCGTTGCTTTATATACTACTAGTCTAGCGTTTGGTTTTGTCATTGTGTTAAGGACTTTCCCTTTTTTTGGAGTCCGAAATGTTTGTTAAGCAATTTTTGTTTTAATTAATCGATTGTGTCTAATTAGCGATAATGTTATTTTGATTGGATACGGTTTGGTTTTTCGGGTGATGCATGCATAGCTAATACGCTTACCCGACCGATGCGTTTGAGCACGTTTCATTTAGAGTATGTGTGGTTCAATCATTTTTTTTTATTGATCTCAAAATTCTGAGTGGATTAACGATATTTGAACACTGGTAACTTTATGTTAGTTCTCATTTACAGGAGTTGGAGTTCCTTTATGATTCATGTTGGGGAAGTCAAAGAATCGGAAATGTTGGGACCCGACGACCATGGACAAAGAATAGCAGTAGCTCAAGTAATATCTCATCCTGATTATCGTGGAAGCAGTACAGGTTGGAAGTCAGACGTAGCAATACTAAGGCTTTCGCAAGCAGCTAACTACAATGATAATGTCAGACCTGCCTGTCTTGCAACAGAAATCGAAAAAAGTTTTGAAAACTGTTATATAACAGGATGGGGATATAAGGAAGATGTTGAACACGGTATCAAATGTTTTTTTTTGGTTATTCAAGTGTTTTAATGTTGATTATTGTTTTTATTTCAACTGTCTATTAATTTGAAAGAAAAAATCGATTTGGATTGATATGTATCAGTCATTAAACACAGATTAATCTTATTGTTTGCTGTTCCACCATTTTTTCAATGTTATGGGAGAGTTGACTGATTTTAATTTCGTTAACCCTACCACATTATATGTGTCCCTTTTCTAAGTCAGGAGCCTGTAATTCAGTGGTTGTCATTGTTTGTTATTTGTCATATTTGTTCAACTTTTTTTCCATAAATCAGGCGTTGTTTATCTCATTTGAATAGTCTCACATCTTGTCCTGACAAGGCCTTTTAAAGCGGACTATATGAAATTTGATATGTGTATTGTCGAACGCCGTGCGGTGGCGAATAGTTGCTGACATCCGTTACATTCAGTGTCTGGTGGATAGTTTTCTCATTGGCAATCTCACCATATCTTCTTTATATATATATATATATATATATATTTATTTTTTTAATCTAGCCCTTTATATTCTTAGTATCTTTTATATAATGTTTCCCTGCATACATTTCATTAAAATTTTTGTGAAAATATTTATTCGAAAGTTAAGAACAATGCTGTTTTATAAATGCAACAAGCAGATGCCTACTATCTTCCATTTTCATCCAACATCTGTAAGTCTACTATATAATTGTTAATGGCGAATACCATAAGACTTTTTCACTACCACACCCGTTACAACCTGAGACACCAGTTAAATCCTAAAAGCTCCTAGGGTTGGTAGGATGTGTGATATTAGAAAAGCCATATTATATACACTAAATCATATACTTCGAGTAGATGTTTTTTTTTCATGTGACATGACGCAATTTAGACAAAGGGTTTGATAAAACCTTGCAACGGGACTGATATTGATTCCTTGACGTCATACAGATAAGAAGTTTCAAAACAACTGTTCAACCGTGATTGATATCGATGTCATCAGGGATATCTGATACAGCACGGTTGTCGTATTTACTATTAGGTATGTAATAAAAAAAAAGAATAACAGTCGTATTTTATTGACACAAACCATGCTTTTTTTTTGTAATTCTACTGTGTTGAAGACCAATTGGTTGCCTTGGACTGTTTTCTGCTCTTTGGTCGGGTTGTTGTCTCTTTGACACATTACTTGTTTCCATTCTCAATTTTAAATATATATATATTCAGTATCATCAACACCAGACAACTTACAGGAGGCACGAGTAGATGTCAACGTAGACATAGACAGATGTAACAAATCATATCAAGCCATTGGACTTAATCTGCCACCGACATCTGTTTGTGTAGAAAATAAGAACCCTTATGCTGCAGCATGTAACGTAAGAATAAATAAAAGAGATACCAAAGGGACATTCAAAGTCAAAAATCAACACATGTACATCTAACTTGTGTTCCATTCTATGCACACGTACTGGTCATATTTAAATAAAATATTCAATCCTGTAGATTGAAAAATGGCAAATATATCTGGTTTTCGTACAAAGTTGCAATTGTTGAAAATTTTGTGTCTGAATTTTGAATCATACTTATAATTATTATTAAAAACAAGCAAGAGATAGTATTTTAGCTTAAAAATAGACATTTTTGTTGTACCTTCTATGAGATGGAAGATTGCTTTAACACATTAGCTTTCTGTGACTTATTTTCAAATATCTTACAGTATTCATTTAAAAGATGACATTTACACGAAGATGTTAATTTCTGTAATCAAATTTCTAATTTAAGGGCGATTCAGGAGGACCTTTAGTATGTCAGAACAAGTATGGTCGATGGGAATTAGTAGGAGTAACTAGCTTTGGTATAAGAGGATGTCGTGTAGACCAGATCCCCAGTATTTATCAAAGCATACCATATCACATTGATTGGATTGTACAGAACACAGGTAATAGGAGGGGAATAATTGTTATTTTTATTTTGTAGAACAATTATCACAACAATATATAATTTAAGGCTGCAGATCAGTATATAAGTATCGTTATAACTTGAAATTCCCAGTAGTCAGCATTACTGTTTTGACATGAATTATCATTGATATGGTTATTCTTATAAATTTGTTGTTTGAAAAACCTTTTTCCCGAAATACAAAGGATTTGTTACCCAGGGAATAGATTTGTTAGCTGCATTTGGCAGACTTGTCGCAGTATCGGGTCCATAATAACCTATAACTGCGTAATATATTCAGCCTTTTTAATTATAATGGGTCAAGCGTCACTGATGCAGCTTTTATATATAAGGGAACAGTTCGACATTTTCTATGGTTGGCCTTGAAATACTGATAAAATGTGTTGGTTGATTTGTCCTCCAAAACTTGATGTATTTTAATGAACTTTATGAAGTTTCTTCTTTGCCAAATGTGAAGATTATGAGAGTAGTAATTAACTTGCACTATGAAAGACAATTACTATATGTGTTGTAAGATATTATACTGATATATTATAGTATGTCTGCCCAGGAAAGTATTCAAATAATGATTTAAAAAATAACAAAACGAGTATGACTTGGTTACCATTTGTTTTAAATTTGCTGTGAGGTGTCTTGTTTGAATATTTGACCAAATGGTCACTCATATGTGCTTTTCTTTTTTAGATAGTTACATGCCTTACGCTTCATTTTTGTATAGCAATAGAGTATGATTGACATACATTTAATAAAGGAGACATTTACATTGACCTTTAAATTAATTCAGAGGAAAGCCAAGTTGTAAATGTGTGAAACTCACGTTTTTATATAGATTAGACAGTTGGTTTTCCTGTTTGAATGGTTTCACACTAGTAATTTTTTGGGCCCTTAATAGCTTGCTGTTCGGTGGGCCAAGGCTCCGTGTTGAGGAACGTACTATGACCTATGATGGTTTACTTTAATACATTGTCTATAAACATAACTTAAATAACTTAGAAAACTACAGACTGAGCAAAACTAATCCCACTACCATCTCAGGGGAGCAGATTTGTTTGACATCCGCTGGTTTGCTCATGTAAGTCACTTTGGGTGATGAAATATTAAAGGAAAAGAGAATGGTTTTGTGGTATCTACAATTGGAACATGTCCATCATTAAGTGGGAAATTTTGTTTCATTTGTATGCTTTTTCAACAGTATATAATTATTAGTCTCTATTTATTGCTTGTGTATTATGAATCTGAATTCTCATAAATGTGCTGTGACTCATGTTTTCATATACTTTCAATTCTAATGAAATAATTTTCCGTAGGGTTGTTAACACAATTGTATTAATTCACAAAGTTAATTATCAACGAAATACTCTGCTTTCAAAATCACCGAAAATTTGTTTGCACGAAATGATGAATCCATCATATATATAAAACACTAAATTTCAATGTACAAAATTGAATGAATCAAACGCATTACTATTTCATTAATTTATCTTTATATTTCCAGGTATACAGATTAATAGGAATAGTATACCTACCCCGCCACCAGGGACATAAATGTTTTCTTACTTCCAGTACCAGTCATTTAACTGATTATTATGGAACTAATGTCTTTTTAGTTTTTTATAATTGAAATGAAGGACTATAGGCTGATTTTATTTTAAATAAAGCATACAATTTAGTGAAAATGTGTACCATCAATATATATATCATTACTTTTTTTAATTCAGAATTGATTTCAATGGTAACTTAACTTACTTTTGGCTATAGTGTCAGACTAGTTTAAATGTAAATAATTTGTTCTTGGACATTATTTTAGTTGGCGTTAATCAATTACCGTCGTGTAGAAGTTGAACCTGATTTATTTTCATATATTAACTCGTCACTTTGTGAATTTTCAAGTCGAATGTAGTTTAAATTGTTTTATTTATGAAGAATCTTATTCACTTTGCCTTCCGTAGTGAAATTTGTCAGTAACACACAACTTTATAAATACAAAAATTAAGAAAATTTATTATGATTGCTAATGAACCACTATCTTAGAGTTCAAATAATGTTGATATACGCGATTAGACCGTTTCCTCGTGCAATATTTCAATGTGCCATTGTATGCAATTTTATGTTAAAAGGAAAGTTATAAAATATATAAATAAACCCGTTCCTTCTTCATGTACTTACATATTGTTTATACTTATTAGCTCACCTGACCATTTGTTATCTTTTCTCATCACTTGGCGTCCGTCGTCCGTTAACTTTTATAAAAATATTCGTCTCTGAAACTACTGGACCAAATTTAACCAAACTTGGCTACATATCATCAACAGAGTATCTTGTTAAATAAATGTGTCCGGTGACTCCGCTTGCCATGGCTAAGAATAGAACATATTGGTAAAACGGAAGTTTTGTCTATAATTTTGAAAACTGCTATAAATGTTGAAAATCTGACAGGATCAACAAATGATTATAATGTGGAGCTCTACCAATTGTCCATTGAAGTCAAAACTGTCATACGTCTTCTCATATGAGTTATTTCCCTTGTTTACCCTTCTTTCATGTGTGCTTATTATATTGAAAATTATAGTAGATAGAAAGAAACTTTGAAATGTAAAAATGAACAGCAAGACATGATAAACAAATAATTCTGAAAGATAAGTTTAAAATCGTAATTCGACTCCTAATTAGAGTAATTGGCCTTAAATGAACGTTTTAACCATTTTAATACTGTGTTTAAATATTTAAATATTGTAAGTTACGTGAACAGTGTTCGTCGTGGCAACCTAAATGTATATACCTGTGTATAGCCGTATTAAAACATAACAAACGTAAACTTTATATATTTTTTAATTTTAATATTTTTAGAGTATTTTGTGGATTCATAAGTAAAACTCTATTTAATACTTTAAAATAGTTTGTTGCTGCTTAAGGTAGATAGGGTGTCTTCCTCCATCTTGGATTTTGAAATACTAGAAAACAATCGGTCGAGATCTTTATTAAAATGTGCAAATTTTGAGAGTAGTAGGTAATTCATGTGTAAGAATTTTCATTTCACTATAGAAAATGACATGTCTTATCATATTCAAGAATACTTTTGTTTGATTCAATTTTTTGCCACACAAGGGGAGGAAACTCAAATGTAAGGGCAGATAATTCAAATGAAGTTACTTTTAGGAATTTAACTATTTTATTATGTAGCAAGAAAACGGGTCCCGTTTCTTATCTGAAAGCATAATATTAGAGCTATCTTCTCATATTTTGTCTCAAAATTCTATGGTGTATTTTTTGTTTTATGGCAGAAAATTAGGTTTTCCATGCATAATCTATACAAAATCTGTCAAGTTTGTACAACCTGTAGAGTAAAAATAAGCCCCATGACCCATTCTTTTTATTATTTTTTTTTAAAAAGCATGAAATAAACTACATTTTGGCAAATTTTTAAAACATTCTATGGATTATAATTTAGACACCCCATCTACCTTTACCTGTGAACATTTGTAATAAGTCTCTGATGAAGTCCATTTAAAGTAAAGTTTATAACTGAATGAATATGACCATATTTAGCAAATTGTAAAATATAAAATGACAAAATACCAAAGTCCGAGGAAAATTCAAAACGGAAAGTCCCTAAACAAATGGCAAAATCAAAAGCTCAAACACATTAAACGAATGGATAACAACTGTCATATTTCTCACTTGGAACAAACATATTCCCAACTATAAAATGGCGGACTAAACCTTGCCTCAGCTAGCTAAACCTCTGACTTGTATGACAGTCGCATATTTCCATTAAATTGTCAACAATGTGTGAACAAAACAAACAGACTAATAGGTAAAAATGTCAATTTACACCCAAGAGTTCGAGTTTTTGTTTTTCTTTTCGATTTTCGGACGTTGATGTTCCTTTAGTCACTTCTATTTGTGTGTATATTTGTGTACGCTATGCTCGTAGATGTGTTTTAGTTATAAATGAACATAATTCAGGCATAACTGGTAATTCAATAAGTCAAACATTGTGTAATTCGTATTGAAACATTTTGTACGGTGATGTTGCTAATAGAGCCCTTACATTTGGATATGATCAATGTAAACTCATTGCTGCTTTTGGTTTCTATTGATAACGGTTGTCTTTTCCTTCAATGTTACAAAATCAGATTCAACTTGAAGCCAAAACAGGCGAGCCTGGAAAAGATCAACGAAAATTGCATTTTCTTGTTCTCTGTATCATTTGCCATATTTCTTGGAGCAATTTTCTTTGCTGATTTGGGACTCCATTTTTTATTCTTATTTTGCAGAAATACACTTTTAAAAGAAAGGATTTTATGACAAACTATGTCACAAACATCTTAGAGAGCGTTTACTGAACAAACGGTCATACTTGATTGCTTGTTAAGTGCTGTAAGAACGTCAGATGGAAATAGATATTTAAACGTTTATCCAAATAATAAAAAGTCTAAAAGTTAACAATTTACAATGCATGAATTCGATAATGTGTACTAGCATTTCGTCTGTATTTCAGTCTAGACATCATGTAATTAACCATCGAGGTGACATACGAAGACTGCCGATAGTTATATTACTTGACTTGATGTAAACATAAATAAAGATATAAATAGATAGAGAACTCGTGCAATTTGATTTTTCTATGTCTCTGATTTCCAATGTTGACATTCCTATTAATCGATGAACATGAATAGTTCATGCGTAACACATCTCTAGCTAATAGGTTAAATTGAAGTTCACATTAATACGGATTCATTGAGGTCGAATGATTCATTTGCAAAAAGTAAAATCACAAAAATACTGAACTCCGAGGAAAATTCAAAAGGGAAAGTCCATAATCAAATGGCAAAATCAAAAGCTCAAACACATCAAACGAATGGATAACAACTGTCATATTCCTGACTTTGTACAGGCATTTTCTTATGTAGAAAATGGTGGATAAAATCTGGTTTTAAAGCTAGCCCCTTGTATAACAGTTGCACCTAATTCCATTATATTGACAACAGTGTGTGAACAATACAAATAGACAAATAAGAATTATACCAAAGACGAAAACAATTTTATAATTAAAGCAGACATATGTTCTGCAAATCTGTTCGACTGGCATGTAAAACAGGTTTGGACAGCCATCGTTTTATTAGCAATTTGGAGAAGTCCCAAAGATCTTAAGTATATTGGTTATATCTTAACCATATATTGACTCGTATCGATACATCACATACAGCAAAAGGAAGCTATTTTCAACATGAATTTGTTATTAGCCTAGTCTAGGAGATGATGCAATATTGCAAGCACCATGTATGACCGTCTATCCAATAATCCAGCAAATACTATTGTCACAGTTTTCTCAGAAAGATCTGAACACAATTAGTTTATACATCTATCTGGTACACAGTGACAGCTTAACATTGATGAGCTGTGAAAGTTGTGACATTTACGGATCTCTAAGACACATACCTTCTGTTTTCCAATACTCATGAATAACAAGGAAGGGTTGATTAGCACGAAAATATGTTATGTTTCGGATTTGAGATGTCTAGTTGTCAAATTTGTATATCCCCTAAAATTTAAATATAAGCGAACATCATAATAAATTGGTTGAACATTACAATGTTCAAATGTCTTTGTGGTAATGAACTCTGTAGACGTCAGAATAATACTTTTGAAGTCGTGTCGTATAAAATTTTAGTTGTCTGTGTCCCTATTGTTTCATTTTGAATGTGGATTTCTTAGGGACGGATTCATACATGGCTCGAGATACTTAACATGTCGATGAATCTAATTTCGCTCCTGTTCATTTGTTTGTTTCTGTGATCCACTAAATATTTGTTTTTGCCTTGTTTTGTATATTCCCAATAGATTGATGGTATTAGAACAACAATCAGTTAACCAGTTTTGCCTTTAAAGTTTGGTGGTGTTTAAGCATCTCAATCGTGATTTTTTTTAGAACAGTGTTTAAGTGACTATTTTACGTTTTTTTTTTCATTCATCGAGTATCTTTTTTGTCATGGTTATGCTTTCAAACAACTACTTTTTTTATGTATATCCAAAGATTTTTATATCAATCCAACATTAGTCCATAATATCTCATTGTAAATTATTCGATTATGAAAGATTAAAAGCGACAACCGTAAACGCGTACTAACGTTCAATTAAAAAAACGAAAAAGATTTATGTGGTTTATGGTACTGAAAACGGACAAAACATCAGAGTCTATGAATAGTAATACTATAGATTTTTCAAAATGAATACTCGAAATGTGTATACTATTTTGTGATTTTACTTTTTACTTCACATTTATGAATTGTTTGTTTATACAGTACGTGTAGTGTATACCTTTTATGATATATTTTATATAACTAGTTATAGATCATTCAACTTAGTGATTTTAATCATATCCCGACTGAACTACAACTGTTTTTTTCTGAAAATTATCAAAAATGTGATCTATAAGACATACCACTACCAATTTTACCAATTAATTCAGTATTTTTTTGTAGCACAATTATAAATTATCTTCCATAGGATGTACGCTATTCTGTTTCAAAATCAAAAGATTTTAAAAGGCTGTTTTCTACATAAGAAAATACCTGTACAAAGTCAGTTATATGACAGTTGTTATCCATTCGTTTCATGTGTTTGGGCTTTTTATTTTGCTCGGTGTTCAGTATTTTTGTGATTTTACTTTTTACTCCAAATTTAAAGTTATGAATTGTTTGTTTATACAGTACGTGTAGTGTATAGATATAAGAAGATGTGGTACGAGTGCCGATGAAACAACTCTCCATCCAAGTCAAAATTTATAAAAGTAAACCATTATAGGTCACAGTACGGTCTTCAACACGGAGCCTTGGCTCACACCGAACAGTAAGCCACAAAGGGCTCCAAAAATTACTAGTGTAAAACCATTCAAACGGGAAAACCAACTGTCTAATCTATATAAGAAACGAGAAACGAGAAACACTTATGAACCACATCAACAAACGACAACTACTGAACATCAGATTCCTGACTTAGGACAGGTGCAAACAAATGCAGCGGGTTTAAACGTTTTAATGGTACCAAACCTTCACCTTTTTTCTGAAACTACAGTGTAACATCACAACATAGAAAGACACACTATGAAATATCAACTGAAATAGCTTAACTCAATCAAAGGACATATTAACACCATTGAACATACACTGAACAAATAAATTTGACCTATAATACAATTTAAATACAAAATAAATAAACTAAGGGAAGAATAATAAAAGTAACATGTTATATCGGTATGAAATGTTAAACAATTAAAGAAAAACAATATGCTCGAACAAAAATATCAGCCATTTGCAATAACTTTATACACAGGTAAATGAAATAATTTTGTTGTTAGGTATACGTGTAAAGTTCCAATAGAGAAAGGAAATATGTTTACAAAATAAATAATTTTGATGTTCATAGTACGAAGTATGTACCTTTTATGATATATCTTATATAACTAGTTATAGATCATTCAACTTAGTGATTTTAATCATATCCCGACTAAACTACAACTGTTGCTTTTTTTCTGAAAATTATCAAATTTGATTTACAAGACATACCACTACCAATTTTAGCAATTAATTTATTAAGTTTTGTAGCACAATTATACATTTTCTTCGATAGGATGTCCGCTTCTCTGTTTCAAAATCACAAGCTTTTCAAAAGCTGTTATAGATTGCATCATGTAGTTTTAAAATTACTTTAAAAAATAGCATTTATAATTAAAGTTCCGTGTCCTTGTTTTTCCGATATAATCCATTGAAAAGTTGGTCGGAAATGAATATCTTATACCTTATCCTACATTTAACATTGATACCTGTCTTCTTTGAGAAAAACAAAAAACATTAAAAAAATAACAAGGATTTTATGAAACTTAAAACAAAATTAGCCTTTTAAACTAACAGTAGGGGTTTGAGGGCCAACTTTCTAATGGCAATGCATGGATAAAACCATAGAATTCCAAATATCTGACAAAAAAGCTTGAAAAATGTAAATGTTTTACACTTAATTCAAAAGGTACACTTACACGACAAAAATCTATTAAAATTATTTAGAAGAAGCTATAATCTAGAAGATGACTGCATGTTTGAAACATTAATTTAGTTTTCAGGACTATTGTTAAATTAATGTATTGTATGTCAATGTAAACACATATTCTAATACTCTTTATTACGACTTTAAATTACGTTGTTTTTAGATTACCACAATAACTGATATATTGTATGATCAATAGTGAAAACTTCCCTTTAAGAGGATCTTTATCAATCTGTTATTGAATTTCATTTTGCACTTGGTATCAGTAACCTTTATCTCCCCATTATCATAGGAACAAAACGAAGGAGATGCCGTTTACTTCACTGGTTTTTTTACAAAACTTCCTTCGCGTCATGCATTAGGTGAAAGTACGTGTTATGTTGTAGTTTTGTGTGATCACACTGTATTATCGTTAGATTTAGATGAGATTGTTATCTCATTTTGATAATATTTAGATATGCAACCACTGATAAAAATATTATTATTTCAGTAAATAATACTGGAATCACCTTCGATTAACTTAGCTATATTTTGCAAAAGCTCTCAGCATCTTCAGACTCTTATGCTTTTTCCTGTGTTGCTAATTTAAAGTTATATATATACCTAGCATTGAAATTTCATGCATAGCTTTAGTTTACATATATTTATATATATATATAATTCGTCTAAATATCAGCCCAACAATGTAAAATCTGTAAATTAGCAGACTGAAGCAATTTTTTGTTCTTCCCGGGCCGGGATTCGAACTCATGCTACTGAGAAATCGCGGCACCAAATCGTCTTGCACTATGCCCGACGTGGTTGACCACTCGACCACCTAGGAATTAATTAGTAATACTCATAAAATATATTCGGTCATTCTTTCCTCCCTTTAGGTTTCAGTTCTGTAAATATAGACAATGAAATTTCCCATAGGAACTCCTTTTACGGCTAAAACCGTACCACTTTCACAATGAAGTTTCATAAAAAAAAATGTATCCTTGAATGGAAAGTTCATCTGCGCTACTATTCTTTTCAAAGGTGAAAACACATTGGGCTGTGCATCAAATTTTCCGGCATACTGTTGGGTGCGATGAATTCTCATTATTGCATATATTGCATGACATAAAGTCATATAAACAACTGTAAAAAGGTACAAACTGATGTGTCACGACTACTCTTTTATTATTTTACTTCGTAAGCACTATACACAAATATTTTGAATGTTTCATATCTTTTGACAAAAAGTTTCGACTTCCTTATATAACCTGTTTTTTCATCCTACTTTTGAATTTTTATCGTACTTTTTATCAGAACCATCCATCTTTTAGTTATAAAATAATTTAAGGAATGAGATGTCGTTTTAACAAAAAAAATATATTTCCTTAAAAGAACATTTTTCTTAGAACTTTAACATTCCTTTCTGCTTACTCATCCCTTGTATTCAGATGACTAATCGGGAAAAAAAAGAAATTCCACATTCCTTAAACACGACATGAAAGCATGTCCAACCGGTAACATGATATATAATATACATGATTGACACATTCATCTTTACTGAAAATAACTCGAACACTCGTTTATATAATAAATATAGAACACTAAATATATTATGCACACACTCGCTCGTTCTTTAGACTTCATTTTGTTATATTCATTGAAAATATGTTGCATGGTAACAACTCAATTTATAAACATCCAACGCGCTAAAATATTCCAGCTATCGTTATGTACTTAATATGTACAAACTGGAATGATAGAAAATGTATATTCATGTTTGAGATCTTTTTAAATTGTAATAATCGGATGAAAAGTGTCTTCTTAAATATAAACCCCAGGACAAAATGGAGACGACAAAATGTAAAAGTAATTTCTGAAATAGAAAAAAAGATAACATTTTTAAAAAAAAATGTGAACCATTATGTTGGATTATTCAGGATATGATCCGTCCAGTATTTAGTGTTTCGATACTGTCATGATTTGTATATATTTTTCTAAAATTTTCCGTTGATAAATTAAAAAATTGTTCATAACCTAATATTGTAACTTCTTAATACAAAGTTGATATTCCTTAAATCAATGTATCTTTTAAAATAATGTTGTCATTTAGTTCTACACAAGGACAGGTATTTATACAAACTAGTTTTTCATCATGTGGAGTTTAAACGTTCATTATGGAGGGTTATCAAGAAAAAACCTCGAATATAGCCAATGTATAAAGTCTCATTTTCATATAGAAATATACAATGTTGCATTAGGGTTATGGTACAAAAGTATCATATACAAGTTGCTTCTATGAAAGCTAAAAACTTGCGAGTACAAAGACATCCTATTTGCGAACCTTAAGTGTGAATAAATAATGATATTATAAACGTAATCAATTCAGGCAAATGGCAACATTTCTCATATTAAACATAATATTGCTTACGTGTTTTTTTTATTATTTTTTTCTTTGCATCCTTATTTTAACTTCTCTAATTTGTTTGAAAATTCAAATTAATTTTTGTATAAAATATACATTGTAATAACTGATATTGCACATTCAAAATGTTTCATTTCTGTGCCTTTTAGACTTTTCATCAATTACAAATTACAAAATAAATATATAAATAGTACCTGTAAATAAATATGCTTACACCAAAGCCTCCAATTTACTTGTGTCATAGCCAAAATGCATGTTAAACGTCAAGTAGTAATTATTATTATATTCACGATAATAACATATTCAAACTTTAGACAAGTCACACATTCACTATAGTAATGATCGATGTCGCAGCCACGATTAGGAAACTTGTATGTGCAAAATGCAATCATATATAACAAATAAAATTCATTTGAAATTGTAATAAACTAATCAGCAAATCATTCTCACAATACAATACATAAATCACTAATAGGGCCAACACAAAATATAAGTCGAAGTAACCACACATCACAATGTTAACATTATTGCAGCATAAACATTAAAGTTTAAGTAAATGTTTAATCATTCGTAAAAAATGTGACAATGTCCGCTAGCTTCCTGTGCGTTTTTCAGTAAAATTATTTAACGTCGTCGTCCGAATCATCATCTCTGAAATAGAAATGTTTAAATATTTATTTTGTCTTATTAAGAAAAACGGATTAAAAATTATGAAATGAATATATGCAATTTTAGAAATACTAAGGATTTTCATATCACAGGCATAGATTACCTTAGCCGTATTGAGCACAAATTTTTCAAATGTTGGGTCCTTAATGCTCTTTAACTTTAAACTTGTTTGGATTTCTAACTATTTTGAACTGAGCGATACTGATGAGTTTTTTGTAGACAAAACATGCGTCTGGCGTATCAAATTATATGTATGGTACCTTTGATAAATATTTACACTGCTGGGTCGTTGCCACTTCTGGTGGACATTTCGTCTCCGACGGTATCCTCATCCCAGTAGTTAGCATTTCAATTATATGGTCATTTTTATGAATCAACTGATTGCAAAAGTATAAATTTTTCGAAGTACTAAGGATTTTTTTATCCAAGGCAGATTACCTAAGTCATATTTGGCACAACTTTTTGGAATTTTTGGTCCTGAATGCCTTTAAACTTTATACTAGTTTTGAACTGAGCGATACTAATGAGTTTTATGTAGACGAAACACGCGTCTGGCGTATCACATTATAAGTCTGGTACCTTTGATAACTAATTAGACACACGTATTGGCGTATGGAAGATTCCATTTTAACCACAGTTTACCGGAAAGTATATTGAAAATAATCCTTAACTTTTAGTTATTACGAGATACGGAAGAGAAACATACTTATTTATAGATAAAATATATATATAATTTATGTAGATATATTTAATATTGTTTTGCAATATATATCGACAATATGTCGTCACATTGTTCTGATAAGACTTATTTTGCACTGCATGTCAAGTTATAATGTCATCAATTCCTTCCTTTATATTGAGCAAAAACAGCAAACGTCACAGACATTCATTGACTAACTTATCCACTATATTACGCCGACGAAAAACGCATCATTTTGTAATTCCATTTAGCATTGATTGCAACATGATATTACGTTATATACAGATTTTCGATGGCCATATTAATGATTACGCATCAGCTGCTACGTGACACGTTAGACATGCTAACACAAATAATAGACATATTACATAGACAAGGTATTTCAATAGTGAAAATCTTGCTACACTGTTACGTATGAAAAAAGTCATTAGTGTTTTTATAAGAAAAGAGTTTTGTATGACAATTGCATTGATGATGACACCCACAGCACGACTAGGAAAAGCTGCATATTTAATAAACCAGACGGCGAGATGTTCCGTGAAGATGACGTTGCCGTAGACGTCTGATACGATTGCATGCAAACAGTGCGTTTTAGTGTTGTTTACTTGAAATGAGGACGTACCGTAACAATTTGTAAAATTGAGACAGAAATCATTCACAGAAATGCTGTTAAAATATTAAAAGACAGGTGTCAATTTTTGAACAGGTGCTTTATCCTTCCGAAATTCAAGCAGTATTTTTATTTTAAATATGTTTTTTTTAAACTATGTTATGGACTGTTCTTTGGTAATTTTGTTCTTCTTATTTTTGGTTATCATGTCTTTCTAAACAGTGATACGTACCCAAATTGTTTTCCGAGCTCTAAAATCAAAGCTGCTATCCATCTTGATTTGCCTTTGTTTTTTACCATCTGTAATGCCATTGACATTGAAAGAAAAAAAGCGGTCTTATCTGCTTCCATGTACCTTTGGAATGGATGACTACCATGCATACCACAGTCCCATCGCCAATTACTTATTTTGTCAATATGGTGCCAACTGTTCAAATCATTGGAACAATAGTGTCTCGAAGCGACATTGCATCGGATGTAACCAGTTTGAGACATATACATATTCGTTTCATCCTGTCCACACACCCAGTTCCCTGGAGTCTCGCTAAAATTGTCAAAACGACACTTGAGATATGCAGAAAGGAAAACAAAACATCAAAGTTTCTTTCTTTTTAAATATAAATCGTAGGTTCATCGAAAGATATATCACACAAAGTCATAATAACATGGAGTTTGCTTTTAAACGACATGTTAAAAATTTCGAAAGAATGAAAAAAGAAGAATTTAGATATAACATTAAATATCGGTTTATAAGGAAGAAAGCCGACAAGAATATCGCTGTATTTTCAGTAAATAAATGAATATTGCAGATATCAACATAGCTCAATTCTAAAACATTTTATTGTTATTCACTGTTATTAGACATATATTCTTAGAAATGAGTCTCCAGTAATCGGGCAGTGTTGAAATGAGCTATCAGTACTCGGGCAGTGTTTTTGTTTAATACCGACAGAAAAATAATGCAGGGGCGGATCCAGCCATATTTGAAAGGGGGGTTCAAACAACATGTCCTCGGTCAAAAGTATCAGATTCAAATCCCCTGAACTCGTTCCTCCCTTTTGGATCTGCCACTCTTAAAAGAATTAATTACGATATGAGCGTACTGAAAACTGAGGTGACAAATTCTTATATATTCATGGTAATAGAAACATATCTCAGAGTTTGGCAATATCTGACAATCTGATGATTCCTACTATGATTTTGCTACATATACAATTAAAACGGCGTTGTATCTCAAACTTAAGTGTTCTATTATTGTTGCTGTCCTTATTACAGGTTTCCTGACTACTACTAAATAATGCTTTCAGCAAGAAAAATTTTCGGTGTAATTTGGTTGCATTTTCATATTTTGCTATCTAAAAGTAGTATTCTACATATTGAATTTTGTTAAATCATGTTTATGTTACAAACACTATTTTTGTAAACATATGTTGAAACGCAGATCTAAGAAAAAGATTTTGTTCCATTTCATTTTATTTTTGTTAAAAGATATATCCATGAATGTTATTTAAGGAATGTACATTTAATAAATACCACGGCATATAGAGTAACGATGCATATCCTTGTGCATATACGCCGCAGGTGATGAAATATGAATTATTTTTATCTGATAATACAACGCAAGCAAAATACAAAATCTATCAACCATGATACTAAAATAAAGTATAATTAAACAGAATAATAGTCCAGGACAATCTTGCTATTTACGTTTTAAGGATTGAATAACTCAAACGACGTTAAACAAACCTAATGCTGAACCATCACATACTTAGCATGAGATGGGCAAACAATTAAAATACCAGTTTTCACAGTAACTGTAATAAAACTTATTTCAACGCAATGTATTTTTGTATCCAGCACTGTAACATATTTTTATCGAGTACTTCAATTCAATATGCAATCCTTGTGGTTGATATTTAATCATTGTTTAAAGGATGAAATTTTCTGACAAAGACTTCAATAGGTAACTCGTAAAACACATAAATGCCGTCAATAGGCTTTGCATAGCATATCAATTTGCTGAAATATCGAGTTTTAAATGTTAAATATATATTTATCATCTTATAATCCAAGTACTGAAAAGCGGACGGAAGGCAGGAAGGAAACTAGATAATCACTTTCCGTGGATTACACAAAATGGTAATTACAGAACGGTTTAATTCAGATCCTGTGTCAGGAGCTCGAAGTGGCTTTCAACTTATTGAGAATAGATGTATTTTCTTGAACATTTGTTACATTGAACTTGATAAGCAGTAATCTGTTTGCTCATCTGACGAACTATGTTACTTCCTAGACAAATGAGTTTTATATTTTCGAACTACGATGTTGTGCAGTTAAAACCTATGACAGACATGAAAACAGTTGTTTTAAATATATTTGAACTTACTTGCTGCAATTTTTTCCTGGACATTTAAAGTCTTGTATTTTTACCCATATACTCATCTTAACGTTTCACTTTGCAAATGATAGAGAACTCGTTTTATCAGGTGTATCAACTAAAATGAATGGCAGTCTGCATAATTATGTGATTTATCCAATAGGATTTGAATGGGCGTAACTTTAACGTTTATAAAGATAAACAGACGGTCATTCTTGCAACTTTAAAGTAAAGATGGCTAATTTTGATGGATATGATGGTCATGTCCCAATGTCCCAATCTTCATCTGGACCAATACAAGCACAACAACAGCGTTCCATGGAAGGTAAGTACAAATCTTAAAACAAACGAAATAACAGGTTCTCTCTCTTTAGTACTGTCAGAATAATCTTTCCGTAATAATTTTGTTAATATGATAAAGAAAATTAGTAGTAAAATAGCATTTGTAGAACGACATTAACACAAATTACAAGGAACTGTTTATTACATGTAAAATAAATTACGCAGTAACAATTCCATTTTCTCGAGGAGTATCTTATTTCCAAGATTACCAGACGTTATGCAAATTCATATTATGATACATATTTAGAATAGTATCATCATGTAAAGTGTGGCACGCCCTAAATGAAGCAATAGCTGATAAACTAAAAAGTAAAAAAGTATCAATTTGAACACAGAACGATACTGAATTAAATTAAGCATTAAACCTCAGAACATCTTGGACTATATAAAGATAAAATAAATGCTAGTAAATTAATAAATAAAAAAAAATAAATAAATTTATAAATAAATCAACCATTGAAATATTAAATAAGAACAAAATGAAAAAATCAATTAGATTAATATGTCCAAAATTGTTGTAAATAAAGATCTGTCATTCTATCCTTAGTGTAGATGTATTTAGATCAGTTCTAGTATAGAACTGTCAGATTCAGTGTGCTGGTAGAACTGTCAAAATAAATTATATGGTAGAACCTTCAGAATCAGATCAACTGCAGATATGTCCAAAAAGTTCTAATTTAGAACGGTCCAAAACTATTTTAGGTAAATATTTCATCAAAATCTGTTCTATGTTTCAACTGGCTTAGACTGTAATAGATGAATCCTGTCATTGAGATGTCATGAAAAATGTTTTAAAGATTGTTCTAGAACAGGTCTCTTGACCGTTTCTGACAGGTTTCCAAAGGGATTAAAGCTGATGCAAACTGTATGCTTATTTGTTGGTTAAAACCCGTTGTGTTGGTGTTCAGTTTAGTGTGCTCTGGTTTGCCCTGGAGTATTATTCTTTCAGGACTTTTGATCAATTGTTAAGATACATATAATATGTGTTATATTCAAAATCAGAATTTCAAAAAGGAATTCAACATGATCATTTACCCCAACAACGCAGTGCATATGTGATGAGATGATATAAGTTCATACTTTGACTTTTTGTCTGCGCTATGCTTGTTATCTACTCAATAAAAATAAAATGAAAAATTTTTAAATAATTGTTTTTGAAATTGGAAACTTTAATTTCTTCAAGATGGCGAAAGCAGTTCGTAAATATTTGGAAATTAACGTCCGTTTAAAAGAGGATCCGTTTAAAATGTGATTGAATTTGTGATTCTGTTCATCAGTCAAATTTTTTTAAAGGATTCCTTGATTGACTAAAAGTTGTTCAGTTTGTGATCAACTTTTCCCGCAAATTCAGTTTTGAAAAAAAAGATTTTATTTTTAAAAGAATACAATTTTATTTTGAATAAGATACACATATAAGTAATAAATAATGTTAAAATACAGTAGAACCTTATCAATAATAAAATCGCGATATTTAAAAATATGACTTAACTGAAAAGTGCATCACAAATTGAACAATTTTAGTCAAACAAGGAAGATGATTAGATTAATTTCGCCTGATAAATTAAAAAATAATATTTAACAAAAATATTGTAATTGCCAAATTAATCAAGTTTATGTATTATTATATTTAAAAAAAAAATCGTGTTTGCGTTTAATATGTTAGACATATGCAAATTCAATATAAAAATATAACAGATATAATACAATCTAAACTGTTTTTTTTTAACTGATCAATTATTTATTATTAAGCCATACCAAACTTTGATCAAGACATGAAATAAGCAGTGTTTCTATGATGACCGTTTATGTATTTGGTCATTTTCCTTGTAGCCACAAAAGAGAGGATTTATAAAATTCATGGTAACGTTATAAATATTCTAGAAGAACTAGAAGACCGACAGCAAAAGAAATCGAAGAAAGAATTATTACCAAAATCTGGCACTGACTATTATGACCACAGTGAAAAATGTGACGACACTGCAAGTTTTTTATATAAATTTATAGACAAACAATAACACAAAATATGCAGTAAGGAAACATTGCCATGTCCGAAACTTATATTCTTAATCACCAATACAGTTTTAAAGTATCATTCATGTTACATACCACTTTAAAGAAAATATATCTCCTAATGGTGTATTTAAACCAATAGTTTCTGTTATGAGACTTGTTATGAAATGGCATATACTCGAAACCGAGATATACAATTTAAAACTGAATGTGTGTAACGTTTCAAAACATGTAGTGATTTCAAGATTTGCATTATCTGTGAATCAATTAAATCTTGTTTAAATGTTTATCCTTTTAACTTACACCCCAGTTCTATTGTTATACTTCGTAGTTTATATATCGGAAACAAGTGTAAATGGAATAGGTCTATTGTTACGAATACTAATGGATTTTTACCACAGGATGTGACGAGCGGGGTTTCTGGAAACCCCTGCTTCTACATCCCGAAATCAAAGTTCATTGTTATTCATAACAATAGACATTGATTTTTTTTTAAAACATGAACATAAGAAAAGTGTTCACTACAACTTGTTTAAAGAAACAAATTTTAGGAAGTTCCAATAGCGAAAAAAAATATTATTAAGCATCTATTTTGAATTAAAAGTAATCCTTTTAAATACTCCTTTGCTTGAAAGTAAAAATGTTGATCCCAGTCTCATGTCTATTATAAAGCATTGATCTTAAAAAAGAACGGGAATTCTAACTCACGGACCGTCCTCCACCCCCTGAATTGCCCCCAAAATGGGAGTTCCTAAGTATTCAATCTGCATTTTTGTACGTTGAGCGGATCCAAGGGAAAGGGGGGGTGGGGGGTGTTCCGGGGGTTAGAACCTCCCTTTTTTTGGACGATCAATGCATTTGAATGGGGATATATGGTTGGAACAACCCCCCCCCCCCCCCTTATCTGTGTTGGGAACCCCCTATTTAAAATGGCTAGATCCTCCCCTGTGGTCGATCGTAGGGTTTCTAATCCAGACACACCTATCTCTCAGTATGTCCGAATATTTGTTTATTCTTGAGAAGAGGGTGGGGCAGAAGGTCCGAGCGGGGGGGGGGGGGGGGGGGAGGGTTTCTATAAAACCGTGACATATAAAATACATTTATGATTACCTTCGTTTAACTGATACAGGTAAGTACTTTGGGTTAGAATATTGCCTTTATCTCTAGTTTCATCTACCAAATTCAATGCTTGACTTAAAATATCGTCCGTCTTATACTCGTCCATATTGTCAACTGCATACAAGGAGCATGATGTATTTTTTGTTGTATTAAGAATGCACGAAACGGTCAACCTTGACCTGGTGATCCATATTAGCCCATGGATTTAACTGGAAAATGCAAAATAGCAAATTTGACATTTGTAAAATCTACTCACTTGTCAAAGTTTGAACAAGATTTCAGGTTACTAGTGGAGTTTCAAGTAAAAAAACGATTCTTATAAATCATGGTTTGATATGCGCAATACACATGCTATCCGTTCTTTTTCATTTAATAATCAATTTTAAAAAATATAGGGGTTAGCATCGGGTGTGAGTTAGTTATACACCTAGGGATACGGCGTGTCTGGATTAGAAACCCATCTTCCTCGATGTATAACTATTACAAATGTCCTGTTTGAAACATTTATTTTCATTGACAAATACAAAATATAGGTCCATACCAAGAGGAAGGAGTTGGGGATAAGAAAAATAAATTCATTACCCAGCCTAATAATTTGAAATTGTTTTTATTTGTTTTTAAATTCCACTGACATTTATTAACCGAAGAACTTTCAAACTTTGCACAATGTTAACCTTTTTATAGACTAATTTTTAATATGATTTCCGGATGTTGAAACTATTCTTTATAAGACCAGTATTCCACATGAGCCCCTATTTTACCTTTCAAATAAAAGGTATATTATGATCTGTCAAGTGCCTTCACACAAATTGTTTCTCCAAAGATTGTTTTCTTTAAATGCATATGTTATGGAAAACAAGAAAGCATTGAAAGTGTGTACATTTTATTTCGGCTAGCATTTGTATTTTTCATTCAACATGAATGCTTGAAATGATATACGTTACATATTGTTTATCCAGTTTTAACTTGAAACATATAACATTGTAGTTTCAGAGAAGATCTCATAATGCATGATCTAGTTAATACGGGGTCTCATTTTTTCTTTTGTTTCTGTGTGGAGTTGTGTATTGTTTACGATTTTGGTCACGTTTTTGTCTTTGTTCTTAATTTTTCCATTTTCTTGACTGCTGTAAGACACTAGAAGTTCAGGCCAAAACCTCACCATCCCCTCATGAACACACGTTCACCTATAATTCCAAGCTGGCATAGAAAAAAAAATTTGATGTTTGATTTCTTGAATCGTCTGCAACTAAGACTATAGTTACAAAGGAGTAGGCCCGGTAAGATCCCTTTTTGGCCCCAAAATATAGCAGTTTTACAAATTTGTTAAAATGTAAACTTTTAGCTATTTATTGGAAAGTAGAATAATTATGTTACATCAAAATGGACTGTTTTTGACAATACAATGCACATGCATCGGGTACTAGCATCATTCATTCATGCAATGAAATCTTCACAATTTTAGCATTTTTGCAAATTTTTAGACGGTTTTCGTCTAAAATGGAAGTCGCCGCATTTGTGTTCAGTCTTAATATCTAAATGTATGTTGTATTTGATGATTATACGTAACATATATAAAGGTTGAGACTGAACACGAATGCGGCCACTTTCATTTTTGACAAAAAACAACTGAAAAGTGACATTTTATGACATATTTGATAGATTTTTCATATTTAAGCTTGAATTTGAGCGTCTTTAATGACTAAATCAGTTCAAATCTTTCACATAAACTAATTGAATCAACTGAAGTAGACACTTAAGTGTTTTAAAAATGTCCAAAAATCTGAAATTTTAGGCCAAAACTGGCCCTTACCGGACCTTCTCCTTTAAAAAAAATACAACTTTTAACAACAGGTAGATGAAGTGGCCCAAGGCCAGCTTATTGCATGTGAAGCTGTTTTGAAAGGTTGTGATCCCCAGATTAAGGACTCCCTGCGCAAAGAACTGGAAGAAAAGACTCGAAAATGGCTTGCAGTACGTCAGAGCAAAAATCTTCCTAAAGACATTGTAGATACATATGCTGAAATGGCATTAGAAATAATAACAAGGGGAAAGACCAAACATGCAACGGAATTCACCGAATTGTAAGTAGAAATATCTTCAAATCATTTCAATAATGATATTTAACATTACAAATATAACGAAAATAGAATTATAAAAAAACTACAGAAACAAATTTAGCACTTGCACTAAATATTGTCTGAATGCGATATTGCACATTTAACAATCGTCAATGAAGTTTTATTAATGATTATCACGGTATAAATTTGTGAGGAAGGAGGAATAAGGAAAAGCTTTGTTGGTGGGAATTCGTTATCACAGTTTGTTAAGTCGTGGTAAGGGAATGTAGTCGTTATCTCGTATTTGAAAAACTGTGATAAAAAAGTCCAAGATAAAAAAATAATATATTTTCATCCAAGAACATTAATTTTATATCTCAAAGATGTCGAATTCAAACAATAAATTTTGGGAGTTCCTGATTGGTTTTCTGTAGCTTCTGTACAAAACCGATTTTTGACAATAATTTATCTATAAATAAATTTAATTAAGATATGTTCGCCTGATATGAAGAATGCCTTTTTTTCATCACTTGGCGTCCGTCGTCCGTTGTCGTCGTCGTCGTCGTCCTGCGTCCGTCGTCCGTTAACTTTTACAAAAATCTTCACCTCTGAAACTACTGGGCCAAATTTAACCAAACCTGGCCATAATCATTATTGGGGTATCTTTTTGAAAAAAAATGTGTCCGATGACCCGGCCAACCAACCAAGATGGCCGCCATGGCTAAAAATAGAACATAGGGGTAAAATGTAGATTTTGGGTTATATCTCTGAAACCAAAGCAGTTAGAGAAAATCTGACACGCGGTAAAATTGATAATCAGGTCAAGATCTATCTGCCCCGAAATTTTCAGACAAATTGGACAACCCCTTGTTGGGTTGCTGCCCCTGAATTGGTAATTTTTAGAGAAATTTTGCAGTTTTTGGTTATTATCTTGAATATTATTATAGATAGACATAAACTGTAAACAGCAATAATGTTCAGCATAGTAAGATCAACAAATAAGTTATCATGACCAAAATGGTCAATTGACCTCTAATGGAATTATTGTCCTTTATAGTAAATTTTTAACAATTTTTTGGAAATTTTTGTAATCATGCAAAAATCTTCTTCTCTGAAACCACTGCTACAGATTTCACCAAACTTGGTCACAATCATTATTAGGGTATGTAGTTAAAAAATGTGTCCGATGACCCTGCCTGCCAACAAACATGGCCGACATGGCTAAAAATAGAACTTAGGGGTAAAATGCAGTTTTTGGCTTATATCTCTGAAACTAAAGCATTTATAGCAAGTTGACAGTGAATAAAAATGTACATCAGGTTAAGATCTATTTGTTCTGAAATTTTCAGACGAATCAGACAAGCCTATGTTGAGTTGCTGCCCCTGAATTAATCATTTTAAGGAAATTATGCAGTTTTTGGTTATTACCTTGAATATTATTATAGATAGAGATAAACTGTAAACAGCAATAATATTCAGCAAAGTAGTATCTACAAATAAGTCACATGACCAAAATGGTCAATTGACCCTATAAGGAGTTATTGTCCTTTTAAGTCAAATGTAACAATTTTCGTAATTTTTGTAATCTTTCACAAAAGTCTTCTCACGAAACAACTTAGACAAATTTACCCAAACTTGGCCACAATCAGCATTAGGATATTTAGTTTGAAAATGTGTCCGATGACCCTGCCTGCCAACCAACATGGGGAGGGGGGGTGCAATTTTTGACTTATATCTCGGAAACTTAAGCAAAAGTATAACAGTTGCATTATTTCATGCACCAATTGTAAAAAAAAAAACATCAGGTGAGCGACACAGTCTCCTTGGAGCTTCTAGTTTCATAGCCCACACATTACGAATATGCTACAGAAATCTATTTAAGTCCACCGCAGACTTGAATTTGAGATAAAAAAAAAAAAAAATAGGCTTGTTTTATGACTAATTGAAATATTTAAGATTTGTGTTAACAATGCTTCTGAAATATTTTCCAAAGGTTTTTATAAATCGTGATTCCGAATTATCACAGAATGATGCTAAGCATGTTATTCGTAATAACGGACTTTAATATGATTTAATAAAGTTGTTATCACAGATGAAAATTCTAATCATGAAAAGTTTAATATCTTATCCCGAATTATAATCGATTTATAATCGTTGAAGAGCTGGTTAGACCAAAACGGATAAAACATTAAGATTTTCAAAGGTCCTAAATTAGCTTCCGTAACATTCAGATTTGATTATGATCTCTGCGCCTGATATGTATTATGTTCAAGTTCTTAAGGAAACAAATTGTTTCAAAGAAATAAATCCTTTTCCGAAGAGATTTTGATAATCATTGTTTGATTCTATAAAGCAATAAATATCTCGACAGTAAATCAAAGGAACACCCAATGACTCCAGATGATGTTAATTTGCTCATGACTGGACAGTATAAAGCAAGTGAAGTTGACAAAGAATACGCTAAGGACCCACAGCGTAAAGCGAAATCTCCTAGTATAAGAGCAGTGGGAAAAGGCAAGTATATTTCAATGAGATTGAAAAACTTTTGTGTTTTAACAGACATCCTCTAAAATTCAAATATTGTTTTGGCAATTGTATGTGTGTGATACAAAAAAAAAAATCAGAATTGAGTCAGATATTAGCAAAAAAATTTAAACGGATCAACATAGTAAATGTTTGCCACTCTACCGAAAATCGGAAATTCATGCCCAGTTATCCCTATAAATAATCCGTGATACTTCGGAGAGCGTTTTTCATATATGTTAGCTTATAGTTTGTACTGTATGCTTATCAATAATGTCTTTATTGGGGTCTATTTGGTGTTATTGTTATTATAGCCTATGTAAGCATTTTAACGGAATATATCAGATGAGAGGCATTATTGTATTGTGCTTAAAATAGCATCAACAATATATGCATAAATATATATTTGTAAAAAAGAAATTTTTCTGATTTCCAAGATTAATATAATTTCAAAAGTATGTTGTACTATTATTTGTCTGTTTGTCTTTTTTCATTTTTAGCAATGGCGTTGTCAGTTTATTTTCGATTTATGAGTTTGACTGTTCCTCTGGTATCTTTTGCCCCTCTTTTATTACCACTGGGTCGATGTCTCTGCTGGTGGACATTTTGTCCCCGAGGACATCATCCACCCAGTAGCAAAATTACATGAACTTACGAAGATCTTACAGGATACTGGCTCGGACGTCGCCCAGTATAAAAAGGTCCGAAACAGACATCACCATGGACACGGTGTCGTCTGATACGGCAGGTGTCCCCTCATCACCAGGCATGACAAATATCCAAAACATGACTCATTCAGATCATCATACTAGTGACAATAGCAATAGTACACATACATGGCCATGTTCGGTTCTCCTTAAAGACATTTTAGATTTTGATGACTCTGGACAACACTGTCGCATTTCGAAATGTGAAGCCAAATGCTGCAAAACTTGTGAAATTTTAATAACAGATGCTCAATTCACTAGCAATGTAACTAAGAAGTCTTATTTTACCAGAAATTACGATGATCTGAATTGTAAATCATCAATGTCGTCTACGGATTAGAGTGTAACATTTGCGGATTGGTATACGTCGGTGAAACGAAAGGAAGGCTAAACAAACGAATGTGCTGGTATAGATCAGACATTAACCTCAATGCAAACGACATTCTTTACCAGCATTTTAATCAACCTGATCATTCCATCGTTTCTATGACAGTTCGCATTATCGAAAAAATATACCACAGGACTAACAATCCTCATCTTGCAACGCCTCTCCGTAGACAAAAAGAAGACTACTGGATTCGACAATTGGGAACTGCGACACCATATGGTTGCAATGACAAAATTGATGGTATAGGCATTCTATCTAGTCCTTCGTGTAGCTCGGTGAATGTGATGAATATTTTCAACTCTACTCTTCGACGTAGACGCAGTCATGGTCATCGTCATTATACATCACCTACTCTGCATGATGTCCATATACTTGCTTCCATTTATACAAAAGTCGTTAGGTATTCATCACATTCGCACGCAACTTTATTCATTACCCCTTTCAAAACTTCATTGTCTATTTAATTTATGTTTGGAAACCACTGTTACAAACCCTCATTCAAACCAATACAAACTTACAGCTATTATTTCGGACATTGCAAGTCACATACTTTTCAAACCAGTTCTAATTGGAAAAGATGAAAAAGAGAAAAGATCTTTTCTTTAACTTTCCTTTGCCAACAAAGTTTTCGATGGCGTCAACTTATGCAATATCCTTCATCATATATTAGTTCAGTCGAAAATACCTCCTTATTTCAAAGATCAGTCTGTACCAATCATTTCTTATACCTATACCAAACCAATTGCAACTAAAAGTTTCAATTACAAACACGTTTTGCATGATCTCAATATTGACGACTTCAAGTCTAAACCTCCTGATTGCACTTGTGCTAGTTTCCAATTCACATATAATCCGGCTGGCCACGTTATTGCCGGTGACCTCAACATTGTCAATAACACTTCCCTGCGAAATGTGTTATCCAAAGGTCCGAAATATCGTGAGCCTAAATCCATCAATTGGAAATACAACTTTAAAATACTAATGGATTCAGTCGAGGATTATGCCAGGCAATTGGCTAAGCCTGAGAAGGAAGACGTAGATACTCTTTCCAAATGGATTAAGGCTGTGATGTCGTTGATACAAATCCGAATTAAGAAACTGAATGGGTCTATCAATACCCATGCTACGTCAATCTTTAAAGACCCAAATGTTGCAAAACACTTGTCCTACCTCCATGACATATATGTTGTTTTTCCCGCAGATAAAGCCCCAAACAACATCGTTTTTGTGTGTAAAACTCATTACATAAACTGCTTGATAAATGAATTAGGTATTGACAATTCACTTGGAAACTCAACATATACCCTCACGACACTTACCAAAGAGGAAATCCTAGATAATGATAGGTTTGTTCTATGTTCCTTTGGAATTTCAACCAAAGATGAAGAACTGGATCTTCTATCACTGTATTGGATACCTAAACTACATAAGTGTCCTTAAAAACAACGGTATATTGCTGTGTCTTCCAGGTGCTCCACGAAATTCTTTCTAAATTATTAACATCTATTTTATCAGCAATCAAAGCCAGGCTTCAAAGTTATTGTGAAACTGCCTATTCTAGAGGTGGTGTGAATCAGATGTGGATACTAAAACATTCCAAAGATCTTTAAGAGTACATACAATCTAAGACTCTTCCATCTTGCAATAGTATTAAAACATTTGACTTTTCTACACTTTACACAAGTATTCCCCATTCCAAACTAAAAGACAAATTGAAAGAGTTGGTATTGCTTATTTTTTTATAAAAAAGAATGGCCAACGTAGAAACAAGTATCTTGTCTTATGGAGGGATAAATCCTACTTTGTAAAGGATCACACTGATTCAAACAAAAATATTCTCTGAAACTGACATTATCAAGATGATTGATTTCTTGATTGACAACATATTTGTTACGTATGGGATACAATTGTGCCCCTCTTCTTGCCGACTTGTTTCTTTACTATTATGAGGCTGACTTCATACAGGAACTTCTTAGGATGAAAAATAAGAAGATAGCAATATCCTTCAACTTTACTTTCCGCTATAAAGATGATGTTCTCTCACTAAATAATTCAAAATTTGGTGACTATGTTGAACGCATCTATCCCATCGAACTAAAGATAAAGGATACAACAGATACAGTTAAGTCTGCCTCATATCTTGACTTACATCTAGAAATTGACAATGAGGGTCGGTTGAAAACAAAACTTTACGACAAAAGAGATGATTTCAGCTTCTCAATTGTTAACTTTTTATTTCTATGTAGCAACATTGCAGCAGGGCCTGCATACAGAGTATATATCTCCCAATTGATACAATATTCCCGCGCGTGTATTTCCTATCATGATTTCCTTTATAGAGGGTTGCTGCTCACAAAGAAGCTATTAAACCAAGAGTTTTAAATGGTGAAGTTTAAATCATACCTTCGTAAATTTTACGGACGCCATCACGAGTTGGTTGATCGTTCACAGATGATATGGGATATGTTTCTTACGTCGTAACTACAATCCCCTTCCCTTTTCATGAATGTGACCTCCCGAATTAGACTATTTACCGGATTTGTAATAACATGAGCAACACGACGGGTGCCACATGTGGGGCAGGATATGCTTACACTTCCGGAGCACCTGAGATCATCCCCATTTTTTGGTGAGGTTCGTGTTGCTAAGTCTTTAGTTTTCTATGTTGTTACTTGTATAATATTATTTGTCTGTTTGTCTTTTTCATTTTTAGCCATAGCGTTGTCAGTTTATTTTCGATTTATGAGTTTGACTGTTCCTCTGGTGTCTTTCGCCCCTCTTGTATTCTTCCGTGATTTCATTTGATTAAATGCATATATCAAATGTAAGAGATACAAACCAAATTCATCCTATTTAAGGCTAATATGTCTCGTTATGCTCTTATACTTCTTACTTTATTTGGCCTTTTTTACTCTTTTGGTTTCGAGCGTCTTTTGTAGAAAAAACGCGCGTCTGGCGCAAATATAAAATTTCAATCCTAGTATCTATGATGGGTTTATGTCCGTATAACAACATTGACCGAATCTTCCAATCTTTAAAGGCATACTTTTTAAATAGACGATATCTATAACGATTGCGAAGGAGACGCGGTAACGAAACAAACAATGAATTTGGAAATAACTATTGAAAAAAGGGTTCGTAGAGTATCATTGATTCATTTGATATCTTGTATCAAATGGTTTTCAATACTCAAAACACACTAACTATATTGAAACGTAATTATCCACATTTGACTTTCGTAACTATCCATCCCCGATAGCAGCATACAAATATGTTGTTGTCCATTTGACTGCTAAATATACTATATGTACACATTGGTGCAAAATAAATTTACTATACGTGATCTACAATACGTCACTCAGGTTAAAGATGATTGATAGAAGAAGTGTTTGCTCTTATGCATTATAATCTATATGTACATGATGTACATATATGAAATGGCTTGAAAATATTTATTTTCTGGGGCAAAAACTGGGCTTTAATGTCCTTACTCACAAAGTGTATGGTAAAGAAAAAAGGAAGATGTGGTATGATTTCCATTGAAACAACTATCCATCCGAGTCCATAAAATAACTATCCATTATATTTTAAATGGCGTGAATGTAAACAATGGGAGATCATTCTACAACTATGATAAAAACCAATGATTGTAGTCAGTTATGAAATACCCCTCGACTTTACTTAATGCAAAACAATGCAAACCAGCCCCCCCCTCCCAAAAAAAAAGTGACGGGTTTATACATGTTTGTGAACGCTAGCCTTTCGCCCGGGTATCATGCACAGCATAAGAATAAGAACAACTCTGCGTCCTTGAAAACTTAAATACAATTTTGAATGGCGTAATTACTACTTCCAACTCCCCACAGCATAATATATTTCAAAGATTGTGTTTTTCATATTTTTTCCTTTGAAAACTTGTTAAAATCAACGATTTTAATGTTATTGAACTTTCCATGGTTATGGCTGCGATTTCATTTGTCCTTAACTTTCTTAAATACGTACCTAGACAAACTTAGACAAACTTATAAACAAACAATTAATGTAAAGTTTTGAACATTGCTTTTTATAAATCTGCATTTAAATGTCTTCATTTCCAAGTTTTGCTCGTCAATTTGTTCTCTGCTTTAAAAATTACCATAAAACCGATACTCATCCTTATGTGTCGTCTCGTACATGTCAACTCTGAAGAGCCTTTTCGTTTCCCTTTGGACAATGAACGTTTTAAGCATCAGTCAGTATTATCAAACTGAAATATATGAAAGATAAGAAAGTACAGAAACCATTTTTTCGAAGGTATTTGTTGCGTCATTGACTACGTCCTGTATTTTAATAGTCTAATTATTCATGAAGAGCTATTATTGTGTCAATACGGTTATAAAATTAAATAAGTAATTAGATTATAAAAAGATTATTGAACACCTTTACACCGTTTGGTAACACAAGTCTTTCGAATTTCAGAAATACCCCCGAGACATTTGAAACCAGGACCATATAACACAAGTTATAGACATCAACAACCTTCATAAAGATGTGAAAACCAGAATTTGGAACATTGAAACATTAAAAATAACAAATATGCTGTATATTTTATTGATACATCCAGCATAAATACCGTTGTTTATGAGAAGAAACAATTTAAATACTATTTAAAATTGAGAATTGATTTTTGATAACGGTATTGTGATGAGTAAATGTTACAACTAAATATTTTTATAGTGTCATTATATTTATCTTCGAATTCTGTTTTCTGTCATTATTGAAGTAATTTGAATGCTTACGGGAATTTTTGATTTAATTAGATCTCTTGACGTGATTTATTTCGTTTATTATGGTCTCTGTTAGATTTTGGCATTTGTTTACCCAACTTTTAGAAACTAACATGTCTTGAATCGAGCTGGTTATGGCTATTTAAATTCATTATATTCTGTCTGTAGTTGTTGGTAAAAAAAATACAACATTAAACGAAGCAAACTATGATTTATACATAAAAAAGTGAGGCCAAACGTCAAACTATACGCCAACAGTCAAACAACACAAAAACAAGTCGGCATGGCATCTTTAACAATGCATGTGTATCTACCGTGTGATTGTCAAGGCCTTTTATAGCAACAGCACTATTCTATCATTTTGATCTAAAAATTAGTTGATTTATATACACGTATTTTAAGAAGAGTAAAGACGAACTAACATAAGTTCAAAACTGCCTATCATCCGTTCTTTTTTTGTGATCTAAAGCTAGAATCAATATTAATATTCGTACGAAGGCAACACACATGTTTGGGAAAAGTTATGTACTAAAAGAACTACATTCATATTAGTTCTAGTAGCATGAACAAGGCATAAATTAAAAGTACTGAAAGTAAGAACAAATCACGAAAACACCGCCATAAATTGTACCAAAATATCATTTTGAAGATCACGTTATAAGGTCGTCTTCAGTTTTTGTTGAGACTCTTGTTGCTAAGTCTTTGTTGTTCTATGTTTTGTATACTGTTGTTTGTCTTTATTTATATCTTTTTAATGGTTTAGCTTTTTTGAAATACTGTGAAAGTGCTATGATGAATCAGTTTGTCTCTAATAAAATTTCAATTACATTTGGATATAATGTATAACCTGATGTTCATCATAAAAATCATTTCTTCCGATACTGCATACTCAATTTCATAGTTGTTTCTTTCGCGGCATTGTCATTTCTTTTTCCAGTGAAACTAATTCAGGCTATTATCAAATTTGAACGGACGAAATTATTGTCGGACGAACTGAAAAAAATATGTGTCGTTTTTGTCACATTGAGTTACGTTTAAAGATTCAATTACAAATCCATAATTGTTTAGAATGTGTATAAACAGATATAAGAATATTTACATTTTTACAGTACTGTCCTCCCACTACTGTACTTAAGCATTTGCATAATGGTTTATCAAATATGGTCTTTAGAGTGCAGTATATGATATTACAAAGTATGATTGCAGTGCTGCAATGTTGCGTTGTTTGCAGAGGGAGCACCAAATCATTTATCAAATGCTATGTTTTTTTTAAGAATGCAATAAAAAAAATCATCCTTTTCAATTTGATATTGATTCCAAATGAGATCAATGATTTTATGTTATAGATAGTACAGTAAACTGAAAGATTTGTTTTAATTAATGCACGTCCTTACTTCCTTTGTCAATTAATGGCACGTATTTTAACTTCGAAAGTAAATATTACCTTCTTTCTTTTCATACGTTTTAAACATACGTTTATAATTCAGTTTCTTTTCCATAATCAATTCAATTAAATGGCTCAAATAATTTCCCCCTCAAAATCCAAATATCAACCAACACATCGATATGAGGATTAGAACAATTTATGTTTGGATCACATGCCTTTTTCTGAATTGAGTTACCAACAGTTTCTTAAATAGTTGATAGATGTCACAACGTCAATTTTTATAATTTTAATAATCACGGTTCAAACTGCTTACCATCTGAGACAAATAAAGTAACTGTTGCTACATATTTTGTTTCATAGTTCAAATACCGTTTATTAATCATATAATTATGATAAAGACTTTATTTGAAGTTTAATTATTAGGCATACATGTATAGACAAATAAACTTTAAAAACATTTTAATCAGTGCGATGAAAGCTTTCCCTTTCTCATGTTAACATGAAAGTCGTCCTTTCAATAGGTCAATGGTTTAAATGAAACATGATGCATTTTATAGAGGAAGCCCATTTCCTTAGCCTATCGGGTTATGGAGACAAATGCCTTGTCTTGCTCAGCGATGGAACTATATTGTCATTCAAAGGATCGAATTGGAAAATGGAATCTAAGGTTACAAATGCAAACTTCACAAGGATACAGGGATTACCTAGATGTTTGAAACATAAAGTAAGTTGTTCTCATACAGGTTAAGGTATTGTGTAACAAAACAGTGTCCTCGCAGATATACATACTGTTATCAATATAAACGGTAAACATTATACTTGGAATCAAAAACAGTTTCTGCTGTCTGTATCATTATTTCCGTTATTATTCTGGTGGATGCTTTTGCTATGACCCACGATATTCTAATGAAACTGACGTATAACAAAAATGCCAGTTTCCAAGGAAAATTCAAAGAAGGAACGTCCATAAAACCTGACCAAACAAACGCTGGACTATGTCAATCAACGGATTGAAAGGAAAACAACTGTCATATTCCTGACTTGGTTCTGGTATATAACTTTCATTATAGCATTAGAAATACACGCGATTAAATCGGTTTCCCACCAACTATTCAAGTTCTAAACATACACATCGGTCGCATGCAATGCATAAAGTAATATTTTCATTTTTCTAAAATCTGTACTGGCTTCAAAGAAAAATTGTAGATTTTAAATCTGCTTAATATATCATTGCGTTTTCCTTAATTTTATATTAACAATTAATTTTAAGTAATATAGATCATTGTAACGTTTTAACTTTAAATCTTTACTTGCATTTTACTATACGTATAAGGTATGCAATAAATTTTTTAAGCAAATAATGAGTGATGAAGACAAAGCGTTTGGTTTATGAACATAATCGGGGTTGTTGTGTTAAAATCTGGTAACAAGTCATTCAATGTATTTTACGACAAACAGTACTTTTGTTGAATGATAAAACATAGGTTGCACTTTATGATTACAGCTGTTTCATAAACAACGCCTCTTTTCGGAGATATATAATTATTACTGGATTCAACGCCCTTATAGTGGATTCATTGGTTGTATAAACTGGACCAATTCACTAACACAAATAGGTCATCAACAAATTCCTTTAAAAAACGTTTAACCCTTATAATTCTTTAGAATTTGATATAAGATATTTAATTTTCCTATTCGTAACACGTAAATTGTACATTTATGTCATTGGAATGGCCTGACGAATGAATATGTGTTTGGTTTACGTAAAAAATGTACACCATCAATTTTGCTATTTGCAAAAAAAAAATCAAAATTATCTTTCCATGAATCAAATGTATGTTTTGTGTGTATTATTGATTTAACGATAAACGCGAAGTGAAAATAAATATTTCTAATGTATAGCCGATTTGTATTATTATTGCCGCCATCTTGTTTACATTGGTTACCGAAAGAAGTTCGGTCAACGTCGTCTATCGAAAAGTAAATGACGTCAAGGGCCACTACCGGAAGTCCTCTCGACCAATCATATAAATGTATTCCCTAATATTTAAATCATATAACAATTGTTCATAGATGTTTTATTTTGTTTATCTATTGGTTCCCCGATATGATTTCTATGTTTCATATCGTAGAGACATAACTTGGGAAAGTTACCAGGATAAATACACATGAATAGCTGTAAATTCAAATACTGTGCAAGACGCCAAGTGAAGGGAGAGAGTACTGCGTTTTAGTATAAGTTTAAACTCTAAAAAAATTCGGGGCATATAAATGTTGAAAATATGCCACATAGTTCTTATTTTGACTTTTGAAAAGCATAGTAGTGCAAATAAGCTTTCCATTCTATGGTCTATTTTTTTCGAAACTTCATAGTAATTGTAATACAATTTTAGCCGTTATTTAGATTGCGTTTTCTATATTTGTAGACCTGCAACCTATAAATTCACATTAAAATATACTATTTCTTTAAATGCACTGTGTCGCCTTATTTTTAACTAGCTTAAACGATAACTTCTACAGAAAAACCTGAAAACCTGCACAACACACTGTGTATTGAACCAACCAGTCCATGCTCTTTATATCACAGAACGAAGAAGCAGTTCCTATTCCTATTCTTTTTAGTGTTTTAGGCGTCAAGAAAGAAAACTGTTTTGACTACAATCAACATCATATTAAACAAATACAAACCTCTGTTTCAAAACATTATATTACAAATCAGAAACACGATTGTCCAAATAGTATATGTATTAAAGTTTCAATACTTGGTATTTATATTTTAATCTCACACATGTGAATTATTTGTGATCTGGAATTTGTTGAAATGTTGCTGATGTCGTTGATATTGACATACTGCTTTGTAGGTTCTTGCAATAAACGAAAGTGGTGAAACGTTTATAGCTGATTCTAATTGTCAGATTTGGGTACCTTGTCGTGTTGGAGGTACTTACTTTTTTTTTTATTCATGTAACTATTTAAGAGCACTGACAAACATAATCATATGCACTACCTTATACCTGAGTTTTTGTTCAAACGAAATCAATTTAGGTTGTTATAGATTGTAAAAAGAACAATTTTAGTGCTTCAGTTATATTACGGCATCAAAATATATAGTGAGGAAGCCAGTGCATCCAAAGAGAACAACCTTCTTGCAACACGAAAACTGGCAATCCTAGTCAATTTGTTTGGTTCCACCTGGTGCCAGTGAATGCAAATCAATGTAACACTTTTTAACTTTTGTGACTCTAAAGCGCTGCACTTGGTTTATCTTCATCTGGGACACTCAAACTCATACATCTGAAAGCCATGGATGAAACGATATTAGCCGACATTCCGCTGTTCTAGCTTTCAAATAAGTAACAATGAAGGCAGAGGATATCAAACGCCCGATAAATGTCGTAGGTCGAAGGAAAACATACATACACGTAACCATCATGGACAATTAGAAAAAAAAAAGACAAAAATCCTAACAATTTTAATATCTTTTAAATCACAAAGATTACAGCTGTCAGGTTGCACTTGTTTTTGTCTATTTTCATTTTAAATACAAATAATCATGATAATATCGAATTAACTTTTAAAATTCCTATCAGTCTTTATTTTCATTTCATTTGGTTTCTAAAAAGATCCAAACATAAAAGAGTTTTTTCTTTGAATTCTGTATTCTACATATTAATATCATGTTTCAGATACACAGGTCCTCAACATTGTTGTTGGAACTGAGTCAGTACTTGCTGTTGATATAAAAAACAATGTGTGGAAATTGGAGTCAGGAAATGGTCTTATGTGGACAAAATTCTTCCACTTCCCAAGTAATAACTTATATATTAAAACTTAACATTTAAAAAATTGACATCTTAGTTGTTTAAAACTTGTAGCACAGGTTTTATTTAATCAACTCGGAACACTCTCGAGGTTTAAGCTCGAATTTGGTCCTCAATGCTCTTCAAATTCGTAACTCATTTGGTTTTTTTTTTAACTTTTTTGATTCGAGTGTCAATGATGGGTCTTTTGTAGACGAAACGCGCGTCTGGCGCAAATACAAAATTTCAATCCTGGTATTTATGATGAGTTTATTTACAACGACTGGATTGATCCCACTGCTTGTGGAGTTTTTATTCCCCGAAGGTATCATCAGCCCAGTAGTCAGCACTTTTGTGTTGACAAGAAATATCATTGATATTGTCATAATTATGAATTGACTGTTTACAAAACTTTGAATTTTTGAAATACTAAGGCTTTTCTACCTCAGGGTTAGATTACCTTAGCTGTATTTGGCAAAACCTTTAGGAATTATTGATCTTCAATACTCTTCAACTTCGTACTTTTTGGGGCTTTTATTTTAACTTTTTTATATTCGAGCATCACTGATGAGTCTTTTGTAGAAGAAACGCGCGTCTGGCGCAAATACAAAATTTCAATCCTGGTATCTATGATGAGTTATTTGTTCAACGTTTCAGACGTTGTCAATACATTTAATGTAATATCCCTATGAAAATTCAGTGTTTTTGTATAATATAATTTTAAAGATGTTATGATCATTGACTAATTCCAATTAAACCTTCGGCTGTTTTCTGCTCTTTGGTCGAGTTGTTGTCTTTTTGACACATTCCTCATTTCCGTTCTCAGTTATATATTACAATTTTCATATACTTAAATCGATTAACAAATGCATTATAAAAAGTGAATAACAAAAATACTGAATCCCAAGAAAAATTCAAATCGGAAAGACCCTTATCAAATGGCATTATCAAAAGTTTAAACACATCAAACGAATGGATAACAACTGTCATATTCCTTATGAAAATTTGTGGCTGAAAACATTTTATTAACTGCAAATATATGGTTTCTTGTGAATAACAGATGGTAGGGACAGACTATTTGTGTTTCTTTGAATTTCATTTAAATTTATCATAGATATGATTTATGGTTATGCTTATTTTCATATTTAAAATTCAGTATTTAAGGGAATGATAGACATTGTCCTTGGAAAAACGAAACGATGGGCTGTGAATTCTGGTGGACAAATATTGGTATATGATCAATCAAATAAATGGCAGGTAGATGATACACAGCCTGAGAGAGTGAAGTTCGCAAAAGTTTACGCTAATTTGTGGAATGACCAGGTAACCGAAGAATATATCAAACGATTTTTTTTTAAATAAAATGATTTTAACAAATTTATACACTTTCTATTTTTCTAATGTTTACACAATCTTTCCTTTCCTAACCTTTTATTCAATGAACGTGTGGTTTGTTTTGACTCAGTTCTTCATTGATCGATAATTATGACGTTAAATGTTCTTGCTCTCCATTGAATTTCCTATTGTGACGTCATGCAAACAAAAATGTGCCCATGTCTGTCAACTTCACATAAAAATAACACATCTGTTTGAAGATCGTTCAAAAAAGAGAATAAAGTGTGTCTACATATTGTTTAAGAATCATTAGAGAAACAGACTCCATCACCAAATTTTGTGTAATACGATATTATCCACTCTCGACATTTAAGTATTTAAATATTTTGGAGCACGGAAAATGTATACAATGTTTATGAAGACACTCACTATGAAATAATGTTCAGCGTAATGCAAATAACTACAATATATCACTACTTTTGATCTTGTAAATCCTCCCCTTCACAGATTAGAGTATGAACACTTAAATGGATACTGTGGATTCATTTATTTTCGCGGATACCAATTTTCGTGGCTTGCGGTAAACTTGCATTTTCGTGGATATGTAATTTCGTGGTTTTACCAAAGTCTGCATACAAACTGATAGAAAATTTGTAATTCGTTGAACATTTAAATTCGTGTGGTTCACCTGTACCCACGAAAACCACGAAAAATGGTATCCAACGAATAATAATGAATCCACAGTAATGGGAAAATATATGTATTTTGCATTTTGTCCTTTCAGGTTTTTGCAATTGATGTCAATGGCAATGTTTACTCAAAGTTATCGCAGAAGGATTTGGAATGGAGTCAAGACAAAAAAAGGTAATTAATAGTTCAGAGGGGTTCATGTTGTCCTCAGGTCTTACCTGTTATCCTAGCTAGGACACTAATAAGAATTAATTTTATCTTCATAAAACTCAAAACTGATTTCATCCAAAAGTGTCTTGAATAATGATATGAAGTTATTTGAAATTTATTTTCAAAACCTTCAAGCAAATATAACTACTGTAAAAAGGTATACGGGAGAAACAGCACTTAATTCTCGTTTCGATTGGAATAATGTGGTAGTTTGAATATTAAACAGAAGAGTATCCTGATTTTACTGTTATAAAGTATTGAAAAACATTATGAAATAAGGAATATATCTCCATCTTGCAAAACTCTGATGCCATGCCTGGTTTTGACTTTACTTTTTGTCCTTATTGGTATATAGATCCGTTTACCTTTTAAATAATCTTTGTGTTTTAAAATATGTTGGCCTCGAGCATCACTGAAGAGACGACATTGATTGTGGAAATGCGCATCTGGTGCAGAAAAATATTTTTATATTATTACTACCACCGGGTCGATGCCTCTGCTGGTGGACTGATAGCTCCTGAGGTTATCACAACCCCAGTAATCAGTACCCCGGTACTGGCATGAACATACGGATTTCGTGTTATCAAAATTTGATGTTATAACATTTTGGAAACTATTTTGAATTAAAGAATATATCTCCCTCATGCAAAGCTCTGATTCCATGCCTAGTTTTAGCTTTACTTGGTTGCTTTTTTTTGTATACAGCTCTTTATCTTTTTATTAAGCTTTGGATCTTAAATAATTTGGCCTCGAGCATCGCAAAATATTTTGGCCTCAAGCATCAACGAGGAGACATTGATTGTCGAAATGTGCATCTGTTGCAGAAAAAATGGTACCGTTTATGTTATAAATGTTAAATGTGACCTAAAGCTGAAATTCAACATAACAGGGAAATGAGGTGTTTAAAACGTGTTTTTCAACATACCTTAAATCTTTTGACAAACAAGAATTTCAAAGTATTAATATTCTTCATATCTTCTAGGAGAAATGCTTTTTAGCTTATTTCAATATATTAGGGGCCTCGGTGGCGGAGCGGTCTTAGTATAATATATTTCCTAGCTTTCGAGCTGTGTAGAGCTCGAATCATACACATTGTAAGTGCGCTCGACTCCAATGTTAATTGACTAGGAATGTTAGTCTTTTTACCCTATATGTTTTAGATTAATATAATTATTATGTCCTTGTTGAGAACTCATAGATATAACCATAATACATAAATTATTTGCAAAATTTTTAACATTGGATATCTACGGAATATGTGTTATATTATTAATGTACCAGAATTATATTTTAGGACCAAGACTTCAGACCCTCGCACTGACGGACACAACAATTATAGGTATCGATAAAGGGAATGATATGTGGTATAAAAAGACTTCAACATCTAAAGTTAATGATAATACTTGGGAACGACTGAACTCGGTGTCAGATATTCTTAGTGAGTAAAACTAAGTCATATTCATTATGTTTTCTTTTCCCAGGTTAATCGTATTAAATAATGCAAGTAGATTAATTCTAAAATGAGTGCATCACTATAAAACAACCCATGTTTACGACATTTTATAAGTGTTCAATCTGGATTATACCAAAATATTATGCTGTACACATTCAAATAATCTGGAAATTGCGTATTGATGCATGACAAGTTTTACTTTTTGAATATGCATACAATATATTATTTTTTTTAAAATTAATCCGATAGTTTTCACGTTTTAATTAGTTCATATTAGTGATGTCCAGACCTTTTATAGATTGATATGCGGTATGAAATTTTCTCATTGTAGAAGGCCGTGAGGTTACATATAATTGCTAACTTTTTTGTCAATTGGTTTCCGGTGGACAGCCGTACCACATCTCTTATTTTCTACATACGGTGCAAATAATTCGGAATATAGTACCATTTTACAATTCATATTATTTTGTTAATTCCTTTCACGAACACAATACTTGTTTTCCATAAGTCAATACGTACCGTGAATTTTAAGCACTGGGCACTGTTGTAATGACAAGCCTAGTAGTGCATCATGTTGGATTATATAATATACAAACATACGTATATTTAAGAAATTCATCAGTATAGGTATTTACAATTGGTTTGTGTTCTTCATTTGTTGTTAAATTCAATTAAAGTATATAAATATAAGTTTGGGCTGTTGTTCTGTGCTATTTATTTTTGATTAATTATATTGTTAGTCAAAGGTACAACTCGTGTATAAATAGTTTCAATTTAAAAAAGTGCAAGTAGCCATTTCTTCCGAATCAAGGTTCCATGATGTTCCCCAAGACTGTTGAAATTCACTGCATTAAGATATGTTTTTATCCTGTGCAAATTAAAGATATACTTTACTTTCCTACTGAACTTTTAATATCAATGATTCTAATGTGCATATTTCTTTTGTTTTAGGTTCATGTCGTTTAGGGAAAACTGACAATGAAGAATTGATACAGTAGTGTATAACAATTAGTCAGAACACATCTAAAAATGAGAACTATGTCCACTCAAAGACTTTTTAGTTGTTTAGTTGTTTTTGAAATATATTGCTGCTCACCCTATAATAAAACTTCAATGAACTGTTTCAATGTACACAAGTTTATGTGTTTGATAAAAAAAAAGAAAAGAGATGAGTGTATACGTCAATGCAACAGCAGCTCAACGACATCAAAAACTGATTTACATCTGGAGTACAATATAAGCTTTTCAACAATACGTAAGGTCCCAATGCATAATGGTAAGCGATATCTCGTCCGTAATCATTGTAATATATAAAAGTGGTAAATAAACTAAGCATTATGGAACACCTGCCACTATCAACCTTATATTTCAAAAACATTTGAAAACAACAACTGATTAGATTCCTGGCTTTCGACCTGTTGGGACTTAATTTTGATATTTCCTCTTCCTCTTTTCAATATGAAATTGCAAGTTTAATCTGCAATCTATAATTGCTTAACCGTAACTTACATTATGTCTGTGTCTCTTTCTGTCTGGTTATAGCCTCCTTCCACACATTGAAGATTCTACTATATATGTTTCTGACAAGTTCCGTGTGCAGAAGAAGACCTCAAGTAATTAATCGTTGTGATGTGACCGGTGAAAATAACTATATATACAATATAAAATAGAATATATGGTATGATTGCAAATGTGACAGCTCTCCACAAGAGACAAAATGGCACAGAAATTAACAACTATAGGTCACCGTACGGCCTTCGTCAATGAGCAAAGCCCATGCCGAATATAAAAATCCCCGAAATGACAAATGTAAAAAATATTCAAACGAGAAAACTAACGGTCTAATTGATGTACAAAAAATTAACGAAAACAACTATGTATACATCAATAAACGAAAACCACTGAACTATAGGCTCCTGACTTGGGACAGGCACATACAAGAATGTTGCGGGGTTAAACATGTTAGCGGGATCTTAACCGTCCCTCTAACCTGGGACAGTGGTGTAACAGTACGACATCAGAACGAACTATAAAAATTAGTTGAAAATGGCTTAACTCATCAAATGGATGCAAGTCGAAATACATGTAACAAAAACTAAAAGTGGACGTGGCCGAGTACTTGCATATCCCAACAACAGAAATACCCTAAGTACAGACCTGAGAGTACTCGCAGTTACTGACAGCTAGTTCAAAGTCACTAACAACTAAAAAAAAATCATGCATCTAAGACTAATCTAAGACAAGATAACTTTAAATAATTATAAACTTAAAAAATCTAGTTAGATACATTAGGAGCCTTTAGGGCTCTAGAGGTTTTGTCCTGTGAGAAGTTTGGTGGTAAGGCGTTCAAGTCTCTTATAGTCTGTGGTAAGTATGACATCTTATGTGCATCAATACGTGAGTGTGGTACTTGGTATGCTTTAGAATGTATATTTCTCCCTTTTTCGCACTGGTGGTGTGAGTCGCACTTCTTTAGATATCGCTACCATATTATTCTCTTTTTTATAGATCATCACTATTCTAGTTTCCTTTCTACGTTGTTGTAGTGACTTCCAATGTAAATGATCTATAATTTCCGTGACACTAGCAGTTGGTTTAAACTTAATTGTCACATATCAAGCACCTCTTTTTCGTATCTTTTCTATGTTGTAGATAGATTCTTTTGTGGCTGGGTCCAAAACAGTTGAGGCATATTCTAATTGTGGTCCAATATAAGCTTGGCTCTTTATTTTTGTTGATGAAATTCTGATGTTTGTCCGCAAAAATCCGAGTGTTTTATTTGCTTTGTCCGTTATCTACTGTATGTGTTGATCCCATTTCAGGTTGTTTTGAATGGCGAGGCCTTAGTATTTATTTGGCTGCCTGTACTTTTTCCAAATTGTGACCATAGAGATGATATCATGTTTGAATAGGTGTTATTGATTGTTGCCCTCAAGATGTTGCGTTTGTCAGAATGAAATTTCGTGCAGCATAGTTGTTCCAATCTTGCTAGTTTAATAAGTAAAATTGAGAATGGAAATGGGGAATGTGTCAAAGAGACAACAACCCGACCATAGAACAGACAACAGCAGAAGGTCACCAACAGGTCTTCAATGCGGCGAGAAATTCCCGCACCCGGAGGCGTCCTTCAGCTGGCCCCTAAACAAATATATATACTAGTTCAGTGATAATGAACGCCATACTAAACTCCAAATTGTACACAAGAAACTAAAATTAAAAATAATACAAGACTAACAAAGGCTAGAGGCTCCTGACTAGGGACAGGCGCAAAAATGCGGCGGGGTTAAACATGTTTATGAGATCTCAACCCTCCCCCTATACCTCTAGCCAATGTAGAAAAGTAAACGCATAACAATACGCACATTAAAATTCAGTTCAAGAGAAGTCCGAGTCTGATGTCAGAAGATGTAACCAAAGAAAATAAACAAAATGACAATAATACATAAATAACAACAGACTACTAGCAGTTAACTGACATGCCAGCTCCAGACTTCAATTAAACTGATTGAAAGATTATGTCTTCATCATATGAATATCAGGCACAATCCTTCCCGTTAGGGGTTTAGTATCCTACCATCATAACATATATGAGAAGAACATAACCCATAAAGGTCTTCTTGCAATATTTTCCAATATTTTTTTACATGTTATTGTCGTAGGCGATGGTGTTATCTGCAAACAGGCAAACTGTAACATTTAAGTCTTCTTGCAAGTCATTGATGTGGTATAAAAAGAGACTTAGCCAAAGAACTGTGGTACTACGGAGTCCACAGGTACAACTGATGAATTGCATCCTTCTAATACAACAGTTTGTGTTCCTCCACTCAGCCAGTTCTTTATCCAAGTATTTGTGTTGCCTTTTATTCCGTAAGCATGTAGTTTGTTCACTAGTAAGCTGTGGTTTACCTTATCAAAGGCCGTAGCAAAGTCTATTATCAGCACATTTGTTTGTTGTTCCATGTTCATATTGTTAGCTAGATCGACAATAAATTATATGAGTTGAGTTTCACAGGATCTGCCTTTCCTGAAGCCATGTTGTAACGAGTAAAGAATTTTGTTGTTTTCATCATTGGTCATAATTGATGATACAATTATGTGTTCCATTACATTACAGCATATTGATGTCAGGCAGATGGGTACATTAATTTGTAGAAGAGGTGCTGTCTCATTATGTAATCTTTTGAGGATTCTTGGTGATATTCCATCCGTCCCTGGTGATTTGTTTCGGTTCAGGTTTTTCAGCAGTTTGTCTATGCCCTCTGTTGTTATGGTTATGTTTTACATGTGGAATACGATTTTTTATTCCTTTGAGGAGATAAGTTTTTATTCTTACCCAGATATCATTTGCATTTACGATTTTAGATCTATACATTTGACTCAGCTGTTAATGTAGTGTTGTAAGGTCGTCTTTGAAACCTTCCTAGTTTGCTCTCTTATATTGTGGTATAAGTCTTTCTTGTTCCTTAAATTTGATGGTATGCATGTCAAACTCTGTAAAGACCATATCATGGTCCGATATTCCCGTGAGTATATCTACCCTCTGAACTAGACTTGGTGCATTTGTAAGAATGATATCACGTGTATTTTCTTTCCTTGAATTTTTTTCAACTAAATTTGTAAGATGATGATTGTCAATTAGATCTTAAAGTGTTTAATTTAACATAAAGAAGGTAATAGGGCGAAGTTATTTTTACAAAGTGGTAAAATATATGCCGGCACCATGGACATATATACACATACACGTCTCTGCTTGCACTTCTCTCCTGTTTCGCAAGAATAAATCTAAATGAAATAGTTTTAAATATGCAAAGTAAATTTGTATATCGATAAGTAAATAGATCACCTTAAAAACACACACACGTACACACCGAAAACCACAAAATAAATCATACATGCCGTAATTGGGTTTCAAACTCCGTCGTTGGTGTCACTTATGATTGTGCTAACGGCTACACCAACTGGTAGAAATTCAATTGTATGTTATATACAGTCATTGGAAAAAGTAAGTTTCCACTCCAAAAATGTCATTTCAACTAAAATCGATAGTTTTGAAAACAATATTACCAATTAACTTTATGAGCGATTTTTATAGAATATAAAGTATAAGATGAAGACATGTCTAAAGTTTTATTGTTATTTGGTCATAACTTTCGTGCTTGTCGTTTTTATTTTCTGAAGGGTTAAACACAAATGCAATTTTTAACGATTTTAATTTGTTTAGACTACATATCACACTTTTCCAGAACTATTTTGCTTTATGTTAAACTCGTCCGAAAAATAAAATGAGCAGGGGAAATATCATGGCCAAATAAACAATGAAACTGTTAACGTTTCTACAAGTTATGGTATTTATTTGATATAAATCAGTCATGTAGCTACTTGGTAATATGTTTTGAAAAATACTGACTTTAATTGAAATGATGTTTTATATGTACAATTTTGCAGTTCGAAGAAGTTGAAATCAAAATGATTTTTCAAAGTGTGTTCGTTATCTTGTTTTATGAGATATTTTTATGTATGAGAATAACGTTTTCTATTTTGCGGTTTCAAATATCAGTTATGAGCAGTATATATTTTCGGGACAGGATTTTTTTATGAGAATTTCATATCTCTACTTCCTGATCGATGACACGGCTATTATAAGTTAACATCTATAGTAACCGCTGTCGCACAATATTACTGTAATATTAATATCGTGTTTTGTAAATCTTACCCGCAAAAAATGTAACATGTGTTCAAAACGTAACGTACTTCTCCAAATAAACATGACTTTTGTGTTCCTTTTTTGTTCGGCAACTTTTTGGGTTTATCAATGATCTATAACATTTGATTCTCGAGAACCAATGTTTGATTTCGAGCACACAGTTTCACAATGACTTTTCAAATGCCCGCTGTGTTCGTCAGATCAATAAAGCGTTACCATCGATCTACAACGTACGTCATTTTGTCTCTTGCTAATAGTTGTCTAATTGGCTATTTATATAGCTGATCTTATTATTTTTGTATCATATCTTATCCGATTCGGTCTTTATTCATGAGTGCTTTGATGCACCATCCAAACCCTCCTAAAACAGAATCGAATAAAATATAATTCCTTCATTTTTTTATTCTTTAATTTTAAAG